ACAGCAGAGATTCCGGATTTGTTGCCGTCTCTTAGCTCTAACTTTGTCAAAACAAGACGCACGGTTAAAACGGTGACTGTTTTGTGCAGCTAACAACCAAATCTTTACTTCCCTATACCCACTTTTCACATAATTGCTCTGCACTTTTGCTGCGAGCTCTGATTTAATGGCTAAAAAATCAAAATTCCATTTTTTATGCGGTTTTTTAGCTCTAGCTCAGCCAAAACAAGACGCACAGCCAAAAGAACGACTGTTTTGTGCTGCTAACGACCAGCACTTACCACCCCTATCACCCGTTTTTCGATTTTGGGAAAGTCAATTTTGGCCCAATTTTCGCATTTTTGATCAACAAAATTTTCAAAAAATTGGCCCAAAATGAAGTTTCCCAGATTTGAATGCGAATCAATTGGGAATCATAGCAATCAAGTTACGAGCCCTACGAGCTATTACATTCCTCATTTGGACCACTTTTGGCTGTGCTATGGCTAAAAAACTGATTTTTTTCCGCCCAAAATCAAGTATACGTCTTCCGACAGCAGAGATTCCGGATTTGTTGCCGTCTCTTAGCTCTAACTTTGTCAAAACAAGACGCACGGTTAAAACGGTGACTGTTTTGTGCAGCTAACAACCAAATCTTTACTTCCCTATACCCACTTTTCACATAATTGCTCTGCACTTTTGCTGCGAGCTCTGATTTAATGGCTAAAAAATCAAAATTCCATTTTTTATGCGGTTTTTTAGCTCTAGCTCAGCCAAAACAAGACGCACAGCCAAAAGAACGACTGTTTTGTGCTCCTAACGACCAGCACTTACCACCCCTATCACCCGTTTTCGATTTTTGAGAAAGTCAATTTTGGCCCAATTTTCGCATTTTTGATAAGGGGTACCATCAAAAAATTTTCAAAAAAATGGGCCCAAAATGAAGTTTCCCAGATTTGAATGCGAATCAATTGGGAATCATAGCAATCAAGTTACGAGCCCTACGAGCTATTACATTCCTCATTTGGACCATTTTTGGCTGTGCTATGGCTAAAAAACTGATTTTTTTCCGCCCAAAATCAAGTATACGTCTTCCGACAGCAGAGATTCCGGATTTGTTGCCGTCTCTTAGCTCTAACTTTGTCAAAACAAGACGCACGGTTAAAACGGTGACTGTTTTGTGCAGCTAACAACCAAATCTTTACTTCCCTATACCCACTTTTCACATAATTGCTCTGCACTTTTGCTGCGAGCTCTGATTTAATGGCTAAAAAATCAAAATTCCATATTTTATGCGGTTTTTTAGCTCTAGCTCAGCCAAAACAAGACGCACAGCCAAAATAAGGACTGTTTTGTGCTGCTAACGACCAGCACTTACCACCCCTATCACCCGTTTTTCGATTTTGGGAAAGTCAATTTTGGCCCAATTTTCGCATTTTTGATAAGGGGTACCATCATCAAAATTTTCAAAAAATGGGCCCAAAATGAAGTTTCCCAGATTTGAATGCGAATCAATTGGGAATCATAGCAATCAAGTTACGAGCCCTACGAGCTATTACATTCCTCATTTGGACCATTTTTGGCTGTGCTATGGCTAAAAAACTGATTTTTTTCCGCCCAAATCAAGTATACGTCTTCCGACAGCAGAGATTCCGGATTTGTTGCCGTCTCTTAGCTCTAACTTTGTCAAAACAAGACGCACGGTTAAAACGGTGACTGTTTTTGTGCAGCTAACAACCAAATCTTTACTTCCCTATACCCACTTTTCACATAATTGCTCTGCACTTTTGCTGCGAGCTCTGATTTAATGGCTAAAAAATCAAAATTCCATTTTTTATGCGGTTTTTTAGCTCTAGCTCAGCCAAAACAAGACGCACAGCCAAAAGAACGACTGTTTTGTGCTGCTAACGACCAGCACTTACCACCCCTATCACCCGTTTTTCGATTTTGGGAAAGTCAATTTTGGCCCAATTTTCGCATTTTTGATCAACAAAATTTTCAAAAAAATTGGCCCAAAATGAAGTTTCCCAGATTTGAATGCGAATCAATTGGGAATCATAGCAATCAAGTTACGAGCCCTACGAGCTATTACATTCCTCATTTGGACCACTTTTGGCTGTGCTATGGCTAAAAAACTGATTTTTTTTCCGCCCAAAATCAAGTATACGTCTTCCGACAGCAGAGATTCCGGATTTGTTGCCGTCTCTTAGCTCTAACTTTGTCAAAACAAGACGCACGGTTAAAACGGTGACTGTTTTGTGCAGCTAACAACCAAATCTTTACTTCCCTATACCCACTTTTCACATAATTGCTCTGCACTTTTGCTGCGAGCTCTGATTTAATGGCTAAAAAATCAAAATTCCATTTTTTATGCGGTTTTTTAGCTCTAGCTCAGCCAAAACAAGACGCACAGCCAAAAGAACGACTGTTTTGTGCTCCTAACGACCAGCACTTACCACCCCTATCACCCGTTTTTCGATTTTGAGAAAGTCAATTTTGGCCCAATTTTCGCATTTTTGATAAGGGGTACCATCAAAAAATTTTCAAAAAATGGGCCCAAAATGAAGTTTCCCAGATTTGAATGCGAATCAATTGGGAATCATAGCAATCAAGTTACGAGCCCTACGAGCTATTACATTCCTCATTTGGACCATTTTTGGCTGTGCTATGGCTAAAAAACTGATTTTTTTCCGCCCAAAATCAAGTATACGTCTTCCGACAGCAGAGATTCCGGATTTGTTGCCGTCTCTTAGCTCTAACTTTGTCAAAACAAGACGCACGGTTAAAACGGTGACTGTTTTGTGCAGCTAACAACCAAATCTTTACTTCCCTATACCCACTTTTCACATAATTGCTCTGCACTTTTGCTGCGAGCTCTGATTTAATGGCTAAAAAATCAAAATTCCATATTTTATGCGGTTTTTTAGCTCTAGCTCAGCCAAAACAAGACGCACAGCCAAAAGAACGACTGTTTTGTGCTCCTAACGACCAGCACTTACCACCCCTATCACTCGTTTTTCGATTTTGGGAAAGTCAATTTTGGCCCAATTTTCGCATTTTTGATCAACAAAATTTTCAAAAAATTGGCCCAAAATGAAGTTTCCCAGATTTGAATGCGAATCAATTGGGAATCATAGCAATCAAGTTACGAGCCCTACGAGCTATTACATTCCTCATTTGGACCATTTTTGGCTGTGCTATGGCTAAAAAACTGATTTTTTTCCGCCCAAAATCAAGTATACGTCTTCCGACAGCAGAGATTCCGGATTTGTTGCCGTCTCTTAGCTCTAACTTTGTCAAAACAAGACGCACGGTTAAAACGGTGACTGTTTTGTGCAGCTTACTACCGGAACGTAACACCCCTTTACTTACTTTTTGCGTTATTGTTTTGATTTTCTGCTGCGAGTGCCGATTCGAAATTTGAAAATAATTCGGAAAAATAATCTATTAAGATTAAGTAGTTTCTTAAGGTTTGGCCTTATCATCTAACTTAATGTTAACCTAAAAAGTGAGTGTAAAATAAATTCCTACTTCCTAGCCGTACACCCTGCAAGCACATAACGCTAGTCAAGACAAATTCAATTTGCTGCCGGTTCACAGGAAGAGGAAACGTAAAACGTAAACGTAAACGGAATATGTCAGTGCGGTGCGCCCTTAAGTATGCTATTAAAAATTTTCTAATTCCAACTTAATTGCTAACAAACAAGCTGTTCCTTGAACGACTGTGTGTGTGTCTTTTGGAGGGCATGTTAGCAGGCTACACGCACATGGGCAATAATTAAGGCAAACAACAAAGGCGCAGAGGGCGTGGCCTGGAAGACACACAGGTTAAAAATAAAGACCGGTAAATGGCGGCAAGGCAAAGACAAAAGTTAAGGAGCCATTGAGCCGCTGAAATGGTGATGGGATACCAAAGGACTTCCCCTCTGAAAAAAGACACATAAAATATGCAAGATCACTCCCCTTCCTCACTCGAAAAAACAAAGAAAAAACTCTGCGGTAATTGCCATCTACATAATTCACAAACTCCAGCTCAAGTTGCACAAAATTTTCGGAAATTTTCGGTTGGCTGCCTGAATTCTTTTCCCTTTTTCCGGTTTTGTCGTGCGACATTTGCCACACGTGCACGTACTTTTCGCCCTCGCTGTGGCCTTCCCAAGCCCCCAAAGCTCAAGGCCCGAAAACCCTAGTCCCCAAAACCCAGGGAAAAACCCCCATACCCCATACCCCATACCACGTACCTCATTTTCATCCACAATAATGCGCTGTGCTCATTAACGTTATAAAAATAATTGCTTAACACTCACCAACACACACACACTCACACACATAGCCTCACATACAGTTGCCATGTGCTAAATTCCAATTAACTGGCATTCGTGAGTGTGAATGTCACCTCGGCTACTTGGCCGCCAAGTTGGTAATCGTCCGAGATGAACGATGAAGTGCCACCGCGTCAGTTTTGGGCAGGCACTAATCAGTAGCAGGCCCTGTGTATACCCTGTATTCTTTAGATAACGAAATTATATTGAAAAGTCAACAAGATTTACAATAAATGAGATTTAAAGTACAAATTTTGATTGATTTTTGTTTGAAAGGTTCGACAGTTTTTTTATAGTAAATTTAATCCTTCTCAAACAGGGATATATTTACGCCTTAGTATTTGCCTAACAGAGATTTTTATCCAACTATTGAGCCGATCAAATGCTGCAACACCTGCTGCTGAGCTTGGAATTTTCCAACTTTTCCAGTTTTCCAACAGCAAAGTTTCCCTTGAAGTGAATATGCCCAAGGCGAAGTCTGAGCGGAAGGACCTTGACAGAGGATGGGGCTGCGGGTGAGGGGCAACAATATGGCATTTGATTATGCAAATTTCCATTTCCATTTCCATACGCCCCCGCATTTCCCCTTCAGCGCTTAGCACTTGGCTCGTTAAATTTGCATAAGTTACGGCGGCGCCTAAAATTATGCAACGCATATGGACCCACCTCGAAGGGCCAACAATTTTTAAACGAAATTCGTACAGACAACACCTTCGTGTTTATTCGCGAAAAATCTATCTGAAACACAATCGAAACTTTGTCCAAAACTATTCCGGCTCCACTCTCGACCAATCGATAAAACGCCGCCACCTTGGAGACTACGGAACTGGGACTGTAACTGCCTACTAGACTAAATATTCAATCCCACGGCACATCCATGGCATGCCGTTCGGTCCAGGAGCGAGCGATCTGATCGTAACGCTTGCGATCCTTTAGAAACTGCGCGGCCGCCTCAACATTGTAGGGCGTCAGTGGATCGGCATCGGTCAACAGTGCCATCAGCGATAGAAGCAGCTTGTCCACCGTAAGTCCTGGCGACCAGCACTGATGCTCGTCCAGTACATCCACACATATGTAGCCCAGTCCGTTCACATTGCAGTGGTAGAGGGGCGTAATGAAGCGTACAATGGGTGCCTCGAAGGGATATGCCTCCGGGAAACTCAAGGCCAGCTCAAAGACTCCGTCCTCGTAGGGACTGCCATCGGGTCCCCGGATCTTGGCACGCCATCTCAGCAGGTTGCTCATCGACTTGGGCCGCGCCCAAGTATGCTCCGGCGGATCGGTTTCCATAACCTAATTGCAGTGGGAGGATAAAATAATTTTAATAATCAATAATCGGAAAAGCTACTTTTAGTTCCTTGACAAGACGAAGCACTGCCGGAATGGCGTTTCTGGCCGCGGCTGCTAGGCGTCCGGTTTGCTCGTAACTGGGCGGAGCCCTCGTCCTCTCCCGGCTCAACTCCCTGGCCCGGTCCTGTTCTCTCAAACGATCTCTCAATCGCTGACGCCTCTCCAGCCAATGGATGGCCCTGTTTGCAAGTCCATTAAACTGAACACCATCGCCACGATTGCCCATGTCCACATACGGTAGTAGGCCCATCTCCGTCATGATCCCTTTCGTTCTGCCTTAGTTCAAATTCTTTTTTTCTAGTTCAACTCCTTTGCTGGGTTCCCCTGGCCTTTGGTCAAATCGATGTCGTGGTCCGTCGTTGGTCACGTGTCGCCTGTGCCTTAATGCATTAAAAACACATGCAGGAGCTCTTTTAATCTGGTCTTTTGCCGTTACGAATACAATAATTTAGAATGGGGGATTTACAGGCTCCTAACATTCATTACAAAAAGTGAAATTGAACTGACTGAGCACTCGTCCCTCTCACCATTCGTTGCCATCCGCTTGTGACAGGCAAAGCAATGGATTCTCCGCCATCGCCCCTCGGGGGAGAAACCCTTCTTCTGCCTTCGATTGGGTTGGAGAAGGTCGACGAGGACCTTTGAGTGTTCCAGAGTCACTGCGCAAACAGTAAACAAATCGCACACGTAAATTATATCGGGTAAACACAGTAGCGAATCAAAGAAGAGCATAAAGAGCAGTGCACTGCGAGAAAATGTGTTACCTATTATTTATTCAAGGAGCTAATATAAATATTGAAACGAAATTTAACTTAAAATATCTTAAAGATTTTCTTGATGAACATATAAAACTCTCACCTTTCAGTATCTCCCTACATAAACTTAAGATTTCTTCGAGTGTAGCCGGCATGCGGCATCGTTGTGCACCCGCGGCACGTCGGGTCAGCCAAGGTGTTGCTGTTGGATTTGGGTGTTGGTGCCGGCGGTGGCGGTGTTGGTGGCGACGGCGTTGCCTGACGTGTTGTCGCTGGCTTCGTGACAGAAGGGACTTGGGGCGGTACTTGCGAATGGAATGGCACTGCGGTTCGCATTTCTATGCAATCTGCGGTCGGATGAGGAGGAGCACTTGCTGTTTGCGTGGCTTTTTTATTTGGTCGCCTGTTAATGGCATGTTTTGATTCCGCGCTTGTAGAATACAAGAGAGAGAGAAAAAGAAACAAGGCGGAAAAGGGAAGGGGAAAGGGAAAAGAGCAACCGTCAGGGCAAACAACAAAGTGCCAGGCGGCGGTGGGCTTCGCAAAACGTAGCATAGCCCCAGGCGCTCCGGCACGCATACTTCCGCTTTCGCAGAATGTATATTTATGTCTGTCTGTGTGAGTGTGCTTGTGTGTGTGTGTAAAGGTTGGTAGTGATTGAATTATGGAAGCTATGCGTGCGTTACAAACCTCACACAGAGACACAGGGGGACCACAGACACAAAAATCCACAATCCTGAGCTCTTGTGACTTAGAACCTGGAAATTGATTTCCAGCGTTTTGTCTGAAGATTTCCAAAAAGTAACTCTGCATTTTTCATTTTATTTCCTTTCAGAAATGGCCCTCCTTCTGCCAGCTGCACTTTCGCACAATCGCCATGTGAATGATAGCAGCGATATGCGGCGGAATCTGCGCACGCGTTACCGCGACTCCTACAAGCACAACCATGATCATGAGTAAGTATCCGCCATGTAGTACAGCATGTGAGGGTTGTAATGGATAGATCTTAATCTTAATCTTAAGTTTAGTCTTGTAACCATTAAGATTTTAAGAAATAACTTAAATATCATTCTCAATCAAAATCTCGAATGATCCTTCTCCACCCTAGAAAGAAATCTAGAAACTTGGCTGGCAAATCTCCTCATTTCGGTTACAGATGGCTCTGGCCTGGCTTTTCTTTTTATGGGAAAACTTATGGCTTTTCCCCACGCCTTTTCAGCCTGGACATTACGACAGGGCCACTTGAGCTACGGGGGGGATGGTTTATACCAAATTTGCTAGCCTTTGAGTTTTTATGGCGCGCGACATGCAAAATAATTTCATGTCCCGCCGGAAAAACATGGGCGGGCGAGGGAAAAGGATGGAAAACATAAACGCTGGCAATAAAAGTCCATCATAAAAATGAAGGGGGGAAGGGCTCCATTAAATTGTTCTAAGCTGGCCCTGATTTGACGCGTTGTTAATTCTTTCCACTTTTTCGTTATTTCTTTTCTTTTTTTTTGCTGTTTTTTATGCCATTTGTTTGCCTTCTTTTGATTTTTTTATGATTTGCTTGGCCAGGTTGGCCAGATTTCTGCTCTTCTTTCTTTTCGATTTGAGGCATAGGGCTTGGTCCAAGTGTCTGCAACATGTCCTTAAGTGTCCTTGATGTCCTATTTGTGGTGTGGCCAGGCTTTGGCAAACACGAGCCGAGAAAACAAACAAAGCGAGACAAAGAAACGCCTTCTCTTTCTAGTAAACCAGCCCCCCCATATCCCCTAGTGTTGACTTTGCTCTTTTTTGTCAGTTCTAAGAAGTTTCTTCCCTCAATCCTTGATATGACTTGCAGGCACCCTAGCTCTAAGGATAACCACGCATTTTTCTATTTTTAAACTTAACTTTCAGTCAGATATACCCTGTTCCTGGTTAGAGCTCATCCGAGGTAGCAGAAAATCTGTCGAACATCTTTAGCTGGCCCATTATGGATGCCACAATAAGCGCACATCAATCACGTGCCGAGTCCTGACCGAAACGCGTTTCCTTCAAGGACCTCCAGAGTGGTCTTCTCTTCTTCTCTTCTTGTTTTGATGTTCCATGGCTGGCCAACCAAGTGTTTCCCTGGGCCCATCAAAAGCCGTTTATTATGATACGATTCGCTTTTGTTGTTTATGGAGGATATCCTCCCCCCTCTCTATCATCCTTTGAACAAAAAAATAAAATTAAATTAAATCCGCTTTTTATTATTTTACGATTTTTCATTTCGTCCTCTGTTTCCTTTGCCTCTCTTCCGATTTCAGGTTTTTGTGTTGAGCTTTCCCTTAGCCTTCCCGTCTGGCTTATCGCCCTGACTTTCTATTAGAAAGTTTCTAACTTCTATGATCACTGAAAGAAATGTATAGTGAAAGTGGAAATATAAATTTAAGGATCTTAACTAGCAGCTCATGTACTTTGTAAAAATATCAAAAAAATATGAAAAAGAAGTTCAACTTCAAAAGAAAATACTTTAACTTTCCTTAACACTAACTTTGCTTGAAATTTCCCTCTGTGTGAGTGAAATTCCCATCTTTTTTCTGGACAAACATCAGCATGTGTGTGTGTATCGTCCAGTCCCCACTAACTCTGGGCCTTAATTAACAGTGGGCTTTGGGCGGATGATGATGGGTGGCCAGGACCATGGCAAAGACGGAGACGAAGCCAGTTGGCTGACAGGAGACACTAAGCCGCCGGCGGTGGATAGAAGGGAGAGAGGAAGGTTTACTTAAACTGTTGCTGCTAATTGAAACGGATCGATGGCAGTTTCCATCAGTTTGCATTCGAGCAGCAATATGGGCAATAAGTCGCATCCATAAGTACATCGGTAAATATGACAATATGACGAATGGCTGGCTAAGGTTCATTTGGCCAGTCAATGTAGGTGTAAGAGGCTTTTGGGAACGTATTAAAGTCAATTTTCTATGACTTGAATCTAAGAGATGAGAGGATTTTCAGTTAGAAAAGTGATTTTAAGCCACTAAAAAGTCAGCTCTATGGGAAATATATCTAAAAATAAAACCAACTTCAAGCTTATACCTAGCACCGCCTGCAATCTTAAAGACTAAACCAGATATTAGCTAATTCTAATATTGCTTTCCTTGGATAAAATCCTCCTTCTCCCCCCACCCCACTGACTAACAGTTGCCACGCCTCCCAGACCAGCCTCCCTGGTGATTTGTTAACTTGCTGGGAAAACTTTTATTGCTTTGTCAGCGATATGAGAGGCGGCAACAGGAACAAAACCGCAAATTATGAATTATACACTCGAAGGGCAAGAGCGGCGACAACCGGCAGATGAAAGTGCCGGGGAAATAAATAAACATATACATAAATTACACAAAATTCAAGAGGTGGGTGGGGGAGGAGGGGGAGGTGGACTTGGATTGAGTTAAAAAACAAAAACAATAAGAAAACCAGGGGAGAGGGGAGAGGAAGGAAAGAAAGCTGGGGAAAACCGAAAATAAGAATAAAAAACAATAATTCGCCACAATTTAATTTACATAATGACAGTGTCAAGCGGCGGCTGTAAGGTGAAGTGGGCGTGGAATTGGGTGTGGGTGTGGGAGTGGGCGTGGGTGGACTCTAGATAAGATTCAAGTGGGACAAAGAAAGAAATTAAAAAGGCGAAGATGGAGCAGAATGCTCAATGGAAAAAAGACAAAGAAAAAAGAAAACAGAGGAGAAAGGGGAGTGGTTTTCCCCCATCCCCAAACAACGTTGCTGAAAATTCACACTTTTTTTTTTTAATGCGATAAATTTACAAGGCAACTGGGAAATCTGCAGTCGACAGCCGTGTGTGCCACGCCCCTTTTCCCCCCGCCGCAACCGCCAACAGCCACGCCCACTGTCTGCAGCCTACGTGGAGCAACAATAAAACGTTTTAAGCTCAAATCCCCACGAGGATTAGCCTGGACCGCATAAATTTGCCAGCAGACGCGAGCAAACAAAGCGGCCCAGGAAAACACGAACTAACCAGGGACGGACTCACTCATCCCGCGCTTTCTTGATTTTCCCCTTACAGTCCGCGCCTGTCGCAACAGGCAAAAGGAAAAGTGTGAGGACCCCAAGGATCGATATCTGCTGCTCAAATGCCAATGTCCAGGCTGGACATTTCGATAAGAAGAAAATCATTTTAGATTAAAGAGATTTTTAGTTTCAAGGAATTGTTTTTGGAAATTATTGAGAAGAGGCCAAGGCTTTCAAGGCTTTAGATGGCTAAATTTAAGTTAAGATGTCTATTAATAACAAAATTAGGCTACTTACTAACTAATTAAGTCACAAACTTACTTAATTAGCAGCAACTTATTTGATTACTTACTTACCTTTAAGGTTAACTTAGTCTTTGTTCCTAAATCCTACCAATTATATAAAATTTATTAAGTAATACAGTGAGTCAGATAAAACTGCTCCAGCCTAGAACTTCTAAGACCTCCCTCCACCCAGTAAAAAAGGCAAATAAGACGCCCGCTTGATTGCTAGCCCTTGGAAATTGAAGACAATGAGTCTGCGAATTGACAGATTTTACGATTCCAGGAGGTCCCCCCAACCACCATTTTCCTTATTTGCATAGAGCAGGTGAGTCAGGGTCGGTCTTTTGGGGTCGTTCTTATTCCTGCCAATCCTCAACCTAAATCCTCGCTCCATTCTCCTTGCCAAGGCACACGGAACATTCGCATTTATCGCGCATTCTGTTTTTGTTTACCGGCTGCATACGGTTGACAGCGGAATAAGAGCCATAAAAATGCGTTAAAGCTGCTACTTTATTTTCATTACAACAGGACCCATTTATACATATACCTACATATATATATATATATATACCCTCTTTTTTATGCCCGTTGATCTATGCAGGCGGCTTTTCTTCAGGACCAAGTTCCGTAGATGGGAATGCGGATTTCTGTTTGTCCGTCTGCGGCTGCTTTGCATACTTTTAGGGGGCACTCAAAGTCGGCGGCTTTACAAATTGAATTATGCACTTAATGGCGGCCAGCTACCAAGCAAAAAGCTGGCTGGTTGGCCAAAGGTAGGCTAACTGAAGATTCCAGGACAAGGCTAAGCATCTGAATGAAGCCAAATGAAATGGTTAAATGGAAAAATTCCCATTGAGAGTGCTATTTAAACGAGTTTCCACGGCAAGGACAGACCGCTAGCCACTTTAAAAGGCTCTCAGTGAAGGTTTTTATGTAAAAATTCTAAGCAAATATTAAGAGAAAACTAGAAAAACGTAAAGTTATAGCTGGTTTTTAAACATGTTCGACAGCTAAGAAAACCAAAAACTCAAAAAAGATATCGATTTCGGAGTACTTAATGCAGATTAAACTGCTTCGCTTTATCGAACGGCAAAGCACAGTATCCTCATTATAATCATCCCTTATCATCATCCCTTTACCATTATGGCATATTTTCTATTTTTAATCGGAAAGCGAATGGCAAAGGAAATAATCACCTCTGAACCACCGACACTTTCTTTCCATATCAATTATTTGGTCGAAAAGGGAAATGCAAAAGCGAAAAAAAAAGAAAAGACGAGGCAACGAGAATGTTTCAGTCTAATCTACATGCCGACAGCTTTATTTGCACAAAGCTTTTTGCCTCGCGGTGGCCAGCGATGCGAAACTGTCACAGTAATCCCCCATTGCCGATCCCTACCCATGCCATGCCCCTTGATATTCAACACTCCCACCCCGCCAAAGACCCAGCCACCACCCACTTGGTTACCCCACCAAATCAGCTTTTGCATTGACTAAGTATGCAACAAGGTTTTCCGAGCTGCGGCCGCCTCTGCCGCTCAATCATCATTAAAAAGCAAGAAAGGCCGGGTGGCAATGTGGGTAGTAGTTGGGTGGTTGGGCGTGGGGTGGCTATAAGGGATGCAAGAAGATGGATAAGAACGACAACAAACGTCCAGCGGAATCCCTTTAACATTTCCCTTTGGAGGCGACTCACTCAAGCGCCGCAAAGTGCTTCCTCTCTGGCCGAGCCAAAACCAAGACCAAGACCAAGTCCGAGTCCAAGAAGTCCCTTGCCTCTGTCTCTTTCCATCTCCTCGCCTGCCGCCTGTTGCTCAAGCCATGCACTGTGATGAAAATCATAAGAAAACTTGGTTAAGATCAGGTCTAGTTAAGGTCAAAGTTTTCTAAGTTTTTAATGGTTTTCTAAACATTTCACTCTAGAATATTATTTTTATATATTTTAAGAAAATATTTTTATCAAAAAATAGTTATTTTTACGTTTCGAATGCTTGTTTTCTCTCAGTGTTGATCCAAGTCTAAATTGCAATGTCGCCTGCTCCTGGTCGCCATCAACGTTTTCGTTTCCGGCATCGGCGGTAGGCAAATGGCCGTGGGGATGGAGGTTAGTAGGCGGAAGTACAAAGGGGGGCGTGGCAACGGGACATCGTGTGGCCATCCAGCTGTGAGCCAACTTTGTCGAGCAATTATTTTTAGCGCAGTTGGAACGGCGCTTACTACATCCCATCTCATCTCATCTCGTCTCGTCGTCGACCTCGTCCACAGCTCTTGTTTGCCTTTCATATAAGCGAGTGCAAATACTTTTTTAAGTGCCTGTATGCCAGTGGTTGTTGTTCTGGCTGCTGTTGTTGTTGTTGCTGTTATTGCTGTTGACAGTTGTCGGCCTTTGAAGTGGCAAAATATTTGACAAGAAAATGACTTTTCCGGGGGCAGAAAGAGAGAAAGAGGGTGGGCCAATTGTCGTAGTGTGTATGTTAATGTTTTTGGCCACAATTTGCTGGCCTGGCTGGCAGAAGTTGATCCATTGTGGTCAGTGGCTGCCATTGCCGTTGACCCTAATTCGAAGGAAGTCTAACATTGTGTCCTGCCATTTCAAGGAAGCTAAATAACAGAAGTGCCTTTGTAAGCCAAAAGGAAATTGAGAACTTAGCTTGCCTACAATACCATTGGCCCAAAAACCTAATTAAGATTTTTTTTTTCTATTAATTAAAAATCAATTTTGACTAATTGGCCTTTGAGAAGAGTTTGAATTCAGCTAATTGATTATTAATAATATTAACCAATCGTTAGGGAACGGCATTAATACTGCTAATTATAACTAATTGGCTTTGTATTTGGATTTTAATGGGCCATAAAAAGTGTAATGCCAGTTAAATAGTTTGGCTAACAAATGAAGTTTGTAAATGTAGAATTCAAAGGGATTAAAAGATGGAAAAATAAGTAAAAGAAACTTTAAAAGCATAACTTTAGCTTTTACTTTCCCTTATATTAAACTTTAAAGATTAAATTGAGTTGAATATTCCAGCTCAGAGGCAGCTGAGTAATGCGTAAAATATTAAGTAACCGGCAAACATTTTTGCTTACAAAGGATAAGCTGAGCTCATCACTGCTTTTCGAGCCCCTTTGCTCGCACTTTCTGGGCCTGCTAATTGGGTTTGGAATTTGCTTTTGGTTTTGGCTTAAAATAAATACGTAGGAATTTTTGCATAAATATATATATATATTTATTCAATGTTAAAATATATATATTTGTTGTGTTTTGTTGGCTTAGCTTTGGTCTGGGGGCAGCCTTTATTTTCACACACAAAATGAACATATTTATTTTGCTAATCCGGCAGGGATTTGCCAGGTCAGGCGAAGGCATTTCAGAGCAAATATTAAAGCCCTTAAAGTTACCCAACACATTGTCTTTGTAATTTGTATAAAGTTGTACTCTTAAGCCCCTTAAAAAATAATACATTTTAAGATTTATATTATATAAGGGCGGCATAAAAACTGCTCATGAAAAACACACACAGCTTAATGCAGGTAAACTGTTGATGTGACATTAATAGCTGGATTTCCCAGCTGCAATCGGTAATTAATTTTTCCTCGGTGTGTGTGTTTTTTTTTTCGTAGCTTAGGTCCATTAAAGCTCCATTAAATATTCGATTTGATGTGTGACTTTAAATTGATTATAACGTTTCAATTTATTTTAAATAAATTATGTCCAGTGCTATCTCGTTTTGTTGGTTTTTGATTTGTGTGCGCCGGCAAAATCCGTAATCAGTTAATAAATTAAAAATTCTGGCCTATAGCTGTGGTTTGGCTGGCTTTCTCACGTTTATCATCCATTTTGTGATAAATCAATGGGCTTTTTCCATGAAATTTTGCAGCTTAGAAGTGGGTAAAAATGATGGCCTATTCCTTAGCTAACCGCAAGCCAAGCATAACAATTGCTTTTTATTTTATGATCAACGTTGGCCAAGGACTGCCGCGGCTCGGAGGAGTCAGGCCTGGGCAGACAAATACCCCCGGAAAACCTGGCCGAACATTGCTTGTCTTTAATTATGTTTTGGTCCTCGAGTTTTGTGCATTGCCTTGTTTATTTTTATTACTCGGCGCCGTGGCGTCTGCGCCTGTTTATTTACATTAATTTTTTTCAATTTACCTTTATTGCCTGGGCGCAGAGGGTCCTTGTCCTTCGGTTCCTGCCGGGACTTAATTAAGCTGTCAGCTGCCCTGCCCATCCCGCTGCTCCAAATCTCAGCTGGCTACTCCCCCTTTCCCCTTTCCTCTTTCCTGTTTTTTTTTTTTTAATACAAATTCCTTTTATTTATGACTTGACTATGGGGAATCTTTACAAATCTGGCCCTGGTTATTCTGCGGTCTGAGTGCCACGCCAATTTCCATTTCCGCTGCATCCTGGCTAATTTGCCTACTAGCCATGATTGGAGCATCCAGCAGCTAAAGCTAATCTTACCGAGATTTTACCAATTTTTGAACATTTTTTTTTTTTTTGGTTAAGTGGCCCGGCTTTCCGGTTCGGGAAGGGGAGGTTAAAATCAAAAATGCCCCAAAATGTCAGGCACTTTTGAAATTTCCTACGCAATTTCCGTTGTCAACACCTTGACAGCTGTCAGACACACACACACACACAGACACTCTCGTCGAATCACACACGCACACACCCAGCCACACTCACACCCATACGTAGCCACTTGTCAGTTCGATTTGCTTTCGGGCTCTGCTCCTTGCTGTTTTTGTTTTTGTTTTCCTTTTTTTTCTTTTTGCTCTTTTTTCTCGGCATTTTGCCTAACGGAAACGGAAATTGTTAGGCTTAATAGACAATTCGCATTTCCTGTCTCTTTGAAGTCCTGGAAGTTCGCCCTCCCAGCCAGTCCGCCAGTCCGCACAATTGCACAAATCAAGGGAAGTCTACGTTGCCTCCATTCGAACCTCCGATGTGGAACAGAATCACAATAATTATAATATTTAACATCTCAATGGCCAGCCAGATCCTTTGGCACTCTAATGAGGCGTCGCCGAAGGACATGCATAATCAATGAACGACCAAACGGACGAATGAATCGGTGAATGAATGGGTAATGGGTGAGCAAGCGAGCGGGTACTCAGCGGAAGATGGAAGGAATTTATAGAGTTGGATAATTAATTAAGGAAATATTTAGTCCTTGGCTATCAAAGTCAGTAGAACAAAAGCTTTAAATTCAAATTGATTTTGAAATTATTCTCAAGTCGAGCTAAAATAAGAAGTAAAAGGTATTAGGTTTGAGGAAACTTTAAGATAACTTAAATTGAAACTAAATATTAAACTAATTTATGTTATTGGTTAAATATTTTAAAGTAAATTCAATGATTCATACATTTATTAAATATTTTCTTTATTTTTTATATTCTACTTACAGATACTGTGTGGAATTCGAGGTAATAAAAGCCTCCAAGGCCTGCCACAAGCTGCCGCCTTACAATCTGATGCTAGAAGGTAAGTGCACTGCCTTAAAATTTAGTAAATTAAATTAATATATGTATAATACATATTGTCGGTTAGCGATTTACACCTTTGTATGTTTCGTTGGTGTTGATGCTTGGGTTCCTGTTTAATTTTAAAAAGAAACTGCTAAAACAGTGCAAAAAGGAGTTTCTTTGAGCTTGCTCTTGGTGTCTTTCCTTCTGAATGACTGCCTTCCTCTTTCTTTTCTCTTATACTCGTATTTCTGTGACGATTAATTCTGCTGCGCAATTCGCCTGTATCACTATCGTCATCTCACTTACTCTCACTCACTGGGCTACTCAAGGCTACCCGTACAGCGATAGATAACTTTGTCTCACCTACTCTTGACATTCCGTTAATATTATATGTGTGTTTATCTGCCCGAGCTTTCGATCCGCTCTCGCCCACGTATGCTTACCTATCTCTTATGTTCTCCTTCTCCTTTCTTTGTAAGCAAGGCAATCGAAGTGCCGACGGCTTTTTGCATAAACCTTTTGTTTTAAGGCAGTGCAGCTCGGGTCAATCGAGAACAAACAACACTTTCTTTACGCGATTAAACCTATTTTTGATCCATTTTATTGATTTAATGGTGGCAAATTCGTTGTCTTACCCAAAACAGTTAGGTATTTAACTTTCTTAATGACTATCTCAGTTTAGTAAATAAAAATGAAATTTTTAACTTGATTTGGTCTAAAGGTTAACCCTACCGTGTTTCTTCCACTCCTCAGGCGATCGCATCACGGTTCGCTGCGACCTCGAGGCGTTGATCCAGGACACAGCCGGCAGCTCAACCACCGCCAGGGTACCCCAAAGCAACACTCCGCCGCCCACGACCACCGCTTACCCTGCCGGCCAGCGATCAGACGACCTTGAAGAGGACAGACAGCAAAGGGAAAACAGCAGCGGCAGCGATGGTGACGGCGACGAAGAGGTAACCGAAGTGGACGAAGAAGAGGAGGAGCAGGAAGAGCAGGATGACCTGCAGAACGCCCTGGACACGGACAGTAACGAGAGTACCGATTACCGCCATCAGCGGCAGTCACAGATGCAAATGTCGCATAGCCGACGGACAGCGGGAAAGCGCAGCGCTGTCCCGGTCACGCCCCCGCCTACGCTGGCGCCCACTTACCACTGCCGAGGGGAGGGGCTGGCCGGGCGTACGACACGCTGGAGTGCGCTGCCGGCGCCGTCGTGCCGCGGCAAATGGCTACGCCTGACCGTTGGACCGCCTAAGAAGTGCGGCCACGCCCAGTTCATCTTTGTCTAAGGCGTCGCCGGTCAAGTGCGGTGATCTTTTTTTTTCCGTGTAGGTTATGGTGTACGGCCATCCCCCGCCTCCAAACTCCCCCTTCATCATATCATATCATATATCATATCACCCGCGACCCTGCCCCTGGCCCCGACACGCCGCGCATTTCTCAATACTCCTCCACGCCCCCTCACTTCCGGCCCAAAATAAAAGTACCCCATCGTATGTAAGCGTTTAAACATTAAGCCAGTGGATTAAGAAGATCATAGCATATGTGTGAGGTCAGTTTTTTTTTTGTGTCTCGCTAGAGGAGCGATCCGTAAGATAGATTCACACTGCCAGTGATGGGATATAGGACGATATGGAGGATTAAGATCCAAATGGGAAACTACCTTTAAGACTTTCAAGAAATATTTCTCCTTTCTCTTTCGAAACTTAAGTTATAAGTCCAGTCTATATCCACCATATAAACCTATATATCTATACACCTTAACCACGGCTGCTGTGGACATTCTTCGGAGAGCCTTCCTCTTGGTAGTTTAGGAAAACCCTGTCGTGTAAGCATTGCGGACTTCTGGCCCAACCAACCACTCAATATATGCTGGGGGTCAGTATGAAGACGCTCATCTCGGATCGGATAATACTAGAAACTAGAGACTAAGTCATCAAATAACGCATAACATCGTCAGTGAATATGAAGTCGGGCTGCGTAGTGAAATATATATATATAGGAGTATATATATATATATATATATTTGGATGTGCATGAGTGTATCTGTCTAATCGTTAGTTCCCCAACTTGCAAGAATCTGTAGTATCCACAATCTACTAAATGATTGTGGTCCCAAAAAAATTTCAGTTGGCCAAGTTGGCGGACAACCCTCTGGAATCGGAATTAACGTTTGGATCTTAGCATTAATCTGGATTTTAGGTACACACGAATGTCGAAAGTAATTAATAAAATTATAATTAAACCAATAAATGAGATCATTCAATAAAGAACGAGTATAATTTTAAAGTAAAAACATTTTTGTTTTATTTTCTTAAGAATTTTCGAATAGAGTCTGGTAAAATCCTAGTTTTCCACAACTAGTTTGGTGAGTCGTGTCTTGAGTGCTTTACAGTGGGTTGAAAGTATTAGAAAAGTTGTGAAATTTGTAAGTATATTTGTAACTTCTTGCAGCTTTTAAACTCTTTAAAAATAAAGAATCTATAGCTTAAATTTCAGATTTGATATACTAAAATATTCATCTGTAAAAACCTTATCCTCAGCCACTGTGCCTGGGCCAGCTCTCACAGCTGATTTGGATCTACCGGTTGACCCAAATTACCATTAGTCAGGTGCCAAGCGCTCTTTTCTCTGAGTTTGCCTCTCGGCGCGAGGCTAGAGTTTTCACGGTGAAGGCCAGAATAAGAAAGCCAAACAGAGAGAGAGAGAGAGGCGAAGAGCTGGAAGACAGAGCCGGAGATTCAGCCAAAGGCAGAGTTGGACAGCCAGACGAGGCGGCTTGACTTGAGTAGTCCCAAAGCGATCGCAGACCGATACGGACGGCTGATGAGTAGAGTGCACCTGTCCTAAGAAGCTGCAGTCTAAAACCGTTAAGAGTAATTCTCGATTTGCATTCATCTGGTTTCTGCCACACTGCCCACTGTGGTGATTCATCAAGCCATCATCGATTGTTGGTTGTCAGTTTGGCTGGTGTTTGGAGTGTGGTTCCCGTTCTTTTGGTTTGGTTTTGCCGCAAAGAAAGTTGTCTTCGAACATGTTAATTGTGACGCGACTGTGGGTCGTCGTCGATTTCTTTTAACGGTCTAAGTTTGGCCAAACGAAAACACTTTTCGTTAAAGCCAATAATCCCAGACATTGGGTGTTTTTTTTTCTTTATTCTGGCTTAAAGTACACACTATAAAGAAGGTTTAAAGTTTACCCTTAATTAACTTCTTGAACTTAACTAACATCTTAAGAAAGGTCGAAGGAGTCAACTCAAACATAAATCTTAGAACATTTTCTCAGAATTGTGACATTAGTTAAAGTTAAAGCTGTTAGTTAAAGTTAAATAAGATATTATTCTTATATCTACTATATATTCCTAAAAAATCAAATCCAGATATGTTGCCAAACAAAATTTCCGCACTCCTTCTGGTGACCCTAATCACCTTCCTCAAACTGGAGGCAAACGACGCCTTCAGAAGAAACTTCGAGGCGCGCCAAAGCAGCAACTCGAATATTCCACTTTGGAAGCAACGAGTGAGTTCTAGAATCCAGATCCTAATCCTTAATAGGTAGTAAACCAAAAGTTTTGTTAACCTTAGGCCTGTGAAAAATCGCAGAAACAAAAGCAAAATGCACATTATGTGTGCGATGAAAAGGGAGACTTTAAATGCCTTCCGGGATGGCAGGGTGATCTCTGCCAGGTGCCCATGTGCCGCAGAGGCTGTGACCCCATGAATGGTATGCTTAACTGTGAAGGTGATCCTTGAGACTTGATCTCTGATATAACAAACTTTCAGGCTATTGCCAACGACCTGGGGAATGCAGATGTCGCATTGGATACAGCGGCGAACTCTGCGACAAGTGCATTCCGCTGCCCGGCTGCCAGCATGGCGGATGCACCAAGCCCTTCGAGTGCATCTGCAAGCCAGGATGGGCAGGACTCTTCTGCACGGAACGTAAGTAGGGGGATTTAATGAGCTGAGGATTTTCTATCCAATAAAATTACTCCATTGTCTGCTTCCTCTGACTTGCAGCCAGCTGCCGGACCGGATGCCATAGCACACGGGGATATTGCGAGGCGCCCGGAGAGTGTCGCTGCCGTATTGGCTACGCCGGTCGCACCTGCTCGGAATGCGCCACTATGCCTGGCTGTCAGCATGGAACCTGCAACAAGCCACTCGAATGCCTCTGCCTGCCCGGCTACACGGGGTTACTCTGTCAGACGCGTAAGTCCTGCCACCACTGAGGGATCTCTCAGCCAATCCTTAATGCCTCTTCCCCCTTAGCTCTTTGTGACCCCGACTGCAGCAAGCAGCACGGTTATTGCCGCAAACCTGGAGAATGCCGGTAAGTATGAGAACTTAAGGATATCCCTACATATGTATTCCTGGAAATGGTAACTTCAAGGTGACCAAAACATAGATCGATTTTCCCTTGAACCTTGCCATATCAATTAAGCTAACCCATGGCTGACATCATTTTTCATGGACACCCACAATTTTCTACTCCAGCTGCAAGGTGGGCTGGACGGGCAGCCAGTGCGACAAGTGCTTCCCGTATCCGGGATGTGCCAACGGAGATTGCGAGGCGCCGTGGGAGTGCAACTGCCATCCGGGATGGGGCGGGATGCTGTGCGACGAGAGTGAGTATATGGCAGTATTGCCGTGTGATATGTGACCGCCAACGGGAATTGACCGAGTTGACCCACAGAGCTCACCTACTGCGTGGAGCATCCGGACACGTGCGAAAACGAGGGCAAGTGCATGTCGCTGAGCCGCGAGGATGGGAGCTATCGCTGCCAGTGCCGGCAGGGTTTTCTGGGCAAGAACTGCGAGATACGAGATGACTTTCTGCTAACCTCGGTGGCGCCGCCGCGCATCACCCCGCCAACGCCAACTGAGCTAGAACTCAACCAGGACCAAGACCTGTACCAGGACAAGGACAAGGACAGGGACCAGGACGTGGGAACAGGTGCACCCGATGACAGTGCAACGGTTGGTGGGCAGCCGGAAAAGTTGCCGACGGGTAACGAGCCGGAGCGCCGGACAAATGACACCGCAGCCGTGACAACCGCAGGAGTAGGAGCAGGGGCAGTAGCAAGACCAGGAGGACCCATCGGTTCACAATCCACCAACAGCAACGCCAACACCAACGCCACAAGGACGACAATGGTGGCAACTGGAGCTGGCAGCCACAATGAGACTAATGAAGCGTTAAGCGCCGTTACAACGAGGCGTGCCACCCCAGTTCCCCCAACTGGCGCATCAACATCCGGAGAAAAAGCCGTAAAGGGTTATTCAACAAGTGTGGCGGCGGCGGTAGCGACAGGACCCCAGCACCGCCCACTGCCCAACAGCCCCACACAGTTCACTAGCCAAGAGCAAACAATAGCAACTTTGGCGCCAGCTGCAACAGTAATACCAACGGCAACAGCAGCAACATCCGTGACCAGCCACAAGGATAAGCCAAATGTCGAGGAAGAGGAGGAGGATGAAGATGACGAGGATGATGAGGAAGACGAGGATGGTGAATATGATGAGGAGGAGGACGAAGACGAGGACGATGAGGAGGATGACAGCGATCAACTCATACCAAATATAATATAGTTAAGTGGCTGACAAATGACGAGTAATCCTTTCTGTCTATATGCAAGGTTTATGTTTAAAAAAAACTCTTGATTAAGGACATTACCTAATGCATTACATTAACATTAACTGAGTACCGAGTATCTCTCATGTTTTTTTTTTGTTTTTGTTTAATATTTATTAATGCTTGGGCCACCCAATTAACAAGCCCAACTTTTACATAGATATACATATATAAATTGTATTTATTTATGATAATTTTAGGGATTAAGCTAAGCAATTTTCGATTTAACAAATGTCAAAAAAAAAAAAATGATAATAATAAAGTTTGCTAATCTTAAGTGCTACAAGAAATCGTTGAATCGAAATGAGGATTGGGTTTGGGGGGAAAGGGGGTCACAAGGTTAGAGTTCAATTCCTGCACTCGGATTGCACTTGGTTCGCTTAAACTTAAGACAAAGGGGAGACTTTGAGCGGGTTAAAGGGGGATCTATATGGCCATCGTAGCGCCACCGAGTTGGGGGAGTGAGCGGTTGTTCTTTTTATTTGTTCAGGAAATCAAGGATCAAGGATTACAGAAACCAGCACAACAAAAACATACATATAAACATCTAAACATACATATGTCTCATGCATATGGGCGTTAATAAATATATGTATGTGGTAGTAGTCTTACGAAACGACAAAAAAATGTGTGTTTGTGTGGGTGTGGAGAATAACTCAATACGATATCGATACGAATAATAATAATTATGGGTAATGCAAGGAGCCAATGTCGGGGGGCCTAGTTAAGATCCCGCTTGTCGCGCTGACTGATCTGGGCCATGGTGATGTACTGGCGCACCAGGCGCGAGATCTCATGGGCCTGCTCCGTTTGGACGCGTATGACGCGCTGCTGCATCAGGTTGCCCACCTTCATGTCCAGGAAAAGGGCGCCATCCTCTGATCGAACCTGCATCCCACAAAAAAGAATCAAAATTAATAACAAATCTCTCATAAAAGACACTCCCAACTGCTTACCTTGCGCGTGGATATCACCTCCATGAAGCTCCAGTGCTGCAGGGTTTCGTGGGTGTTGGGATCCAGGAAGAGGACGCCACGTCTATTAAGTGCCAGGATGAGGTCACGCCACATGGGACTGTGATTGTCCTCCACATGCGGTCCCTCTTCCGCCCAAATGCGCTTCACCGCAAAGAAGCTGCTGCCGAAGAGCGGCCATGTGGCCAGCACGTTGAGGAACTGTGCCTTCACCTGGCCGGGACTCAAGTTGGCCACCTGCGGCCAAGCCGACTGAACAAGTCCCACCCACTGTGCAGGTCGGATCTCGCGAATTCCCAGCGCCGGTTTGGGCAGCAAAAACTTGATCTCCTTCATCGCGGGCACGTGACTCAGATCGGCGGCCCGGTGCAGCAGGGCTGCAATCCTAGCCATATCCCTGACCATTTCCGGTACTGGCACTCCGTTGCCGGGCAGTTCCAGCAGCAGACCCTCCAGATAATCCGGAGCCACCTGGTTGAAGAGCACCTCCACGTACAGAGGCATTGGTGCCGGTTCTCGCTTTAGGGCAAAGTGCCAAACGGAGCGGCAGAAGATCAGGTAGAAGGGCTGCCCGGACTTCAGCAGCTCTGTGGTCACATCCAGAATATACTCATCGGCGGCCAGTGGCATGGTGAAGGCATCGCCCTGGACAATGCAATACAAGGAGAACTCCTGCTGCTCAGCCTCGGATTCCACGCCAAGCAGCGCACACAATTCGGCGATGACGTCGGCCACCACGGTGGAGCAGCGGGTGTTGACCACTCGCTCTGCTCCTCCGGGCAGGCGGTAGATCTGCCTTCGAGCCGAACGACCGGCAGACACGGCTGTCACTTCCTCCACACTGGGCACATTCTTCCTGCCGCCACAACGTGCTGTCTTCCGAAGATTGGTTAGACAAACGGCTGCCGTACCATGACACGAACGCCGTCGGTCGGAGGCCGCCGAAGTCAGATGCTCCATCAGGTAGGGACGCAGAGCGTCCGAGCAGCCAAAGTACGCCGCCAAAATGCTGAGCAGGCGCCAGGCGCGCTGCGAGCTATCCGGACACGGTGACCTGTTGGCCGTCGTCTGCTTCATCAGCTGGCAGTAGACCTCATCGCGCAGGGCCAAGTATTTGTGACAATGCTGGAAGATCGAATGGGAATATATTTAGTGCATGGATAAGGAAATCACTTGTAAAAACCAACTTGCACGGCTTGGATAACAAAAAAAAAAGTCTGTGTGTTACGACACATACTTACAAGGCCCTCTGTACTACGGACGAACAAGTTAGAACAAGTTAACTGTAAGTGTTATATTGTTATCCTTTTCTAACATATGTCAGCATAATATAAGCATAAGAGATCGAATGCATGTACATATATCTATCTCGCTGACGGATGAGCGAGGATAAGCAAAACGAGAAATTGCGACATTCGGTTTTTACCGTTGGGCGAGAGCAGATGTAAACAAAGGAGATATAAAATCATTACGGTACTTCAACTGTTACTTAAGTTTAAGAACTAATTAAAAACTTTTCTTAATTATTGATTATTATCAATTTTAACTAACTAAGACTTTGGTAAGGAACTTTAACTTACATTGTTTTTTTCTAACTGTATTTAATTAAACATTTTGAAATCAGGAAACCAATGATAACTGACAGCAGTTTTTTTTTTATTAAACACACAACTCAAAATACTTCCGATAGCAGATTTTATATAACTGCTCTTCCTGTTGCCAACTCAAATCAAGTTTCGCAAAACTGGAATCGACAATGTGTTTGCATTTTCCCAAAAGCTATTAATTTTTTATGCAAAGGATTGGCTTTAAGTTTGTTAAAAGCAAAGCCATGGATATTGGTTTTTTATGACAACCAATTTAAAGATAACCTTTAACTAAAACGATCTCTGAATTCTTTATCTTTTATCTTATCTATCTTACATAAGCTAACTGAACTAATGTTAAGCTGTAAAGTAGGTAAGTAGCTCGCTAAAAAACTTTCCTTACTTCTACTGAAAGTCTGTTTTGATCTCTAATCCACTTTCAGTACACAAAATTCCCACAGACACTCCGCTCTAGCGGTTCTATGACTTCGAGGTGTCCACAATCTGTTTCCGGTTCGGGTGGCAAGTTGGAATTTCTAGGGCAGCAGAACAGGCAGCCGAAACCTGTTGCACATATTTCTGGGACCACCTCAAAGTCGCCGCCGTCGATGTCAACTGGTTTTGTTAACCCAGAACCCAGAACCCAGAACCCAGAACCCGGGAGTAAACTCACCATAAGCACAGTGTAGACGCACTTGACCTCGGTAAGGTCGGGATCCAGGGGAATATCGCCACAGTAGCGCAGGATGCAGTCAAAGCACTCGAGCGCCAGTGGCGCCAAGTCATTTGGTAGTCGAAGGAGCGGCAGACGTATGGCGTGGCCCTGCCACTTCACCAGTTCCGCATACGAGCGATTCGCGGCGGACTGATGCCGCTCATGGTGTCGGTCAGCGTCCCTCAGTTGGCTATAAAGAAGAGGTTAAGATCCCTGGAACTTGAGTTTTTCCAATCAACTTACTCATTGCGGAAGTGCTGCATGGCGAACTGGAGCAGCGAGTACTTGGTCACGGAAGGCGGTGTGCCGCCATTGCTCTCATCCTGCAGATAATTGGCATCCAGGTCATGGTGCGGCAATGACTGCGACTGCTGCTGTTGCTGCTGCAGGATCTGTTCTTGCTGGTGGACCTGTCCATTGGTCAGGGAGGAAGGCTGCTGCCCGGCATTCGACTTACGGGCAGAGTGCAGATAGCTCTGCTGCTTAAGGAAGCGCTGCTGCTGACCCTGCTGCTGACCCAATTGCTGCTGTTGTTGCTGCTGCTGCTGCTGTTGGTGGTGATCGGAGGACAAATGCTGCTCCTCCAGGGCATCCTCTAACTGCTGTTGCTGATGATGCTGTTGCTGCAGATGATGATGCAGATCTGCCTGCTGTACCTGCTCATTCTGTCGTGATCCTCCATCCACGCCGTGCTCGTTGCGCTGGGCGTGCGCCTGGCGGGACTCCAGGCGCTCCAGCGGCACATTCAGAGTCTGGGCGGCGGCACGGGCACCGGATGACAAGGTGGAGGCCTTCGATTGTGACTGTAAGTAGGAGGAAAGAGTTATTTTGTTGTTTAAGTCACATTGTTAGACTATTTAAACTTATTTTATGACACATAACTTAGTCTAGTTCTTAAGTTTAAGTTAAATTAAGGAGTTGTTAACCTTTAATCATTACAAAATCAATCCAGAAGTAACTATAAATACCATTAACTTACGGAATAGGTATCACCATTAGATCATCACTATTTCATAAGCCAGGCTAACTAACTAATTAATGTAATCGACGCGCTTTTGAATATTCACTTAATCAATTAGCGAAAAAAAAAAATGCAAACACAAATGTGTTTTACCGAGAAATTACTTTCAAACTTAAATGCAAGTCTGCATTTATTTCAGCTTAATACTACACTGAAACAAAACTCTAACAAGAATATTAAATATTTTACTAAGATAATGGATATGGCTAGGAAAATAGATCAATAACTAACAACATCGTAAAACTAAATCACAGGTAAAAAACAAGGCACTAGGAAAATGTCTTTTGAAAGTCGATTTCTGGCCAGCGATAACAATTATTTTTTACCGTGCACTGCAGGAGAGTGCAGCTGAGAGAGCCTGCAATTTGTTAATTGACTTGCAAGGCGCAACTCGCATATTTTTGTTGGCCATGTCAATGGCATGTGAAAGTTGCTGGGCGTCTTTTTTTGTTTTTTTGGTCAGCTTTGGTGCAACCAGTTGCCGTTGCCTCGTTGCCCGTTTGCCGTTTGGTTTGGGACCCGTTTGCAAAGGGGGCGTGTCAGATGATTTATACTCCCATATTGACCGGTGACAGCTGGCTGGTATCGGCGATACGAGAGCGGTAGACTGCGTTTTTGGCAACGAAAGTGTTTGGCATTGGTGATTTTTCACTTTTATTGCTTGCATTCAATTATTCGATGCAATTTGTTGCAATTGCTTTCTTTTTTTTTTTGTTTCTTTTGCTACTACCACACGCCCCCGCAAACACGCAGCCATATAGTAGATTTGATTATACAAGTATATATATAGCTATATAGCCATATAGATAGTTAGATTTACACCCCCGAATGCTTGGCAACTGCATTTTGCACGCTCATGCGAGAAGAGATTAGTAAAAGTTGTTGTTTATGAAAGCGGAAATCTTTCACCAATCAATCAACTTGCCATATGTGAAAAATTATGCGCATTGTTCAAATTTTGGCCAGCAGCGTGAAAAACCACTGCAGGAAAATGCCAAACACAAACAAAAACAAAAACAAAAACAAAAACAAACTCATTACAACCAACTGGTTGTAAATGAAGATTGCATTTGGTATTGCAACAATTTACCGACTTTTTTTTTTTTTGGTTTTAATCAAAACAAAAATGCGGCATTTATTTTTTGTCAGAAGAGGAAAAGTAGATCGATAAAATTAAAGGTGGCGGGTATAATTTTCGATGTTTTAAAATTGAATTTAGGTACTCGTTTAGTTAATCAATGGGGTCTAAATATATTCCTAAGTTTGCTAGGTTTCTTCTTTGGGAATATCTTTGTATCTTATTTAGACAATCAATCAATAAAATACAAAAAGAAGCTCAAGTTTTTATCAATATTTTACGCAAGTCCAACGGAAATGTTAATACCATATAACAGCGGTTTAAAGTTTATAAATTATTCATGATTTTGGTTTATTTTTCTGTTTTTAGATTTCTTAAGTGCGGTTAAAAAGCCACAGAAATGAATGTACAAAAAAGTAAAAAACAAGTTACCAAAATTACAAACCTATTTCCTAATCTGATTTTCTTAAGTGGTTTTGAAGACAAGAAGAATTTTCCAAGATAGGAAAGCTTTTAAGTCAGTATTTAAGCTTATCTTAACTTTTTAGTTTTCCATTAAAAAGTGCATATATTTCAGCCAAATACTTCTTATACCTTCTTTCTTTCAGTGCATAACAAACACTCAATTAATGGCAGCGTGGGTGCAACGAGATCGCCTTGGGATGAGGATCACCCAGATCCGAAAGCCTAATAGCTTTTTGGGACTTGTCTGGCTATCCAACTGTCTGGCTAACCGACTGTCTAGATGGGATCGAGAAGTCTTGGCCTGTTCGCCTGTCAACCCCAAAACGGGGACAAATCTTGTGTTTTGCCTCGCATATGGGTATATGGGTATGAGACTGTGGAACGAGGCTCCCAACTGGGTCAGATGGCCTGAATCGGAGTGCCAGATGCTCCAGTTTCTGGTACACTACATGCACCGAGAAATTCTAGCAAAAGTCACAATGTATGTAAGATATAGATATATATATATATATAGAGGGGCAAAAACAAGAGTTAAATTTGGTGTGTAATTTCTAAGTGACCGCTAAAACTTTCTTTTTGGCTGGCATTGTGTTATTTCATACACACATACACGGAGTGTGTGTGCTTTAATTTTTTTTTTTTATTTTGTTTCTTTGTTTTGCCAGCTACGAGAGTTAATTAAAATTCGAAATTAATGCCTGCCCGTCCGCTCGTCCATTCAGACGCACAGATTTACGGCATAGCAAACTGCAGTTGGAGCAGATGAGGAGATGAGCGGATGATGGTCGAATGGCATTAAAGTCATTTACCATTTGGGGAAGCTCGAAAACGGGGGCCAGCCATAAAGGCGAAACGCACACGAAATGTGTAATTAAATTATTGAAATCAAATTACAGTTAAATTACAATGGTTTTTTTATAGATCTCAGGGAAAACGGCGCTTGCTTGGAGAAGTATCTTAACCCATATATATATATTGTACTATCGCCGCTTGCATCTTTGTGGGTCAACATCAACATCAACATCAACATCAGCCAAGCAACCAACCTACCCATCCCATCCCATTCAACAGTTCTTATTGTCTTTAATCTTTGGTTTTTATGGATCTCACACATGATGGTCATCGAACCCAAAACTAGCAACGTGATGGCATCTTCTTTGATCCAGCACGCACGTCATTTTCCGGGGCCAAGAAAGTTCGCCAACACGGGAATTTAGAACGTGCATTACATTCATCTTCTACCAGACAATTCTCTCCAAGATCGATTAAACACAATCTGAGGATTCATTAGAGTTACTGGACTTTAGACGTTCCTCATTATTTATTTTAATTACTGACTGCAAGACGTGATTCAATCTCTAAACATTAGCTTAAAGCAACTCAGATTGTAGGTTTTCAAAATGGAATTTTCCGTTTTTAGAAAACCCAAGCAAAGATCAAATCTTATCCTTCCTATTGCTAGCTGTAATATATACCAAATATGATAGTTTAATAAGTTATTTTAGGAAACTAAAATGATGTTTGGTAAGCCCTAACTACTTAGCAAAGATCACTTTAGTACTCCGTTGGGAAATTGACTAAATACCTTACTAAATTTTCCACCCAAAAACTACTAACGATGTTGACATAGAGGCTGTCATGACGCGGGGTCCTAAGGTACCTAAGGTATCACTCACTATTATATAATCGAGACCCGGGATCGCCAGTTTACCCGCTAATTAGCCCACCAACCAGGTTGCCCAGCAATGAGGTTCGTGATGTAAGACCGCTCAGAGTAGGCTGGCTGACTGGCTGACTGGCTAGGCACTCGCCTTTGTGGGCTCTCCGTCTGGCCACGCTAATAATGCGATTATGTGTCGACTTAATAACACCGTTAGACCCAACCACGGCGATCATTCATCTGACTCTGACTCCCCCCCCGCAAACGCCAAGGGGCCAAATGGGCCTATGATTTGTGGTCTTTCGGTTTTTTTTTTGGTTGGCCGCTGAAAAGCGTTTGTATTTGATTAATTTTTCAGCTTTTTTTTTTTAGTTCCGATTTCGGGGAAGTGTGTTGAATATAACCGATACAGTTTAAACGGTCTACGCCTTTAATAATTTAATCAATTTTTAAGAAATTATGGAAATAATCAAGATTTTCCCTCTGTTTTGTTTTCAGTTATCAAAGATTTTGCTATGGAATTTAATCCACTTTTGGTGAAGTTTTTGGACAGGTAAATTTGTTGTTTGATTTTTAAATAATCACTAAAACATTAGTATCTTTCTAGGTTAGGGATTATAAACCTCCTTCCCTGAAAATTCAATAATAAATCCCCGAAAATGTTACCTCATTCGAGTTCATAGTCTCGAACCGGGCCAGAATCTCCTTGACCGAAATCTTCGACTCCGTTGGCTCCTCGAGTATCGTCTCCATGCGGCTTACGGATCCACTACTAGCATTGCTCACCCTCCTCGTCTTGTTACCACCGGGGATAAGCAAGGGCGTGGATCCCAAAGGGTTGTTAGAACCTTGAAAGGCAGCCAAATTGGAGACGCAAACAGGAGCAGAAGCTGTAGCAGAAACAGAAGAAGTAGGAGCTGGAGAGCAGCTGGAACTGGGAGTGGGATTTCCAACTTCGATCGGAGGCAGTTGCATATCCAGGACCGTCTGCTCCTCATTGTTGTTGTCGTCTCTTTGGCTGAGCTGCATCTTGAAGCTGAGCTGCTCCTCCAGGCAGCATTGCTCGCACAGACTGCCGGCAGAGGAGTTGGACGTTAGGGTGGCGGTGGTGCAGCACTTGTACACGATATCCTCCTCAACGCTCCAGGCATTATCATTGGCCAGTCCAAGATCTCCGGCAGATCCCGAACCAGAAGGATCGCCATCGTGCATGGTCATCGAGGCACAGCATTGTTCGTTCAACTCCCGGATACTTTCGTTGGTCAACTGGTCGAGATCACTGCGTCGCATCTGCTGATGATGGAGCATCGACTGCATCTGGGCATGATGCACCTGGGCAGCAGTGGTGCCCGTGATGTGTGCAATTTCCGCATCATCCGAGTCCGTATAGAGCATTTCATGCTCCTCATCCGTCAGATTGTTCAACGAGTCCAGGGATGCACATTTGCATTCCTGTTCGCCTTCATCTTGAGGCTCCCTATCCCTATCACGATCTCGATTGTGTTCCTGATCCTGTTGCTGACCCTGCTGTTGCAGCAACTTAAAGTTGTTGACCTTGTCGTGATGCATCTTGCTAATCAGCGACTCCACTTTGTTCACGATACTGCTGAACTTGTGGGGCACACTGCCGCCGCCGGAGGTCAGTTGAACGGCCTGAACGTTGGAGGATTTGGTGGCTCGCACGCTTTGCGACATCCTGAGGGGAGTTTCTCTATTAGGAGTTTCAGGAATGGTTCAGGATCAAGTGGCTGGCACAGTCCAAGACCAAGACCAAGTCACGACCATTGCCAATAAGCCGGCGACAGACTCTTCGTCTGCGTTGCAGTGAAAGTTAGTGCATTGTGATGGACGGCCTGCAGGCTCTATTCCACCATACCGAATATTGTTTGTTCAGCGGTTCGCGAGGTTCGAGGAAAAGCCAGGCAAACAAACAGAAGAAACAAAAAAAACAGCAACAACAACAAGAAGGAAAAACGCAAACGGCAAACGACGGCGAAAAATGAAAAACGAACCGCAGCGGACAGCGTTTCCCGCACAATGATGAGTGGAATGGATTCGATGGTCGGACACACACATCAAGCCATGACTATACGCGATTTTTCTTGTAATATTTATATATATATATTTGTTGTTTTTGTTTTTGTATTGTTGATGTGTGGAAATTGGCAATGCAGTTAAATGCGTGCCGTATTTGTTTCTTTTTCTCGCTTCGAGTTATTTATTTTTTCTTGTTATTTTTACGCTTTTCTGCCTCAATTTATTTTAATTTGCCATTTTCAGTTTGTCTTTCCACTTGATGGACTGGCGAAAATCGCCCGATCGTCGCCACTGTTTTTATTTTGATTTATTTTTTATTTTTATCTCTCTCTATCTCTATCTCTGTGCGAAGCAGTTTGAAAAATATGGCCATATAATTGGTTGGAATCAATGCTGAGTTGCGCGTTTAAAGGCAGCACGGATGGTTGGTCAAATTGTTAGCCAAATTGTTGGCCAATCTGCAATACAACCGATCGGTATGAAGTAACCATAATAATAAGGCACGAGATGGACAAATGTGATTGCATTTCAATCAAGTCATTCAATTTTTTAGCTATTACACTATGTAAAGTTGATTTTGTAAGTTAAAGGCTGTCTATATCTTTCATAAGGAAACTAAAAACCCAATTCTGATTGCCAGTTAAGAGAGGAAAAAGTATCTTTAAGTTTACAAGCAAAGAATTCTATTAATAAGCCAGGAGTTAACTTTAACTTTGACTGCAAGTTAATTCTTTAAACAAAAACACTCTCGAAACATAAACAATAAACTAGCTTTGTGTTTCAAGTACTCTCCCGATTTCTCCCCAACTTTTAGCAATTGCCTGCTAACTACCCTAAACACTTTCAAACGAACCATTGTCAGGAAGTTTTCATTAATAAAGGAAAGTGTTTTTCCCCCTTTGGACACATTTTCAAACTGCTACCACAAAAAGATCGTTGGTTTATCTTAAGTCCGGTTCTTGGTTTTAAAATCGCCTTCACTGGATTTGTCATACAATTTGTTTACAAAATTTTAGGTCAGCTTTGTTTCTTATCGGCCCACAAGAAAAAACATTTCAGCACTTAAGCACAGGTACAAAAAATATAAAGAAAAGAAGCTAAACTTGGTCAGCACTTGGTCGGCCACAAAGAATTCGACGCGAGAGCCCGCTGCGTGATGCCGTTACCGCACATTCGTAACAACTAACGACTGAAAACTAAAAGCTAAAAACTGAAAACTGAAAACTGGCCGAAACGGACTTAATGCAACCTGGTCAAGATGGGAAAGAGCCATCCGACTGGCCATTTCACTCGCAACCGAGCAGAACAGAGAGCTTAAGAGCCATAGAGCCATAGAGCTATAGAGCGGCTTTAAGCCAAGTTAAGACCAAGCTGAGTGAAAACGCGGCTCACGACAACAACGGCTCTCTACTATCAACACTTGGCCAAGCCGAGCGTAAAGCCCCTGAAAGAAAGAGCGGGAAAGTCTTTCTCCACACCAGCAATTCCCATTCCCTGCTGAGATAACTGTTTCGCCAGCTCTTTGGCCAACGAACGACTCTCCCATCTACCATCTACCATCTACCAAACTCCACATCTGCCACTCAGATTGCTCTGGATGGAGCTCAGTCTGACTGGCCAGCGTTTGGCGTTTAACGAGTTTTCACGCATAAAATGAATTGAATTAAAAAAAACAACTTCAAAAAGCGATGGGTAGCAGGGCAGGGGAAATGGAAAACATTTTGTTGATCATCAAACAAAATTCAAAGTCACAACGCGAAGCGGAAATACTCTTGGGAAGGGAAGTTTCGATTAAAGAAAGTTCACTTTTTAACTTAGCAAACTAATTTTTAGTTCAATTATGCTTATAAACTGCATCCTTAATTGATTTCCAAACAAACACTTAAAATAACTAATTTCATGAAAGTTAGCCTTAACGATTCCGTCAAATATTTACAAAGAAAATTGATTAATTTTTACCAACATCTCCTTTAGCTTTGATTGGCGGAAAGTGCATACCCGTTTGAAGAGTTTTTGAATGAGTTTAAAGAGAAAAGAAAAGTAAACACACTAGACTGTTAGCTCCATTCGAGTGATGGACGTGCGGCAACTATGAATATCAGCCATGCGCGGATGATGCTTATATGGCGCTGGAATCTGGCTGGAGCCACTGAGACCCACTGAGCTTCAAGGTGATCAAAAAAAAAATAAAAAGAAAACTAAGACAGATAGATACCTTCAGAGGCTAACAAGTGATCATTCTTTTAAGCCAAAAAAAGGCATTTTAAATGGTCCTTCTAAGGTCTTTCTTTGTCTAACCAAAACATCTTTGATTTCTTACTTTAAAAATCCATTAAAAAGCTATCAAATTATGCCAGACTGATCAGCAAAGTAAGGTGATGTTACAGATATAAAACTAACACTTCAAAATTACACCCAGCTTGCCAGCTGCCATATCATTATCTTGAGACCGTAAAAACATTAGCAGTTTCATTAAGGCCACATTATTATGACCAATGTCTGCAATTATTCACGCAATTAATGCAATTATTTTTGTAGTTAACAGACGTGAAGTGGCATACAAAATAATTGTTAAACAAAAATAATTGATTCGCCAAAAAAAATATCAATTGGAAAAATAAGTTTTTTCGGTGATTTAAAAATGAATATCAATGTCAATATGGGACTAAAAGTGATTTAGCTTGTAAATTTAAAAACTATATAAATTAATTTTAAAAATTAAACTTAAATATTTATGAGTTAAGGGAATATGTTTTTTGTTTGTGGAAATCTTATGTTGACTTATTTTTTAAGCCTTTTTAGATTCACAAATCAAGTTCTTTCTTTTCAACTTTCACAGCCTGAAACTGGGTTTGAAGGCTTAAATATTTCTTGCATACTTTTAGGCACCTTTAATATTTTCAAGAAATTGGAAAGCGAAACTTTGTTTGAATGAAGAAATATATTATTATTAATTATTATATCTTTAAATTAATTATATGATAACCTTAAGACTTCTTAATGATTATTAAAAAAATAGTTCACCCACAAACCACCAAACTACATAAAACCAACCACTCACCTTACGGAACTCCTGGACAAAGCTGGTTACCATCGACTGGATGGCGGCTGCGCGGGCTGCATGAAGTGCCAGATGCTTGCCATTGCGCAAATTGAGTTGCAGTGCCGCTGGACGCGGCAGTGTGACGGCACTCTGGATCTCGCCAAAGGAGATGGCCTGAACAACGATCAGGTAATCGGCATCCCGGCGAGCCAAATACAAGCCACTATGTGAGACGCCCATGATGCTAACATCAGGATAGAGTGGTGCTCCTTGGACGGCAAAGAGTCGTGCGAAATACAATGGCCAATCGCGTGCCATATCCACCAGATGACGCTTGACCAGGGCACGCACCTGCCCACCAGATCCTCCACCTGTTCCCGATCCGTTCCTATTCGACAGCGTGTCCACACTCACGCCATGGCCGTGCAGCATGTTTAGGGCGGAGCTCTTCTCCTGCGGCGTGATTCTCAGGCATGGAGTCACGCCGAAGACATCGCCCAGTACCTGGGCAAAGAGCAGGTCCAAAGCCACCGGCGGTCCGATGGGTTCGTGTGGCTGGAAGACCTCCTTGCGCACGCGCAGCTTCCATGGTACCCGATTATAGGTCAAGCAGGCACTGCTGGCACCTGCTCCCGATCCCATCAGCACTCCAGAGACTACGCCCACACCCAGTCCGGGACTGGACGACGATGGCGGTGGCACCGGAGCCGGCACAATTACGGGCGGCGGCGTGGTCATGTGCATCGAGTCCAGCTCCTCGCGCATTCCGGAGCTGGCCGAGCTCTTGCGCTTGCGCTCATGCTCGTACTTTTGGGCCATGTGCGTGCGGAAGGTGGCCAGTCCGCCGGAACGGTCCTCCCTGCGATGGCCACCGGTGGTGTCCATGCTGGCCTGGATCACTCGTGGTGGTGCGGGCTGATAAACCTTGTGGCTTTCACGCTCTCGCTCCACCTGACGAATCTCGTAGAGACGCTCACGTTCGCGTTCTCGTTTCTCACGCTCCTTCTCACTGCCACTTCCAGAAGCAGGACCCTCCACTTCCGCCCGATCCCACACAGACTCAGAGTAATCCTCGCGATCTCGACTTCTGCTCCTACTGCGAGATCGTTCCCTCTCCGCCTGATCCCAGGCAGCTGCCGCTGGGGAAGACGAGGCCGAGTGATCCTCCAGATGCAGGTGGTGGCTGCTAATCATCTGCTGCTGACGCACTGCCCCGAAAGTGTCGCGCTCCTGGCGCTGAATGAAGGCAGGCACATGCTCCTTGACAACTTGACTGCTAGAAGTGCGATAGTCTGGCTCCGGTTCGGGACTCCTGGTCGTGGGTGGACTCTGTGGTGCTGGCGGTGGAGCAGGTGGTGCCATGCTAGGTGGTCGGATGGGTGGTGGCGGTGCTGGGACACTGGGAGCTGGTGGCAGAAGTACTCCTGGCCAGCCGCCCGATGGAGGAGCTGGTGGCGGCGACAGTTTGCCCTCCATCCGCTCGATTTGTGTGCGAACCGTGGCATGGGAATCGGGTCCTCCAGAGCCTCCGGGACCAGAATTACCACCAGTCACGCTGGCGAAGAGTCCGCCCAGCTGCTGTTGCAACATAAGCTTGCGCGTATCCTCCAGTTTGGCCGGAGCTCGTTGCTCTGACTTAGTGGAAACGGTGGATCTCACCGAATGGCCAGCCGTAACCTGCTCCAAGCGCTGCCGCATCTCGGAGCTGAGCTTTAGTTTACCCACACTGCCTGGCGGCGGACGATCGGCTCCGATTTCGAAGCTCTTCTTGGCCAGCTTGGTGGTGACCACACTCTGCATCGGTTGTCCTCCATCCTGGGTATCTCTGTCCCTGTCCCTGTCCCTGTCCCTGTTGTTTATCGCCGCAGTGGTTGTTGTCGTAGTGGTGGTTTCCAGACGAATGCTGCTTCGCATGAGCTGTCCACTCATGGGCGGCGGAGTGGGACTCTCAATTTCGAACTCCTCCCACTCGATGGCCGTGGCCGAGGCGCCACGGGCACCAGGACCCGATTCCGCCATGCCACCATTGCTGGTCAACTGATGGTGCTGGGCCTGTGGCGTTGTCTTGCGCTGATGCTGGCGCATCTTGAAGGCGAAAAAGTCCTCCTCGGTCTGGAACTGGGGCTCATCCTGCGGCGGTGGCCAACGCCATTTGCCAATACGTACGGTCTTGGCCCTTCCATATGGATCCAGAAAGTGTCGCGTCTCCGAGGGATCCTTGCACTCCAACGGCGGTGGCATTGGCGGCGGTGGTGGTGGTGGCGGTGGTTGCATCGCCTCCATTACCACCAAACTGCTTCGTGTGGTCTTCATTCGCAGTGGAGACTGTGGTGGCGGTGGTGAGATGGACAGACTGCCCAACACTGGTGGAGCCGGTGGCGGCGATGCGGAGCTATTGGCCGCTGCCGCCTGCTGACTGAGAAGCGTCTGGAGAGCTTGGTTCTGGGCCAACAGCTGCTGCTGAATCTGTAGATTCTGGGCCATTGCCGATTGCAAGAAAGCCCGTTGCACCTGCTGTTGATACAGGGCAGGACCGGATTCTGTCTCGCCGGGAAGCTGCATAAGCTGATGAAGCAAAGGATCAGCTCCATTGCTGTCTGTGCTGCCGCCTCCACGGATGCTGAATGCTAACTGCTCCTTACTGGTTAGTTTGTCCAGGTTGTCGGCGACTGGAATGGGTTGGAAAATATCATTGATGTAGTCATCGAGGTCCTCGATTTCCGAATCCTCTTCCTCATCCGCAGGCTTAGTACCCGTTCCACTTCCTTTGATGATAGCCGCCAACTGGTTCTTGCTGGTCAGCTTGTCTAGGTTCTCCACCAAAGGTATCGGTTGGAATATATCATTGATGTAGTCATCCAAGTCGTCGATCTCCGATTCATCTTCATTCTCCAATTGATAACTGCCTCCTCGGATACTGGCTGCCAAGGATCTAGCATCGGACAGCTCGTCCAGAGAGCCATCCAACACTGGACTGAATAGATCGTCCAGGAACTGATCCACATCTGAGGCCTGAGAGGGTACCCTTACCCGCCTCACATGGGAGGCCAAAGATGGAGCCTCACTCGTGTCCGACATGGCCGATGATCTGGTGGCATACTCTGCCTTGTCCGCATACTTGCTGGAGTGTGAGCCATGGGATGCAGCGTGCGATCGGCGTCCTGCATGCTGTGATTTCTGATAACGTGGAGCTGTCTCCTTGCCCATGGGAGCAAGACGCTCCGCCGAATGATAGCGGTCGTTAAGACGACTCTCCGAGAGTCCCAGAGTATGGAGGGGCTCTTGGGAATCGCAGTCTGGTGGCACAGGAACAATATCTCCGGCCAGCAAGTCATCCAATGACTTTGACCGCGACTTGGCCTGACCCGGACTCGATCCCTGGCCCGGTCCTGGACTTGGCTCGCGTTCGAAGTATCGTTCGTTGAGCGCCGAGCTTCTGGATAGCAACTCCCGGCTGCTTCTTCGCTCCCGAGGCACCTCATCCTTGGAATTCGAAGTGGGAGGCGCCGGAGGTGGAACCACTGGACGTTTCACTGCCTCTGGCAGTGTGGTCCTTGCAAACTTGGCCCCAGAACGCAAAAGATCACTCCTTGGAGCTGGGAAAGCGGGACACAGTTCCTTCTCCGCAATCAAATCCATCACGTAGTCCAGCCCACAGCTGTCCGTTAACTGTTGGCCATCGTCCAGTACCAAAGTCCATCCCCTGCTGGCCACGCCCAAGGAGGAAACGGCCAGAGCAGCGGCCTCCTCGCAACTGGTCCACGAATCCACGGCCACCGTTTGACTGGCCTCGTCCGGTAAAGTTAGGGGTAGGGCCATGTCACATCCTCTGGTCCAGGCACGCCACTCCAGCCAAGCGGGCACAAAGCTGCGGCAGGCACCACCACCGACTGCACCGCCCGATGAGCCACCACCCTGCTGGCGTAGCAATTGCCTCAGGAGGAGGGGTCTCAAGGATGCTGGGGCCTCGTCATCGACGAATCTCATCAAATATTTGCTGAAGGCAGCGCTGGGCTGGAAACAGCATAGGCACTGTCCCATGAGCTGCCACAATCTGGTAGCCTCACTGGAAGTGGGCGGTAGACCATGAACCTGGTTACACAGCTGCACCAGGATCTCATCACGCAATCCCCTGGAGCTCAGAGCCTTGTGCACTATATAATCAGCCAAGAGTTTCTCCTTAGCGCCCTCCAGAGCCTTGTCATTGCTCCAGCGGAGGATCAGTTTGAACACGGCCAAGGCATCTTGGAAGTCCTGATCCCTCGAAGCAGCTCTAGTAAGAAGTGGAGCTGTGATGGGTTCCCTCCTCGGCTGCAATCTCAAGCCATTGCAGTAGACACTGCTGAATTTGCCAAAAGAGAACTGGCCCAGATCCTCGGGGAGTTGAACTGACGAGGATGGCGGGCCAGGAACCGTACCCAGTACCTTGACCAAGTGCCGATCCCCATGTGGCGGTGACCAGCCTTGTAGCTTGGAATATATAAAGGCCAGTTCGGCTGGTATGTCCAGATAGCTAAGTTGGCTTCTTTCCAGGACAGCCTGCTTGGCCTCCCGTGCCTCGCGAGCTCGTTGAGCTGCCTCTCTGGCCTCCTGCCTTCTTCGGTGATCCGATCGTAGTTGGTGAACCCTTCTCCTGGCCTGACGTCCTCGCCAAAGTCGCTGGACAGTAAGTGCTCCCTTGCGGAGGCGATCGTAGCGCTGTTGGGCCCTCTGACCTCGCCAACGAGCTTGGAGACGGGTGGCGGCCGCCTGACGACGAGCCAACTGCCGGCGGACCAGCATGCCGCGCACATGGCGCTGGACACTAACTGCCGCTCGCCGGAGACGCTCTGTTCTTCCGCTTTCCAGAGCTCGGTGGAGAGCCTCGCGTAAGAAGACTCGTGTGGCCCCCAGCTGATAGTCCGGACCCTCCACTCCAGTCCTTGGCATGGCCTCCAAAAGAGCTCGGCACAGCTCCCTGTAGGGTGTACCCCTGGCCAGAGGCGATGCCAGCAGATGCCTGTAGCGCTCGACGAAGTGCTGGAAACGCAAGCGCACCGGATAGCCACGCTGCCGGATCTGAATGGTGTCCAGCATGCCCAGGTATCGCAGTTGCTGGAGCACGCACGGCATGTCCATGCGTAGGGCGTGCTTCTCCTGATTCGGCTTGATGCAGCGCACGAACCAAGGATGACATCGGCCCATCGATTGGAGCAGCTGCTGCAGCGAATCAGCGAATCTGGCAGCCACTGTCGGTGTCCGCGGCTTCATCGTGACGAATCTTCCATTGCTTCCCTTCGGCAGGGTCTTTCCGGCATCTCTCTGGGCACGAAGCTGTTTGGTCAGCTCCCCAACTAAGGGTAATCGACTGGAGGCGAGTAACTCCAGGACATCTCCTCTCAAGGCATCACGATTCTTGTCCAGGAAACCATCCACGCAATACCACACCTGACCGGCATAGTGGGTAACGCCGAATTCCTGGGCACCGATCCTCGGACGAGCATAGAGCTCACTGAGCGCATGATTGTAGTGGCACTTCTCCAGGAAACTCAAATCGGTGGCACGTGGGAAATTGGATTCATCGTCCAGGAGGTGGCAAATGCCCACTGGCTTCTTGGCCAGCAGATGGATCACCGGCAGATTGTCATCCCAGGCCAGTGGAGTCCATTCCAGTCGCTCGCGGGCGTACTCCGCCTGCTCCAGCTTGAAGACGTGCTTGTTGAAGTACAGCTGCAGGTTCTCGTTGGCATAGTTAATGCACAGCTGCTCGAAGCTGTTCTCGGCCAGATCCTCGAATCCGAAGATGTCCAGGATGCTGATGCGATGGGCATCGTGAGTTCCGCCCTTCTGCACTATGGAGTTGATCCGAGAGACCAGCCAATTAAAGAGACCCGCGTAGAGAGCCTTGGCGAAGGCATCTCGGGCATCCAGAGCCTGATCGATACCAAGTGGCGTGTGCACACGCTCCGCTCGAGCTTCGGTGGTGCGACTGGTCAGAGCACGATGTAGTCCCTCGGCACTGATGTGCAGCAGGTGGGCGGCCCACTTGATCTCTGCATCTGAGCCAACCTCCACGCCCTCCTGGCCATGTCTCAGTTGCCGGCGGTGGAAGTAAACGTTGCCCAGATGTAGCACTGCCGCCAGGACACGAACGATACCCTCTCGTTCGCCCTCGGAGACGCCAAGGACCTGCATGGCTCCCTGTAGGGACTCCCAGTCTACTCGTCCACTGGCACAGTCCGTGGCGCCCTGATTCAGGTAGAAGTACTTGTCCGCCTCCAGCAATCCATACTTGGATCTCTCCGTTTCCGACAGTCCGCCCAGGAGTTCGTAGAACACATGGTAGTTCCTTTCTCCTGGTGCCTGCGTCACGATACGCGACTTCTCCAGCAGGTACTGCGTGATCTTGGCTCCCACAATGGCGCCACTCTTGAAGTACACCTCCAGATACTTTCCAAACCTTGAGCTATTGTCATTCCGGGCTGTGCGTGCATTGCCAAAGGCCTCCAGCAAGGGAGCTGCCTCCAGGATCTGCTCGGTTATAACGGCCGAGGCGGATCCACCGCCCGGCACCACGGCTGCCAGATACTGCATCACCAGTTTGGTGGATTCCGTCTTGCCAGAGCCACTCTCCCCGGAGATAACCACTACCTGTGGCGAAGGCAAAGCAGCATGGGCCGCCGCTCCGATGGCAAACAGGTGGGGCGGCAGGGATCCTAGTGGACGGCCGGCATACTGTTTGGCCACCTCCAGACCATAGGCGTCTGGGAACATCTTATAGGGATTAACTGCGATCAAGATGCTGCCGGCAAACGTGTAGATCAGACCCTTGTCATAGCGCAGACGCAGATTCCAAAGCAGCGACGCCTCGTGGAGGTCATCCAACAGGGTCATATCCTCCACACCGCTGCTGCCCAAATCCTGGCGAGCCCTAAGGCTGCCCTCGCCCGGTTGCAGGGCGAACGTCTGTGGCTGCAAGAAGGGGAGAATCAAAAAATTAGAAAAGTTCTCAGATATGAAAAAAAAAAAAGAAAATCTTGGGAAAATCCTCAAACAAATCTCTCACATGGCGTGCTATCACATCGCTACAAAGGGTGGACAGCCGCTTGACCACTTGGGGATATCGGCATTTGAGACGTCTCAGACGACTGGAGGGCAGAGCCGGATGTTTGGCCGAGAGATGGGATGGCAGATCATCGAGATCCTCGAGACTAGCTGGACGCTGGCGACGCAGTACATGCGGCGAGAGTAGAGCCAGCGAGGGCGATTGGGCGGGACTAGGTGTCACAGATCCTCCGCCACCGCGTTGCCACGGCTCCAAATGGAACCGAACGATGCGCATCTATGGGAATACCCTCTCTCTCTCTCTCTCTCTCTCTCTCTATCTATCTATAACGCTGAACTTCCAAACTCGATTTGGGGGCCAAACAAATGCAACCCAAAAACCCGAAACCCGAGAGACTCCACAACGAGAACGAGATCAAGAACTAGTATCACAAAAGACGTTTGTGGCCGAAGTCTCGAATGCAACTGAAAGGAATCGGAATCTGGCGGCGGCATTGCCACAATTTCCCCAAACGTTTCTAAAACGGTTTTCGCTGCATCCCAAACACGTTCTTTAAAAACGGCAAAAGATGGGGGCATGGCTATGGCTATGGCTATGACTATGGTAGACCGGATCACATCGAACCCGGCCAGACCAGATGACACTCCTGGTTAGCTACTTGCCAAAGCTACCAACTACTTAGTGTGGGCCACCAGAACGAACTCTCCAAATAATAAACGAGTGGAGAGAAGAGTTAAGAAAAGAAATGCAAAGAAAAGAAAAGAAAGGAAAAGAGAAGAAAAAGAGCTGAAAGAAGACACCTGATCTCATTGATATTGATATGGAGCCTTCGCCTTCGATCGCCATTCAATTAGGCGGCCAGTGTGTGGGACTTTCTCCGTGCCGAGATGCCCAACCAGTTCAAGTTCGTTCTTCCAGCTTGAAATGGGTTCTTGGGCATGTCTTCCATCGCCCATCTCTCATCTTCATCGGCTTCGTGTGGGGGCAGGGGATTGTCATTTGATAGTCGGCCAAAACAAAGGCGTGAAATATCTTCTGAGAATGCATTCGCCTCGGCAACTTCTCTTTTGATATCAATCGATTATTTGGTATCGATGACAAAGCCAAATAATGTGACCATGTCAATTAAACAGGAAATACTATTTTTAGCATGATTTATGTTAAAATTTAAAATGAAATATGAAAATCTTTAAACATTTTAAACTCTTTTAAGTTAAATACTTGACAGCTACTCAAAATTACAGATAATTACAGATAATATAAAGACTCTCTGTCACCCAGAAAGAACCCCTTAACGGTCCCATCATTACATAACACATTACTTAAAGGATCGCTCAAGAGATCAAGGTAAAAGATTCTCATAAGAAAGATATAAATCAACCCATAATTAATTTTCGAACTCGTTTAATGGCAACCAATCGACAGTAACCACAGAGAGCCATGGAAAATAGCAAGAATCTCATTTAATTTCGAGCCAGGGATGGCCAACCATTTGTCTGCAGCGTTGCATTAGCCGATAATTGATCTACTTGCTCGATTACGCCCATCATCATCGAAGCAGCTTCCCATGCTTCCAGGTAGCTTGTAGCTTTCAAGGCAGAAACAAAAAAGAAAAACAAAACTAAACATGTGATGCCAACTGGTTTTGGTTCTGGCCAACAGGATACGGAACACATGTGGCCGGTTTTTTTTTCCAGATTCTAGTACCGCTAGAGCTAACATTACGATTCAACCGGTCACAGCACAAAAAATATTGTTATTTGGTTAAAAAAAATTGTATTTGGTTTGGCAATTACTTTAAACTTTGATTTAGTTTATTGGAATGTTCTTGGAAATGAAGATGAACTTTAGCTTTGTTATAAAGATAGCCCAAAATTCTTAAAAACTTTCTAGAAATAAAAACTATTTCCTAAATCTGTTAAAATTCCACTTTTTCTAGGCTTTTCTTTTGCCCATTTGCAGGGTAACTGAGGTCGTAAGATGAGCTTTTTGCCAAACTCTTAGAAATTGTCTTTTAAGGTAGAGAAATCTGTCACTTGGCTAATGTTTATTTACTAACAAAGCGTGCCCACGAATGTAAATTATAAAGTTTAGGTTTTCACTTTTAGTTTGGGAAAACTTAAAACTTAACACACCCATTAAGAAATCGGGAAAGTGTTCAGTTTGGCTAATATTTCTTGTACTTTAAGCAAATTAGTTTGTTAATTTACAGAGGTAGACAAAGCAGGCAAAGAGAAAATTGAAATACTCTTTCCTGTCATTGTTACTTTACCATTGATAGGTCCTATTTTCCATAAAGTTATTACCTTTTTTTAATAATTTTTATTTGTTTTTAGTCAAGTAACTTTAAAAATATAATTTTCCAGCTACCAAAATGGTACTAATGACATATGATCAATAAGAATCTTGTATTAATAAGACAAGACATCAGTTAATGATATGTTAAAGATGACAAGATACGAATCATAAGATGATGTGTCTGACTTACAAGCTAGATCTAATCTCCAGCCATGTTAAGCTGCTTCTTATTCCGTTTTTTTCACTGTACTAACATTTAATGTTGCCGTTGTCAGCCGGCTACTTGCAACTGATTGCCGTGAGTTCTCAATCTTGATATCTGCAACTCTGCAACTCTGCAACTCTGCAGCTTTACAGCTCTACAGGTCCACACTCATAATTGCAGCGAGTGGCAGAAAGGAAAAAGGAAACGCTGCCGCTGGCAGGTGCAATTAGGTGCACTTGCACAGGTGCTGGTACAGTCGAGTAGTGCCTGGCATGCCTTTACACTGTACAGTAAACACGCGTGCCGATGGCCAAAAAAAAAAAAAAAACAAAATTAAAAGAAATCCGCGGCTTCCGTTGCAAATACCTCAACTCAATGTTGGCCAACACAAATCGGCACATAAATCCAAGCGGGCACATTCCATAAATTCCAAGACACCGCAACCCCACCGCCCACCTCAAGGGGCAGCGCATGAAAACCAAAAAAAAAAAACACAAAAACCGAAATATTAAACAGTCGGGCAAACAGTTCATGTCGGGTGAAAATAGTGAAAAGCATTCATGGGCCACGGCGAAACCGAAAACAAATTGAAAATCCAAACAGTAAAGCCACGAAACGAAGCCAAACGAGGCGACGGTGCGAATTTCGCACCTCTTGCAGGGCTTACGTTTAATACACTCGAAGAAAAGATTCTTAAAGTTGAAAAATTTTTATACATACCTTGCCTTTGATGAGCGCCTGGACAACAATCACCTGGGCAGCTCGATGCACTTCCTGGATCTCGCCTGGTATGGGATGTCCCATGCCCGGATCGAACCAGACCAGATCACCTTCGGCCCAGTCCATGGCTCCGGTTGTGACTTCTCTCGACACGCACTATCTCCTCCTCCGGTCAGTGGGTAAAACTGATTGAGTTCCCGATCTCCTTCGCCTTCGTCTTCGGGCTAACCTGCGCTATAGTGCTGACAATCTCTGGATCGGATTGTTGGATATGGTTGGCTTGGTGGATTGGTGGCTTTGGTGGCTTGGTGGCTAGGTGGCGGTCTTCAAACCGGTTGATTCATTGCTGCAAGAAGCATATAAAAGTGGCATTTGCTAAGTAAATTTTAAATATTTCTCAAGGCGAAAACAAAACATAAATTAAGCTCAAAAATTCCGATAATTATGGCGCCTTTCTATATGAAAACGAAAAATACAAAAAAAAATACCTGAAAATTGTTGCCTTGTCGGCTTATCAGGCTGACACCTATCCCTCGCAGCCCCTCGTGAGCGCTTCACAGTGACGGTGACTGTTCGGAGTCAATGACGCGAAGGCCGCTCTATGAATGAAAGTACAGATTTTTCCGTTTCTTCCACACCCCTGACTATAGTTTTAACATTTTTCTTGTCTTTGTGGAAATGTTTGCCAACCGAGACTGAAATGCAATGAGATGCAACGACGTTGGAAACACACAACTAAATCGTGAAGCGGCAACAATGACAAGAAGCCAACATTCGCAGCATTGCAGCAAAACCAAGGGAATCAAACTTATTTAATAAGACACCTCAGAAAATCACGACTCTCTCGATGGAGTCTGTGCTAGATGCCAAAGGCTATGGTGAAGGGATTTACCAGGCATAAAATTTTGTTTTTATTTAATTAGAAGTTAAAAATTTGCATTTTTTAGGTTAAATTTTATGTAGAAAATACAGATCAAGAGAATATTTGCTATCTTTGATTTCATTCTTAAGTTAAACTTTAGCGTTGCCAAGTAAAAGCAAGGTCAGTCGGGCCTTTAAGCTTCAGGTTTAAGTTGATTAATTGTGGCAAAAATATCTATAAAATAAAGTGCCATTCTGCTAAACTTTTTTTATGGTTTTGTTTTCAGTTTTAATAAAAAATGATTAATGTACTTCTTAAGTTGACATGTACTCAAACTCTTTTGTTAAACTTTCCTAACAAAAAACCAATCAAAATCGAATCAGAAACCAAAAGAACAAACATGATTTGTCCTCTAAAGAAAACAGAGTTGTCACCACTATAAAAAAAGCCACTTAACCACCTCAACAAGACTTAATGAAAAGCAATTAATATGCCAAGAATGCGTTTAAAATTATGAATGTCCCAGAAAACAAAAAACAAAACCAAAAACCCAAACAGGGAACAGCCCAGAAAGCAGACAAACATTCAAGTTCATTAAGAAATTTCCAAAAAAAAACAAAAATAAAAAACGAAAAGTAATATCGTAAATATGATGGCCTAGAGTGTATATAGGTTGGCCAAAAGAATATTAAGCAGATGCGGCAAGAAAGAAGAAAATGTTAAGACCAAGCCAAGCTTCGGCTGCTGCTGTTGTTGTTGTTTTGTCTCTGCCTTTTCTCAGGCAAAACTTTCACCTGTTTTGCGGCAAATGCCTTTAGCACACACACACACACACACACTTACACACACTAACACATACATATAAATATTTATGCCCAAAACAACAGAAACATCAAATGAAAATCAAAGACTAGGGAAAAAAAAGAGAAGTTGTCGCTTTTCGATTTGATTTGATTTGATTCATGCAGTTTTTGGCCATAAGTAAGTCAATCGGATTTTGGATTTGGTTAACTGGAAGTGGATTTGAAGTTGTGGTTGGATGTAAGTTGAAGTTGAAGTTGGGCCTGGCCCAGTAACGTAGTATCTCGGGCGATGCCAACTGGCCTGGCAAGTGCTCACGAATTAACCGAGTCAATAGAGGAACTTGTTTTCGAGATGGCTTTGGGGGGGTTGGGTAAGAGAGAGAAGGTATGAGAGGGAGGTGGGAGGCTGACACTTCGTCAGAAAATTTCATTCAGTTCGCCGCTTCATCAGGCCAAACACACGTACGCACAAGCCCTCTTTCGGGGCTACAGGCAATGCACTGAGAGAAAAGGCAGCTTAAGCTTAGAAGCAAGAAATGATTTGTGACTGGTTAAGACTTGAAATAGGGCAATAATAAAGCCATTTAAGCCTAAAACTTCACTATTAAGTGATAGTAAAACATGTGAATATCTTTTTCTGGCAATTCTAAGAACTTAAACTAAGTTTTTAAAGACTTTAATTCCATATTTTAAGCTTAATTCAAGATAAAAAGTTCTTTCAAGGCCTCAAAACACTATTTCCCCTTCATTTCTATACAATTTTCTTTACCTTTTCAAGCTTTTGTTTTTCTCTTTGTGTATTAATAACAAAAACAATGGCTAAGGCAGCCAACAAAAATCTTGGCTAGCTACGGGTTCGACCGCATTCCAATGCTAAGAGGTCGCTGCCTGCAGTCCATGTTTAATGCTAAGGTAGCAACAAAGCCAAAACGGCAGCCACAAAAATAGCAACAAACAACAACAACAACAACATTAACATCATGATTATGCGACAGTATGTGTGTAAGTGTGTGTATGTGTGTGTGTTCGTAATCAATGAGCAAATATCCAACGATGTGGAATAACAATCATAAGAATTTCATTTGCAGCTCTCAACGTTGGATAGGTTAAGCCCAGTTTTTGCCGCCAGGGCTGGGCAGCTCAGCTTAGCAACGGAAGTTAGGTAAGATTCCTCTTTTTGGTTTGATTTTTTAAATAATAAAAACTTGATAATCTTAGAATTTTTAATATAAATTTTAGATAAAATCAAGCCAGATATCGCTTTTTCTGCTTGCATTAACAAAATGAAGTCCCAAAATTGTTTTAATTTTTTTAAAACTTTTTTTTAACAAACTAAAACCTTAAAAAAAAAGCTTAACTTTAACTTAAAATAGCCAAAGAATTTATAATGCAAACAACTTTCAAAATTTAGCCAAGTTCGTTGCCTAAGTCTTTCGTTTTTCGGTGTCAAGTTTGTCGACTTAAAACTTAAACGAAATCTTACTAAATTCCTGGCTATTCTGCACCCCCAGAAAACCAACTTTATAGATTTCAAGTTCCTTTTCCAAGTCTTTTTCCTTTTTTTTCTTTTCACTTAACAAAATTAATAGAAATTTCAAAGGCTAACTAACTCTCTGATTTCCATTTTAAGCTAAGGTAAATATTTTGTTGTCAACAGAGTTCCCATGACCATCTTGAATTCTGTAAGAAATGCTTATTTTGTTTTTGTTCGATTTCTAAAAATGATTTGTTATCAGCTATCAGACACAAACACACACACACAGAGAGACATAGCCACGCAGACCGCACCTGCTTAAATGCTTAAATGTTAAGTTATGCATAAATTAGACTCTCAGGTGTATGTGTTTGTGTGTGACTTGAAAAATGTGTTTCTTTCTGCTTGGCAGCTAGTTTCTCGACTTTTGTATTGATACATTCTTGGCATAGCTGAGAAGTCTGAATGGCCCTAGAAAAATGGCTAAAGAAAAAACAATAACAAGGAGCGTTGCTTTTGGCTGCCACAAAGTGAAACTCAAAAAAACTAAACAAAAAACCGCTCAACATCTCTCGCACACGCACAGCCATATAAGATCTTTAATCATCATGTTAGCTTTGGCTATTTAATTTAACGTTTTCGTTTACGATTTCGATTTTGTTTTAATTGAAACAGTTTGACGAACTGCAATTTGCAATTCGAGCAGCAGCAATTAATTTCGATTTACTACGCTTCACTTTCAAGTTGCGTTTTTGTTACCCACTTAACACCACTCGCTCTTTGCCAGAGCCATTATTACTTATGGCTTAGTGTTTGTATTATTTTTAAGGTTTATTGCTATTCGATATGCAAGTTGGCTTTCGTTTTTGGCTGCGTGTAAGCTAGGTTTTTGATTTAAATCGAAAAAAAAATTATAAATAATACATTTTGAGTTATGCTAAGCTAAGCTAAAAGTTAAACTTGATTACATGTTTTGGCCATTATTTTACAAGCCTTTTTCAGTCTTTAATTGGCAATTTCCCATTTGAGAGACTTACTTACAAGTTCTTGTTTTCTGCTTCCCAAATTGGATCTGGCATAGCAATTTCGTATCTGGCTGAAAAATCGAAAGGGGAAGGAAGATCACAGCCAAGATCAGAGCGCTATAATCTGCAGCTCGTTGCCCTGCGGCTCAGCGGCTCAGTGAAATTCCCGGCTAATTCAATTTGGACTGCAGTTGAGGTCCGAAGAAAACCTCCTACCTCTCTCCCTGCCACCCCCCCAGGCCATGCCATTTCAATTAAACCCAACGGCGAGACGTCAACAACGTCTGGCTGCGACTGCCTGCCTGACTGACTGACAGTTTGACTTATTGGCTAAAAGCTTTGGCCAAAAACAGTCAACAACACGCACTCACCGGGTCTCGGGGCACGGCTTGGCTTGTCTAGGGAGTGACTAGTCATATATTATTCTCTCTGTTGTTGCAGTAAGCGGCTTAATTGCCCTGCCGCTGCTGCTCTTGGCCTGGCATTTCTTCTTCTTTCGTATTTCTACGTTTTCGGGTTGGACAAATAGAAAATTTCATGTAGAAAGAAGAAATATTTGGCAAGAAGTTGAAGTCGGCACACGATTTCACTAGCAAGCGCACCAGGGCCAAAAACCAAAAACCAAAAACCAAAACCAAAAACCAAAACCAGAGTCAAGCCAAATGGTATAAGCCAAGTTCGAGCTAAAATGGCGACACACACACACACACACACAGACATACACGCACGCGTGCAGAGAGTAAGCCAAAAGGCCAATAAACCTTTGGCAAAAAAAAAAATAAAAAGCGCGCCATGTTGCCAGCTTTGCTCATCGATCACAAAACACACAGAGAAAGACAAGCCCACAACAACACGGCCAATAACTTTATGCATGCAGAGACAAAAAGGGAAATTTTCGAAAAGTCTCTGCCGGAGACAATTGAAAGTGGCGATGCATAAACTATTCTAACAATCAACTCAACTCAACTCAAATCGAATCGTTGGTGTCAGCCGAAGGAGTGCCGCTTGATTTGCCTTTTGCAAACGTTTTGCGTCTATGCGTTAGTGCCGCACCCGCAACATTGGTGGCTGCAACAAGGGACAAGAGTTACACCTAGAGAAAAGTCATGAACGGAAGCCTCTAATGAAAAGTTTGCAAATTTCATGCTTTTCGTATTACACATCTTTTCTTTTCATTTCCTTATGAAAGAAAAGTCAAAAAATAGTTTAAGAAAGTTTTTTTAAGTGTAGCATCCACATCACTCTGGCAAATTGGAAGTGGGCGCCCTCGAGCTGGAAAACAGCTGCGTCTTTGGGGGCGTTGCGGTATGTAGGACAAGGCGGTTCGTGGCCAAAAAGGTATTGCCACAAATCAGACGAAGGTGCCGCCGCCAAAGATGGTGCCCCAAATCCATGCAGCAGGCAGCATGTTTATGAAGCTTACAAAAATCTATTCTGAGGTTAATTAAGTTTGCAGAAAAAGAAGACTGATAGCAGTTTTAATCTTTAAGTTAGTTTTAGTTTAAAAGAAAACTCCAACTAAAAGAGAGAAGGCTTTGTCCTAAGCCCATGTAAGAGTTTCTTAGCGTTTCAGGCCCTTTAAAGTTCCTTCAAAACTGCAATAAAAAACTTTACTAAACCCCAATCATAAGATATTCTTCAAATACAAAGAAACTGCGGTGAAAGTGTGCAAATAGAACTTAGAAATCCACAATTCGATTAAGTTTTTAACTTACATATCAGCAAACCCTATTTAAACTATCTTACCAATATGTATATTCCATTAACCCCTTAAGTACTTTCGACTTTCTCAAAAACGTTTTAAGCGTTTAGCCCACAAAGTTTACAAGTCTGGCCTATCGATTTTATTAAATCAAACCTCACCTGGCTGAAGTTCCCAGGCGAAATTGATTTCTGATGCCTTCAATTATCGCATCATCCAAATCGATTAAAAACTTAATAACACTGTGTAGAAGAGGGCCTCGATCGAAAAAACGAAATCTATGACGACAACAGAAGAAGTCTCTGTGATGACGAGGCCGCTGAAGATGCGGGAATTTGCCGCGAAAACCACACGAAAATAAATTAATAAAAAAAAAAAAAAAAAAAGTAAATTAAAAAATTTCACTCAATGGAGATCGGTTCGTTGTTATTGTTGTTTGTGTTTGTATTTCTATTCGCTGTGACTATTTTGTTTAAATAAAGTAAAAGTCAATTAACATCTTTGTCGCATTAGCATGAGTGTGAGTGATTGTGAGAGTTGGTGGCTGTATTGGTGTTTGCTTTGGCTTTTGTTATGCATTTTTAGCATTTGTGGCTCGGTCTTTGCCGCCAGCCGTCGCTAGCATGAAAATGAGCACGAAAGCGAAAAGCAAAAGAAAAATTATCGATAGCAAAATGGGAAAAATAGCTTTGGGAATACCAGATACTCTTGTTGGCCAATTAGCTAACAAAAGGAGTAAAAATCGGGTAAGTCCAGAGATATTTCGGAAACTGTTTTTTGCCAGAAAACCAGAGTTAAAATCAACCATCTTATTTCTTACTACTTAACTTACTTTTTAACTTAATAAAAGCTAACTCAAAACCCTAATACTGACCAGAAGCACATCCTAACCATACCATTAATCATTAAAGAAACTAAAAAAATTACATATTTACCCTGTGTAGGCCCTAAAATCTATCATTATCACGAAAGAAAACAAACGAAAAGTAGAAAAGCAGTGCAGAGAGACGAAAGACTAAGTAAAATAAATGAATATGATTAACCCTAAGCATAACCGTTCGTTCGAAAATCGTTCTCCCATAAAATCAGTGAAGTATGGTTTTTGGATCAAGACCTTGATACGATATATAGTCTTTAAGCTGACCCTCGTGCAATGCAACAGTGGAACCCTAATAAAATCACCCTCTCTACCTCTTGGCCAGGGTATAAAATTATAGCAGCGATAAGAAAACACGTCAAAGAGCAGGGAAAACAAAAGACTCAGGCAACGAACGCGAACTCGGGAGAGAGGCCAACTAAGGCAGGGGAATTGAAAATGGGCAAGGTGATGGGGGGGGGGTCAGGGCGTTGTTGTACGGAAGTGGCACGCATACACTGACACAAACACAAACACAAAACATACACTCAGACAAACAGAGACATTCGGACCTGGCCAAGTGGCCGCTGCGGCATTCTTCGATGGCCGGAACCAGTTTTCTTTTGCGCCACCACCAATTTTTTTATTTTTTTTGTTTTATAGCTTTTGCGTCGATTTTGTTCTTCTCATTTTTTTTTTTTTTATTCTGGCTTTTTGCACGCCTAACTGTTTGCCATCGTATACCGTTGGCAGCGCAGCGTTCTTGGCTTCTTTTGGCCTGCCATGATTTGCCAAAACGCGCCGCCGCCGCCGCTGATCGAAACCAAACGAAAAAAACGATACAAAACGAAACGAACTGAACCGAGGCGAGCCAAATCGAGGCATCCGATTGGGACGATGATCGTAGGGATCGGAAAGAGCAAACCGAAATATAGCATCCAAGAACCAATCGTGTACCGTTAGGACGAGCTTATGCAACTGCAGCCAGTGGCCAGGTGCCGTTACACAAATTGAAATCGATCGCATTCAAAGAACAGGTCTTCGGAATCTGTTAGCATCTGATGAACGATCGAACGAACAACCCAAAGAATCAAAAAAAGGTTCGACTCGTTCACGTGCAATTGGCTAGAAATGGTTGGGATTGCATCTTCGATGAGCTCATCTTTATTACCTCTATAATTAGCCATGATGGGGGTGGCCCAGAGTTGGTTTTGACTTGGCAATGGCATTGGGCAGCCTGATTAATTGATTGACGGATTGGGCATGTTTTTTTTTGATTAAAAGAAGTGTAAATGATTTCATTAGGGGTGAGGTTCGGGTATTACTAATGTCTTAAGTTGCTTTTTAAGGTTTTCAGTTTAGAGGTTTAAGTTAACAAAACATTCTTTTGACTTATTAAATTATGTTTAAGCGGTTTTTGAGTTAATAAAACGTATAAAAGTTAAATAATAAGAAACCTTTTTGTACTACAAAACATTCATTTGGCTTATAAAAACGTTTAAAATGAATACCTATTATTCAGATTTTAAGCTATGAATAAATATATCTATATATACATATTCCTTGATCCCAAATGATAAAATATTAAGAAGATAGAATCATGTTTCCCTTAATAACAAGCATTTAAGTTTACATAGCTCATAAATACTTTAAAAAAATAAACTAATCCCGTAACTAATAACAGTAAAAAACAATTTCCTTTTGAAAACCGTGAAAATCTAAGCCCTCAGCATTTAAACCAATCGAACTTGTCTAATAAAACTGATATTCTAATGGCGCCTGGCAATCCTGGTTCTATTGACATTCTTGTTACCGTCGTAGTTGTTGTTGTTGTTGTTGTCGTTGCTCGACCAAGATTCAAATTCTGATTTGAATTCCAAGAGAGCAAGCAAAAGGTTACTGCTATATCTATGCATTCCCTCTGCTTACTGGCTCTCTCTCTCTCTCTCGCTCTGGTTGTCTCTCTGTGTATTTCTCTCTGTGTATTTCTCTCTCGCTTCGTGTAAGCGTTACTTACTTGCTTTGTTATTGCCTTGCGTTTCAGTTAACCGTTCTGCCAGCGTGTGAGTTTGTGTTTTATGTTTTTTGAGCTCTTTCTTCTGCCGTCTTTCTCCTTACGTTCTCCTTATTTTCTTCTCTCGGTTGCTTTTGGCGTCACTTCGTCACCGCACACAGAACATTAGAAGAAGAAGAAGAAGAAGAATTCTGCTACATTTCATCCGCAGTGTCTTCTTCTGCCACTCTCTTCTTTACTCGCCTCTTACTTAGCTGCTTCGTTGTTTGTGATTCTATTTCTTTTGATTTTTCTTTTCGTACGCTGATTCGGTTGTTGCGTTGTTTTTTGTCAAAAAGTGTCGACGGTTTTTTAATTTCGGTTAACAAAATTAGAACAAAATAATTGCACGGCACTTGCGAGTTCGGTTAACGAAAACAAAAAAAAACAATACTTAATTTGACCGCTTAGTGTGTGTATGTAGCTGTAGTTGTGGTTGTAATCCGTGGCACGCCGCGCACCAAAAAAAAATGCACAACAAACTCCTCCGGCAGTCAAACAGCAACTGAAATGGCCGAAGCCACTGGGAATCCAATGGAGCAGCGGTCAACGCAGATCACTTGTTGCAGATGCAGAGCGATAGAGAGAGAGAGAGAAAGAGAGAGTTGGGGAAAGAACAAGAGAGCGCGATGACAGGGCTGCCAAATACATAAAGGTAACATTTATAGAGAGACAGCTTATTGAAACGCAATAAGTTAAGTTTATGTATTATTTAAAATGTTTTCAAGGTATTTTACTTGCAAATAATGTAAAACTTAAGCAACTTAAGTTAAGGGCTTTAATATAATTTTTATTTATGGTAGAAATATGATCTGTATATTAAATAACAAATTAAAAGGCATTAATACTTTTTAGAACAAAAACTTACTTGTGGTTGCGATGTTTTGAACACATTTGACAACTCTAGCCAAGAGAGAGCTCAAAACCTGGCCAAGAGCCGCGCTTTGGGGCTGAAAACAGGTTTACCATCTCACGCGTGTTCATTTTGTAATTACCGGCAGTGTGACCAATTTGAAAGCTTTACTAAAAATACTAAAGAATTTAAAACAAATTTATAAAGAAATTTTCAAGGAACCAAATAGAAATGTTTTATTATTAGCTTGTCTTTTACGTAGTCGTTTTCACGATTTTTTTTGTTTGTATACAAAACACTAAACTGCTTGGCTTCCATGATTTATGAAAATATATTTAAAATTTACAGTCTCCAAGGGCTAACCAGTCCAAAGGACTGATAGCTCAGTGTGAGCTTTAGGTTTTGTCAATGAAACGGTAAACGACAAGCTGAATTCTCTAAAACTCTCTTTTACAACAGATATCGATATCGATAATACTTACAAAGCAATGAACTGCTTGATAAAGCCCGCGTAGTTCAAATCGGCTAACTTTTTAAATACGTTTTAAAATAAACTTCTTTATGTTAATCTTAATTATTTTTTAAGTATTTACAATTGAAGTGATTTATTCAATTGACACATTTTAATTTTCACACATTTATTTACTTTATTTATTAAAGTGACAGAAAAAAAAACTCTACCATGACTACGGGAGGAGCGATCGCTGATCGATGCCTCAAATCTCAAATCTCAGATCTCCGGATAGGCGCTGCCAATAAGGTTCTTTCCCCGGTAGCGCCAAGAGTAGGTGACAATGCCAAACTTGCTATTGCCCAAGGACACCGGACAAGTGCGATCCGGCCGCAGCTGGAAGCAGACCGTATAAAGGGCCAACTCCAGTTCCGGAGAGGTGCCCACAAACACGGTGTTCACAGGCTTGTTGAGTCCCTGGTGAGAGAACCTGATCTTCAGGACCTTGGCCTTCTGCAAGGGGATATAATACCAATTCAGCTCTTAAGTTTTTTTTTAAGTAGAAAATTAAGAAAGATAAAATCTCTTCAAATGCCACCCTAGCTTATCCAATCCGCTTGAAGGACCACTCACCGTGCCAATATCCTGCTCCTTAATGTATCCCTTATAGTCAAAACGACCATCCTTCTCCTCTTCGCCAATGTATACCCAGTTGTGGAAACCAATGATGGTGCCCTCCTTCACCTCGTAGACGAAAACATGCTCAAAGCCAGAGCTACCGATCTTGCCCTTGCCGCGGGAGTACTGCGTAAACCAAAGCTCCTTGACCAGATCGCGGTGGGTCTTTGGATCTGGGCCAACCACTCCCTTCTGCTGCAGAAACAGCATAGCCTGACGCATCACTGGCGTGGCCATCACTGCATCGAGGAATTCATTCTCCTCCTTGCGCTCGTTGGGCGTCACATGCTCGTTGACTTGGGTGTCGTGTTCGTAGTTATTAAAGAGCAGGCGCATCTTGGCGATCGTCGGGGATTCCAGGGCCTTCGAATCCACATTTAGGAGTCTTTTTTGGAGGGAAGAGTTATTTTCAGAACAAGGTAATTAATGAAGGAATGAAACGATTTAATAAAAAGCAATAGAGTTTAAAACCGATTACTCACGGGTTGGGTGCCTCATCGGCGCTGTCGATGGATCGGGTGCGTCCCTGCAGGTTCACCTGGATGTTGGCCAGCTGGTTGTTTGTCTCTTTGGTGTACAGCTGCTCTGTCAGCTGGCGGATCTCGTCGTCGGTGGCCACCGAGTTGCCCGATGACTGGAAGCCAGGACGCACAGTGGTAGTAGTGGCAGCACCTCCAGCCACCACCTTATTTGGTCCAAAGGACGTTCCATGGGCGTGTGGTGTGGGCGTGACGGAGGGGATATTCGAAGACGTCGACGGCGATGAGGGCGTTGATGGCGTTGGTGCTGCTGTTGCCTTGGTGGGCGGATGAACTGGATGCTGAGGCGTTGGCAGCGGCGAATGCCAGGCCGAAGGAGAACCCGGTGTGGGTGTGGGCGAGCCGGGTGGTGTTTTGGCCGTGGGCAAAGCTGGGAAATCCTCTTTTTGCGATGGCCTTCTAGGTCCTGGCAAGGATGGGAAGTCATCCTTCTGCTGCGGTGCCTTACCTGTGGTCGTGGTGGCGGGCTTCTGGGTGGTGGTGGTTGAGGTGGTGCTGATGCCGAGACCAAAACCAGGTCGTCCTGTTCCTGCTGCTGGTGCTGGACCACCGCCGTAGCTTAGATCGTAGCTATTCGGCTGCGGCTTCTGTGGGCGGTAAGGGGCAAAACCAGGCGGCAGACTGGGTGCTGCAGTGCCTCCCTGCTGCGGACGACCCTGAATCGTCTGCTGATTCGGCTGCTGAGATGGCTGAGGCGATCTTGTACTGGTCGTTGGCCATTGAGGACCGCTGGCCGGTGGTGGGGAGGCGCCAAATGGTGAGGATCCCGGTGTATCCGGTCGTGGACCCAATGGCATCAATGGAGCATGTGAGATGACCAGTGGGGGAGGTTTCTGGGCTGCCGTTGGGGTAACTACCACCGATTTTGGAGTGGTCACAGCTGGGGGAGCAATCGTTGTCGTTGTGGTGGTGGCATCACTGCCAAAGAACTTCTTGAAGCCGCCAAACCAACTGGACTTCTTGGTCGTCGTCTCCACAGAGTCCAAGGGATCCGGGGTGATTTGTACTTCGCTCTTGTAGGCATCTAAAGAGGGTTGATTATGACTACCTGTGCTCTGAATGGTCTTTGCCATGACGCCTACCTGACATGTGAAAGTGTCCGGCCAGAGCCAGGCACAAAAAGAGTGCGCTCAATGCCAGGCAGCGCATTTTGCTCGATTTATTAGCACTTTGCCTTGGCTTGTTACGATTTTCTTTGCGTTTTTTTCGACTGCTTTGGAGAGTTTTTGAATATTTCGGAGACAACTCGACCAACTGAACGGAGACTCGGCCAGCGACTGATGAGAGACTCCAGCTTGGCATCCGCCTGATCTTGGCAATCGCAGCTGATGTTGCTGCCGTCGCCGGTGTTGCTGTTGTAGCTGCTGCTGTTGCTGTTGCTGTTGCTGTTGCTGTCGTCGTAGCAGTGATTGTTGTTGGTTTTATTAATGAGCTTATGCCGCTTGCGTCGTCGGCGGCGTGGGTTTTGCCTATACGCTACGGCTATTGGGTTGGGGTATTTAAGTTTTTAAAAATATTTTAATTTGTTGAATAAAAATAGTTAAGGGTAATGGAAAGTAAAAGAAGGCTTGAAAGAGGCCTTAAATATGTGTTAAAAATTCCCACAAAAAAAGGTTCTTAAAGTTGAAGGGAAATATTTTTGTGGAAAGATGAAAATCTGTGGAAAATTTGCAGTTTTGGATGCCAAAGAAATCTTCTAAGGTTGTTTTTTCCAGTTTCCCTTTGGAGTCAAATATTTTCTATGAACATTTTTGGTAAAGTTTTTATTAAAATATATATTTATATATTATTAAAAATGTATTTAAATTATATAATATTCATTATCAAAAGCGATGAGAAAGAAAAACATTGATTTCCATGGAAATGATCAACTTTTTAACTACCTCAAAATCCTTTAAAAACCTTTAAAACTTAAACTAAGAATATATAATTATGATACAAAATATAACATAAATTATTACTTCTTACTTGCAACTACAGTAAAATAACCCATTTAAGCCACCACTTACACCACCAGTCGCTATAGCTGGACTACCTAAAACCACCACTGAACTTGCCACTGGATTCTGGAGGGACCTGCTTCAAGGGTCGGTCGAGGTTTATGAGGGTTCATAATTACCTGAGCGGTGCTCTCTAATTGCCAAACAAAAACCGCCGACCTGACCGGCTGCAAAACGCAAAACCAAACCAAATCCAAGCCAAGCCAATGAGGGGTAATCCGAAATTGTATTTGCCTTCGGAAGTGGCTCACGTAAGCGTTTCAAGCGAATTAAGCTTACATAATGCCTTGGAACTTAGCTCTCTGTTGGTTAGTATTGTTCTGATCTGTTCTAATGTTTTCCCCCCTACCCTTCACAAGACAACGACTCGATCCCAATTCCATTTCCCCTTCCCCACCGCAGCACTAATTAATTGCACTTACGAGTTAGTGAGTGAGTGAGGGTAGCGGCATCCCATTCTAATAAATAATAATGAAACTGAAAACTCGGTACTTAAATCTGTGGCTTATCTCGCACCGAGGAAAAGGCCACCGGCAAAGGTTATGTTTTCGTGTGTGCTCTATTTTTGAGCAAACAGCGATTGTCGGTTCTGAAAGCTCTCCTAAAAACACAATTGCAAAACTCAAATGCTGAGTAGATAGTCAAGCTATATATGACATATGGAAAATCTACTTGATTTAAACTTAAAAATGATTGAGATACTTTTTAGTATCTTCAGGAAAGTTGTTATATATCTGTATCTGATTATAGATCAATGAATATTGGAAATACCTTATTACCATATCAACTATTTAAATCTCATTTAAGCTATAATATATAGTCTAAGATTCAATATTGCTTTGGATGGATTCTTTGCTTTTATGGATTCTAAAGAGGAGAAGACTCTGCCTTCTCTTAATTAATTTTTCTGCAGCTTTGTCATTCTAAATTTAGCAACTAAGTAAACTAGCCATATAGCCTGAACTTTAATTACGCTTTGTGTACTTTTATATAGCCTATAAAAGGGTTTTCTTTATAATTCTATATAATTTTAAGAGATTTCTGATGCTTAGGTGGCTTTAACTTTCATTTTTTATGTTTTTAAACTTCAATTTTTGCTTCTAAAATATTATAAAATTTAATATTTTGATTATAATTTACTCTAATATTTAAATTAATTATTATTTTCAATTTAAACTAATAAATTTATATTTATTATCGATCAAGTCAAAAAAGAGGGAGAAAGAAAATTAAAAGCTAAATACAATATATGTTGCCTACTTTTAGGCCGAATGTACTTTAGAACAAATTAAGGAAATTCGACAGGATTTTGACATAAAAATATTATTTCACACATTAATATATAAAAAAAAACAAAAATATCTAACCCTAAGTAACCCTTAGACTAAGTACTTAACTTTATAGAAACTGATTAGATTAAGCTGCCAATCATAACAAATAAAAATAAAACAATAAAAATAAATTGTTTACATAAGAAAAGATATTTTCTCCCTACTACACAAATCATTTCGAATTAAATAGGAATAATAAACAAACTAACCATTTTCTTTTTAATTTATAATCTTAACCTTTAAACCTTAACTTCTTAAACCTTAAACCTTTAACTTCTTCCAAGCCTCTTAAGAACAAAATCACAAATATTAACAAAGACTAAAAGTTTATTACAAAAAAAAGCAATTGCCGTTTAAAAGAAAAGTAAGTCATAGCCAAAGACAGTTTGTGTCGAACCCTTGCCGAAGCTTAGACACTTTTATTAATCAGCTTCTTGCGAATGGTCTCATCCAGCGGTGGAATCGCCTCCCTGGGAATCAGGAAAGTGGACAGGTTAAACAGATCCAAGAACACCTTATACCGATCACTGAAATGCATAGCAGAGAAGAGTTAAAAGATCAATAATCTCTGAGATAGCTATGCAATGATCACCTGAGAGTAGAGCGCAGATATTGATATCCGGACGAGCCACCAGTGCCAAGCTGCTGGGATCCAATCATGCGTTGCACCATGATCACGTGATTATCTGTGACGGGAGTAGAAAGTTGTTGGTTCAGTAGAATCCAAGATAAGATTTAAATATACATTAGTTAAAGAAAGATAATGATAAATAGTTAATATAACAATCAAAAAACATAAACAAGACCCTATGAAAGGCCACTCACATCGCCACTTGGTGATCAGCGAATCGATGTCCATCAGCAGGGTGAGCAGCTGATGGGGCTGACTGAACCTTGGCTCATCTCGATAGAAGGTGATCATGATGGCCCCTTGGAGGGCTCGATGGCTAAACCGGCGATCACCACGTCGCACCAGGGCATCGTGAACCGCCGGATCGAAGATGGAGCGGTAAACCTCACGCCGTTTCTCAATGTCCATCAGACGATAGTTTTTGGCCTTCTCCACCGGTTCCTGCATGGCACTCTGGACTTGGGCCTCCAGGAATCGATCCACACTCTCCTGGAACTTGGCCCAGAAGTTGAAGCCACTCTCCTCAAGGCCAGGCGTTCTCTCCAGCCAACGCTGCACCAGCTCTAGTAACGAGGGATCCTTCTCCGAGCTCCGAACTGCATTGCGAGACTCCTCGTCGCTGAAGACATCCGAGTACTTCTGGTTGTACCTCACCCGCTGCTCGGTCAGCACACCCAGCTTGTTCTCGATTAGTCGGAACTGCAGGGACTGGAATCCCGATGCTGGGGCTAAGTACTTGCGGAAGTCCATAAAGTCCAGCGGTGTCATAGTCTCTAAGATGGGTACCTGGTCCACCAGTAGCTATATAAACACAACTTTATAAGGTGATCTAAACTAGTTTGTTCCTTCATATAGTTCACCTTCAGGATGAGAACTACTCGGTTCAGTCGCTTGACAATCTCCAGGGTCTTGGTCTCATCGATGACCTCAGCATCCAGCATGTCCCTTATAGAGTCGAATTCAAAGATGATCTGCTTGAACCAAAGCTCATAGGCTTTGGATGGGAGAGAATCCATTGAGGGATCGGTGATGGGAAGGTCCAATGCCAAGTTTACTCACCCTGATGCGTGATGATGAACAGGTGCTCATCGTGAACAGGTCGCTTGTCCTCCTCTGAGAGCATACACTGAGCATCCAACAGCTTGTCCAGCATCAGATACTCCCCATAGATTTTGCCTACCTCTGTGGTCAAGGGCACTGCCGAATCATCATGGTCGTTTCTAGAGTGGGTGAGTCCAGCTTAGAATTCGAATTGGTTTTGTGGACCACACGTGATGGTGCTCACCCATTTCCTGCATAGGGACAGCTCATGTTGCCTCAGATCGTGGCTCGTTGAGCGGCAGACGCTGGCAAACTGAAGCGGTCGCGGATCGGAGATGAGACCCCAGCGAACCGATAACGACCATGACAGAGAGAGAGGGAGAGAGCTCCAGTTCCGACTGATTGCACAGTCGCTGATCTGGGCGATGGGCATTAGCAGATAGGCTGGGAATTATCAAGTGCCGGAGGTGAAAGTGCGACGCATGGGAGTAAGCTTAAAGGGAGATTCACTGCCTTAAGACAAATATAAGACCACAAAGATCAACTTTTTGACATCTATTTAAGGGTAATCTTTTCAAATATGGATTAAATTGGATGATATAAGCTATATAGGAACAATTCTAAGATATAAAACAAGAAAATCTTGGCTTAAAAACTAAAATTCAATACTAAATAATATTAACATTAACCTTACTTTGAAGTTGTAAATCATAAGAAAGCTGAGAACTTTTTTAAGTGTTTTTTTTTTAAATAAACAAAAAGTTAATCTGGCAAATTGTTGGCTTTTTGAAAATAGGTCAAGGTTGTTTAAAAATAATGATTTATAATTGGAACTAAATTTGATAACATTCAACTTGTTATTTTTAAGCTCGAAAATTGGTAAACAAAATATTTTGAAAGCTTTTTACCTTCAAATTGGAAAACTTGAAAAAATATCCAATAATTTCCATTTTAGCCACCCCAAACCCACTAAAAAAGATACATATCATTCACTTGCTTATCATTTTTATATATTTCTCATATATTTCTGGTTTTCCTTTTTGTTTAAAATGTATTTTGAGTCATTGGCTCAGTCATATACTTGTTGAAATCTGTTATATACTTGTGCCGTCGTTCACTTCGATCCTTCGCTTGGTTGTTCTTGTTTTTTGGGGTTTTTTGGTTTTTTTTTTTGGATTTATGTTTTCATTTTCCCTTAGCCCCCCACATACATATAGCCTATGTATATGTCGGGGAGGGGGGAGGCATTAATATATTCGATCTTATTTATACTATTTCATACACATTTTCTGTTGGTTTCTGTCAATCTTTACTTTACTTTCTGTCTGCATATCCAAAATCGCAACTCAAATTATCAAAGAGGATACTGTCGATGTGTGTCTAAATATATCGGTTTATCGTTATATAATTTTCAACTACTTTTGCATAGAAAAAAATCGAGTTTGTTAACTCAAAGGAGAAGTCAAAAAAAATAGGGAATTTTCATGCGATTTTGAATATTTTTTCTTAGGGGAGGGGGATTTTTTTTGCAATGTGCTTGGAGTTCGTTCAATGCCATTTATGTATTACATAAACATCTATTATATATCCATATATATGTATGCCTGTATGTATATATATACATATATATTTATTTATAATTTATCGCTTTACTCTCGCTCGCTATCTGGCTCTAAATGTATTTATATAATATGCAAATCGCGCTGCGTTTTCTAGTCAATTCTAGTGTCGGAATCTCTCAGTGGAACCGCGTAAGTTAAACCAAAAAAAAAAAATCAAAAATAAACAAAAGAAAATATTTAAATATATATTGAATATCGAACACCTAAGACCACGCTTTAGTTATCGTTTATCGTTTATAGTTAATCGTTAATCGCTCTGTAAATGTCTGTGGTTTTTTGTATTTAAATCTATGACTAAATTTTTTTCGTTATGCGCTCTCTATCTCTGTCACACACTTGCTAACCATCTCTCTCTCTCTCTCTAACTGGCCGACAAACTAACTATCTCGCTTGCGCTCTCTCATTGATTTGCGTTGTCATTTTCATTTGCCTTTTGCCTTTTGCAATTAACGGTAAATCGCTCTCTTTAACATTATTGCACTCTTAATTCGTGTTCTTTGTTTTTGGTTTTGTTTTGTTTTCTTTTTCTTTTTTTCTTGCATTCAATAGTTTCAATACGTTCGTTATAGACATTAACACAATATCTGAATCGAAATACAATATTCATATTTTGTCATATATATATGTATGTCTGTATATCAGCTTAATGTTTCATATGCTGGATGTATGTGTGCATAAATGCACTTATATCTATGCGAATGTGTGGGTGTGTGTGTGTAAATTTATATTTTGAAGAGACTGAAGTTATTATCCTCCAGATCAACATGACTTTTTCGTGTGTATATTCTAACATTGTTGCTTATGATTGCTCGATCTCTATATGATATCATTATTAACTAGATGATGTGATCTGGGAGGTATGGGATGATTGAGAGAGGAGGTCTGGGATGCAAGCTTTTGGCACTGTGATGCTCTCACTTCGGTAGAAAGGCGATCCTGAGGTGTTTTTTTTTGAAATTTCTGCTGATTTAAAAGCAATCAGCCTAAGAGTATGCAATGACATAGTGCATACGTTTAAGCAGGACTGCCTTGGAAATCTCACAGCTCCTTTCATCAGGAACATCTCGTTAGGTTTGGAATGTGGAAGATGTTGTGGCATGCAATGCTGGCTGATCGAACTACAAATGAAACCCAAACAAACTGTAGCATACAAAACATACATACATATACATAGATGTGTCTGTGTGTGTATACATTGTACATTATGCGATACATCCTGACTTAAGCACGTAGAAAACAAATGATTGTTTAGAATTTGAAATTTATTATACATATCAAAAAAAAAAAAAAAATAATTTAAAACTAAAATCTCATATATATATATATATACTTGTATATAATATATAAATAAAGCCTAAGCCTAAAAATATTTCTATAATTTTGATACTCATAAAATATATCATATATCTGGTTTAAGTTTAAGACTCTTTGATAAGAGAGCTTTTGGAGTTAGCAACAAATTGCACTACATTGGAAATACCATTTATAATATCAATTCAATTCAATATAATTTAATTATGTTTAATTTAGTTTAGCATTCGCATATGTATATATATATATATAATATATAATTATGTGTATGTATGTGTGTCTATATAGAGATGCCTTTTCAAATTCAAAAAATGCACTTTCTTTCCATTGAGCAAAACTCTTTCTTTCTTTCTTGGCTAACAGCAATAGAAAAAAAAAAGGGAATTCAAAAAAAAAAAATTATTCTTGTTTTACATTTCTCTTTGTTTTTAGTTTTAACTTTGTTAAATATAATTTTCATAGCTTAATTAACTCTTTCTTGGTTTTTCTTGTTGTTCTGTTTGTTTGTTTGTTTGTTTGTTGTTGTTGTTTGTTGTTGTTTGTTGTTTGTTGTTGTTGTTGCATTACTAGCACCCAGCATGTATATGCTTCGAAATAAATTCATGTGATTTGGTTGTATTTTGGTTTACATTCGCTTACATCATCATCGCTCTGCTTAACTACACTCGACTAAGTAGTATTAACTATCAAATAAAATCCTCGACGTCTAGGCTAAACTTAGGCTGTACTTTTTTGGGGTATTGCAAGAACTTTGGATCGTCATTAGAATAGCTATTTGAAAACGAGGCAGCGACAGATACCCCTTCACTTTTAGAAACTAAAGGTTTCTATTATTTTTAAGACTTCAAACAACTTAAAAAGCATTCTTGTAATACATATTGTATTATAATCTTAACTGATTTTAAACCTTCACAGGTTCTTGTGACAGATACACAAATACAAGGATACAGACAACACGGATACGGCTAAGTGATAATCATACTGAGGCTTAGGTTACCAATACACTTGCTAGAACGGAAGATCAAAATGTTTCTAAAGAAAACAAACGCTCGCTAGGGTCAACTGAGGGGCAACTCAAATCAGCGGATGGGAGACATGGGAACTCGAGGATTCAGAATCTCGCGGGGCGGGCGCTCATCTGCCGCCCATGCCGCCGCTACCCAAATGCACTGAAGTCGCTGACATTTCGACAAGTTGACACTGGCGGCGCTCAACAATGACCGCCGCTGGCAGCGACTATTCGAGCGCGGGTCATACGTTCATCGCATAGTATACAGATCCCTGAGCCTGGGCGCCTACACCGACACCCACTCCCCCGGCGGCCTGTTGCTGCTGCTGTTGCTGCTGTACCGCTGCTGCTTGTGCAGCAGCTTGTGCAGCTGCCGACGTTGGCGATACCATGGCATTGCAGTCACTATGCGATACGGCAGCTGCTCCTTCGGGCACTCCGCGCTCACTAAATCCGGGCATTCCACCGTCTGGTCCAAATTGATAGTGTCCTTGCATCAGGCGCTGCTGTTGTTGCTGCTGCTGCTGCTGTTGTTGCTGCTGCTGTTGTTGGTGTTGCTGCTGATGCTGGGCATAGTGAGCGGCATGGCCACGCCCACTGACCACATGCAACTGCATGCCAGGCAGGGCATAGCCAATGGGCACTCGAATCGTCTGCTGAGTGACCTGATCCGGCGAGAAAGGCAATGGATTTATAAGAGGCATGGCATTGCTTTTAACTTTAAGTTCCTAAAGAATAATTAATAAAATTAATAAAAAATTCAAAAAAAAAAAGATTAAAGAACAAAGAAAGATAAAGATAAAAGGAACTCATAAGACTAATTCTTCAGCGATTTTGGTAAGAGAAGATTGTTAGTTTGAAATAGCCATGGGATGAGAACACCCTCTCAGTCTTACCTGCTGGTACTCGAGGATGTTCTGGCGCTGGATGTGGGCCAGCTTGGGATCTCCGCTGCTGCTAGTGGCGAACTGGGAGTAGGTTTCCGCATTGTACGGGATGAGGACCATGGTCTGGTGGTAGTTACGCAACGGCGGCGGCGACTCCGGCCGCCTTGTCGGGCTGCGGGCAAAGTGACTGCTGTAGCTGCTGTGCTTGCTCTGCTCGATGGCCGTGGCAGTGGCGGTGGCCGTTGCCGTGGCCGTAACGCTCTGACAGTTTTGTGCCGCAGCAGCGGCTGCATAGAGGAGTGATGCATCATCAGCACCGCCGGCCGCCGTGGCGCCCTGCTGGATCATCGTCTGACGGAACATGGTGCCGGCGGGCAGGGTCTGGTAGTAAGTCTGTTGGATGGCAGCCGCATCCATGGGGAAGCGCTGTTGCTCCCCAGTCTCGCTGTAGAAACTCCATGTCCGCTGCTCTGTTTTCTGCAAGGCGGCGGCCATTTGTTGCTGCAACTGCTGCTGATGTTGCTGGTGAGCTTGCTGCTGTTGCTGTTGCTGTTGCTGCTGCTGTTGTTGTTGTTGTTGTTGCTGTTGCTGCACACTCTGTGGCACATTCTGCGGCGAGGGATTCTGCTTAACCGTATTGGGCATGGCATAGCCCTTGACCGCATGCTGTACCGGCTGGCTATTGACCACCGTGGGTATGGCCGCACTCAGCTGCTCCTGCATCTGGGCCAGGATCTCGTTGGTCGAACTGAACTTGGGCTTGATGCCGCGCACCGAAGGCCGCTTGTTAAATCCATAGTCATTCTGTTCGTCATCATCGCTGCTGGCCTGCGATTGGCTGGGCTCTGAGCCCGCTCCCGTGTACCGCTTCTTGAGCTGCTCGGTCCGCTTGGCATCTGCCTGGGCAAAGGCGGCCAGTTCGTCCTGCTCTTGTCGGCCGGCGGCCTCCTGCCCCGGAGTTCCGGCAATCACATCCGGTGCCACCTTGCGTGCTTCTTCCCCAACACCGACTCCTCCTGGTCCTCCAGCAGCAGCCAATCCTTGAGCCAATCCCTGGGCTGCCATCGCAGCCGCATGCTGAGCAGCCGGATCTCCTGAGGCGGCTGCTGCTGCAGCAGCTCCCAGTAGCTGTCCCATATTGAAGTCAGCGGCCGCAGCGGCGGCGGCATAGTGGGCGGCATGCGCATGCGTGTGGGCGTGGCCATGGGCATGCGGATGAGCGGCAGCTGCAGCGGCCAATGTGTAATAGGAGGAGAGGTCGTCCTTGTTCCCAGCCACACAGGCGGTCAGGGGGGCCAAAGTGGAGGAGAGGAACTGACGCTTCGGCTCCGTTTGGCGGGGTGGAGTGCGATGGATCTGCGTATGGACCACCGGCACCTGGATGCCCATTCCCAAGTCAGGAGCTGCCGGACAACGGCATTCCTGTAAAGAAAGGAAAGTCATCTTAGAAGGTTGCCGAAAATGGAAGTTGGATGAAAAACTCACCTGGGGTATTATGACTATGGGGTTCTCCTCCATCTCCATGATCTTCTCTTGCTTTTTGTCGCGGTTAAAGATGTCGGCGATCTTCTTGTAGGCCGACGATCCACTCGAGGAGCTCGATACCGAGCTGCTCGGTGAGAAGCTCTTCTCGCCGTTGACAAACTTATGAGCTGAACCAGAACCAGGCACCGGATTGGGATTCTCCTCGCCAGCTGGACTGTTCCGCTGAGCCAGCTCATCGGCACGTTCGGCGGCAGCTTCGGCGTCCTCATCCACAGCTCTTTGCAGTTCCTCGGCTAGATCCTCGTCGATGTCGCAGGTCAGCTGCTTAATGCGCTCCTCCAGCGAAATGTCCGACTTAACAGCCTTTTTCCTAAGGAAGGAAGTTGGGACATTAGATGATACGATCATAAACTGAGACTACTAAGTTATTTACTTGATCAAAGATCTTCGCAAGATATTCCTTTCCATGCTGCGGCGCAGGGTGTCGGAGTCGCCGCAGCTTCCTGGCAGGTGGGTGACCAGGCAGCCAGCCCGCTTCGACTCATCGAAGGCCCTGAGTGCCTCCGAGGTGAGCACTGGCGCCTGATGGGCCGAGACGCTTGGGAAGAGCTGGCGCACCGCCGAATTGGGTCGCAGCGCGTTGTTAAAGAGCGTCGAGTGCTTCTTAATGGGGATCAGTTCGTTGATCTGGTTCTCGCTGTCATCCAAATCTCCGGCCAAAGACTGGGCATCGCTGTCGGTGCCGGCATTGGCCTGATCTTCGGTCACGAACCTCACCGATCGCTTTGTGGCTCCGCTCTCATCCTCCGAAGTGGTGTTATTCTGGTCATCCGACTGCTGCTCAAATGAAAACAAGAAAGGATTAGAGGAGGATGAAACAAAGATTTTGATGGGACATCTCACCTGAGAGATGGAATCCTGCTTCCATAGTTTGCCGCCCTTAAGGATTCCGCTGATCTGCGTGGGCGAAGTCTCCTTTGGCGGTATTGGTGGCGGTTTCTGGGCCTCGAACTGTTGCTGCTGCTGCTGCTGCTCTGATGCTGATGCCGCTGCTGCTGCGGCTGCTGCTGCGGCGGCTGCCGCTGTGGCACTTGCCTTAGCCGGCAGGGCAGGCGGTAGCATATCTGCCGCTCCGCTTGCAGCTGCGCCAACTGAAGGCGTGGCGGTACCAGGTGCGGGTGTAGAACCAACCGTAGCCACATCCTCATGCGCCTCCCGGATGATGCGGCGCTCGGTCACTGTGGTCATAGTGGTAATGGTTTCAACAACAAATCGTTTATTTTTTGAGGAGCTACTGATGGCCGGAACCGGAACGGGTACCGCCATTTGGACCGGCATTGGCACCGCTACTGGTACCGGTATTGGGGTTTGGGTTGTTGTTAACCCGTAGGCGGAACTAGAGCCGGAGCTCGAGACGGATCCGGAACTGGCCTTGCCACTGGCCGACTCCTTTCTAGCCTTCACCACTGCACGTTCAAACGCAAAACCATCCAAGGAAGGCATTGGATTTGGTTTTTAAAAGAGAGCATTTATTGGCATTGAAAAGATTTTTGGGTTTTGAGATCGATCGATGTCGATGTGGAGATCATGATTAGCGATGGCGGCCACCACGATGGTTACCATGATCCATGCTATGTACAGTGCCCATGCGGATGTACACGATAAGCCAAGAGTTGGACAAGCGATTAATGGGGACGTTTGGTTGATACTTTTGAAATGAATGTATCTTAAAGATGTTAGCTTGGATTTTGGGATAAGCAATTGCTTTCTTTAAAGATTTACCTTAAAAATTTATCAATTTTGATTATTACATTTTGTTAAAGAAGTTCTATTGCCTTATAAATGTTAGTTAATAACCTAATTATGAAACAGCAAAGGCTGTTAGATACAAAATGTATCTTGTATCTTAAAACTGAAATAGTTCTAAGCTAATTTTGGTTGAAATATGTAAAAAAAATAGATTGGTTTTCTCTTCATGCCTAGATGGGAATTTAAAATAGGATTGATAGAGTCATCAACCTTGATCGAATCAAATCGAATCCTTGAAGGACGAACATGAAATGTGCAATATGGCCATGTGGCGAATGGTGGCGCTTGCTTGCTGTGCATAAATGCATGATAAAGCTAATGACAAAGGTGGGACATGGACATGGACTTGGATTTGGACTTAGATTTAGATATAAGTTAATAGAGAGGGGGGCATACCTGCTGTGGGTGATGGCTTGTACTGCGACTGCAGAACATATTTGGGCCGCTCCTCGCCAGCAATGATCTCTTTCTGGGTGATGCGACGCTCCGGGGAACTGGTGTGCAGTGGCAGAATTGCCACAGCAGGTACACCAAGCGGAGTCATCTCCTCTGGACACTGCGGGGAGCTGCATTCTGTAAGTAAGCGAAAGGTAAAGAAGGGGTTAAGGTTGGTAAAGGGTAAAATGTATAATTAAAACATTCAAGTTTATGGTGATGGTTCATGGTTCATGGTTTATGGTTTGTGTTCTAATTTGATTATCCTATTAGTTAAGAGTTTTGTTTTAAGTATATATTAGAAAAGAGTTGGAAAAGGCACACCTTGTCAGCTATATTTTAAAAGTGAAACTAAAACTGAAACTGTTGACTGACCCCTTAAATTATTGATATACAAACGGAAAGGGTTACAGTCAGCCGTGGCACAGACCATGCTTGGCTACCTTTGATGGAACCTTAAATATCAAAAGTCGATGACGAATCGGTGGCCAAGTTAGGGGCATTTCCGCCTGTTGCTGTTGCCAAAGCGGAAGCGCGCTTGAAGGATCGGTAGGGGGTGAAGCGTTTTTTTTTTCAGCTTTTCGGTTTTTAGTTTTTAGTTTTCAGTTTTCAGTTTTCAGTTTTCCGACTTCGATGGGCATACATAGTTTGGGTCATAGGCATATCTCTGGGCTTGTCGCTGAGGGGCTTGTCGCATTCGCGGTTCGTTAGGCGCAACAATTAATGAGGAACGGGAAACGCCGGAAAATTCCCTATAACCCAAACTCATACTCTCTCACCCCTATCTCCCACCCTCCGATTTGGCAGCCAATAAAGCGTGACCACCGACATTAATGCAAATGCCAGGCCCTTTCTCAGCAATTCAAACATCCTTTTAAGGGTGTTGTAGGAGGAATTCGATTTGAAACAAAGTCAAGTTGCCGTAAATCAATCAATAGAACTTTCTGTGGAAATGCGGGCAAGTTGGCCGGAGGGAGGGCGGCAACCCCAAAACAAACCCCGAAAATGCCATCGAATTATTTATGGCACAAACCTGGCAGATAGCTGAAATTTTAGCGATTTCTTTTGATTGCCTAAATGCCTTTGATACGTCCGTCACCATGGAATTATACTAAATGGTTATAGCCGCTCGCTCGCTGAGTGGAGTTTCATCGCAAAATGGCAGTCGTTAGCTATTGATTGATTGGCCAGAAAGGTTATGGCCGAAGGTGTAATAACTGCTAGTTATAGTTTTTGGCCTTTTTATTTAAGTAGATTAATTGTTATATTAAGGCCCACTGTACAACTTTTATCATAACTTTTATGTAAAAGACCCACTGTAAGCTTAAATAAGAAACAACTTAACTGTAAATATTATCCTGGCATACTGTTATCTCTTTCTATCATGTAAGTAAGCTTTAAGAGATCGTTTTGTATGTACATTCGTCACGCTCTCGGAGAAGCGAGCAGAGGGATATGAAGAAGAGAAGAGAGACATAAAAGCAAAAAACTAACAAGCAGCGTCTTGTCTTACTATTACAGAAAGAGTATAGAAATGTCAGGAATAAGCAGCCATAGGGATACCCTCCTTATCAAGCTTAAAAGATATATCCAAAGGCCTTGTCAGAATGTGTATCTGTTGGGTACTCGCTTGTTTTTTTTTTTTTATTGACACTGGCCAGCCGTCTGAACGTCTGTGAACCCTGACTGCCACCCACCCCCACCACCACACCCACAGCACAAATTTTCCGAATTAAATTAACTAGAAAATTACAAGAGCAAGTGCAGCGAACTAGCGGCCAAACAGGAAGCATTAAAAATGGCGTCCAATTTAAAAAGGGGATACCGAGGCCGATGCTCCAGGACAAGCAGGACGACTAGGACGACTAGGACGACCAGGGATGTCAACGGGCGAGTGAATGTTTGCATAAATAATTCATAATTAGATTACACAAAGGCAAACGAAAGCGTTTGTGAATGAAAAGAACTGGCCCGCTAGCCCCCCCGCGGGATTCCCACTAATTGCATTGCGGCATGAAGATGGATGGAGACAGGGTTATAGGCAGCCTTTCTCCTCCTCCCCCCTTTCCGCCGAATCCATGCACAGTACATAACTACATGTACATCAGATCAAACATATTGTCAACCCCCTTGCCTCGTTCCCGCCCCCTTCCACATTTGTACATCTTTCACCAACAGCTGCCACATAATGAGTTCAAGTTTCAGAATTTGTGGGTTAAATATGGCCAAAAGGGCTATGATTTCCGCATCTGCCTTGTTTTTTTTACATATGTATTCGAGTTGGGTTGAAAATTATGGAAAATTTAATATTTAAGATCTGATCTTTGCCTTTTCCTACAGTTTTTGTGACTAAATAGAGAAAAATCTAAAGAAAGCCTCCCACTTTCTTCCTAAAACCCTAAGAAATCTTCTTGCCCCATTAAGGATATCAACTTTTCTCCCTGTGCAGCCACTCACCTGCTTCCTGGAGCTGCTTGGCCGCACATTCGGCGCACTCGGCACACTCAGTGCAAACGCCCTGGAGGTCCTCCTCCGACTGCTGCTGCTGCATAGCTCCATGATGAGGTTGCTGATGTGGCTGTTGTTGCTGTTGCTGCTGCTGCTGCTGTTGTTGCTGTTGCTGCTGTTGTTGTTGTTGCTGCTGTTGCTGTTGTTGTTGTTGCTGCTGCTGCTGGGCACTGCCGACGGGTGGAGGCGGAGGCGGTATCTGACCGCCTGTGGTATTGCGGGCAGCCAACATTGCGGCACGCTGTTGTTGCAAACGCTGAATGACCTGCAGCTGCTGCAGGTGCTGTGCCCCGAAGATGTGACCGCTCAAGGCGCCGCCGAGCGTGTTCTTCAGACTGCTGTCCTTGTAGCCATCGGGCGGACTGAGAGCCGCATCGTCCACGAACTCAATTGGCGGCTGGTATTTGGGACTCTAAAAACGGGAGAGAAAACACAAATTTTGGTAAAGTTAAGTAGGCTAAGTGAATAATGCTCGTAAGCCGTGGCATCTACCGCAAATTAAGCTAATTGAGTTGCATGGACATGGACCACCAACACATCCATGTCCTTGCAGATACATATGTATGTGTGTGTGTGTGTATGCAAGTGCTTATGCATAGTGAGGATCTAGGGCCAGGGATGACGAACTGGGCGCCATAAATCAGCGTTAAGCCCCGTCCTTTCTGGCCCAGCCACTGTGAAATATCTGCTGGCCTTAATGGCACTGTTTGGCTATCTGATGGATACATTTCAGCTGGTGATATGAGAAGGCCTAGAATGGCAAGTGGAATGTAGACTGTTTCGGGAATTGCAGGGGCACAGAAATAACAAGATATTCTTGTCCTAGATGAAGTCTCTTTTAGACACTATCATTAAGAAGTTAGAAAGATTCATAAAACTCGAAGACTAACAAAGTAACCACAACTGTCATCATATTTCATCTTTGATGACTCTATAACAAAATGCAGATACTTCCCGGTAAGCTGTACACTTTTCCGTACGACGAAGGGCGCAGGAAATGTAACAAAAGACCGAAAAACTTAATTCAGCCAAGTACATAGGGAAGAAGAACATAAAGAAGTGCATAAGAGTTATGTTGGACATGTGTATGCAACATAAAAGTTGCAACCGAAAAAGCACGGGTTCGAACTCCATTCTGCCGGAATTCCTCTGAGAACTGCCAAAATCCTGTTTATTTGCAACTGCAGCGCAGGCTGCAATGTCTAGACAAGGATCTGAGCCTTCTCTCCTAGCTTTTCCTTAACCCCTACCCAATTTTCCATAGCATTTTGGGCAAACCTGGCCCCTTTAGTCCTGTCATAACTCTGCCCTGAGATGCGAAAACTTTTGCATAAAAATGCGTATTCTTTCTACGGCTGAAGATGTGGATGTGGCTAGCTGTCTGTCTGTGTATGTGTGTTTGTGTGTGTGTGTGTGTTATGCAACGTGCTTGGTAAACTTGTTACACACACTAAATGCATATTAAACTCTTCAGAGGACCCACACACACACACACACACAGGCACAGACATAGAGGGGGCAGGGACATGCTTAAGAAGCGCCAAGTCAAGTACATTGGGCGCTTACACTGCAAGAAAATGAACAGCGGAAACTTCAGCTTTGAGTAAGATCACGAAAATCTGATCATCAGTTAAACGTTGATTTTTCCAGTCAGTTAAGCTTTTACATTAACTTTCCATTTATTGCCTACTTTTGGGCATCAAAAAATATATCCTTTTCCTCTTATCAAATCCAAAACTTAAAACGAATGTGGTAAACCCATATAGAATACCAAAAAGAACTCTCAAAAATGATTTTTTTTTCACGATGCACTCTCGACTGGGCACTCAGACAGGACCCTGCCAGGACATCAGAGGAGGGCAGAGCAGATAAGCAAAAAAGCGGCGCACTCAAGTGTCGCTTATGTGGCAGCAAATTGAAATTTAAACGCAACTCGAGGGCCGCTCAGGATCGATACGAGTGTCGAGGTGAGAGCGGATGTGTGTTATGGTATGTGGTATGTGGCATGATGGCTGCTTTGCCACGATGATTATGACAATGATTATGAAGCTAAGGGGGGGACGGCGGCGGCGGCGGCGTCAGGATGGAATCAACGAAGGAAGGAAGGAAGTAAGAAAGGAATGTCCGAATACTGGCGGCAACTTTCCAGAATGTCCTTAACACATATAACGCGTTCGTTCATCACGATATCATCAGGCGCACACAGACACACAACCAACGAGCAATTCATAAAACAATCTATCACAGACTTGCTGGTGAGGGGGGTGGTAGATGGGGGGCGCGATCGACAACAATGTCGCTGGTTGTTACTACTACTACTACTGATGCTGCTGCAGTTTCGAGTTACTGGCACAAGAAAAGCATTTTGTATAAAAGTTCTTAAGTGATTTATACACACTTGCCAATAGAGAATGCGAGGACAAACTCGCAGCTATTATGTGTTACGTATAACCATACAATGGGGCATATACATACATATATATATATATATATATCTTTATATATATATCTATGTGTATCTCAGCTCGAGTGGGTGTCGATGTGGGGTGTGGATGGGTGTCCTGCGGCTTGACTCCTACTTGACTGCCACTTGGGCGGGCGAAACGAGGACACTGTGGCTGCTGTGCTTTTGTTTCTTCAATTGTACACACTCTTACACACACACACACACACAGACACACGCACATTGATAACAAAAGTTGGACAGCGTTTGCCGTAATTAACATGAAAAGCGGCCCATTTTCACCATGTCACACTGTCGGCAAAAGGGAGATAACGAACAAATCGCCAAATTGAAAAGGAAAATAAACTTCGTACTCCTAATTGTGAATATTGTCCGACAAGGCATCGTCCTTAGACTTAGAGCTTGGCAAGTCCAAGTCAAGTTTGGCCAAGTGTGAGGGCAAAAGATAAACCAGTTTAAGTTCTGACTAGATTAGTCTTGAAACTAAAAGAAAACAGTGGAAAATTGAAAGTCTCAGAAGCTGAATTGTTCTAAAAAGGCAAATATTTCTCATAAGGCAACCTTTCTTTTCATGCTGCACCCTGAATTTTCCTAATTAAAATTTGATATTTCCCAATGAAAACTGAAAGACAGACTCTCGGTACTTACAGTATGAAAAGCTATTATGAATATGTTGCAAGTAGCTTTCAATTTAATAAGACTGCACCTCTAACGAGCTGTGTTGCAAGGGAAATACTAAGTAAATATAAAAAATCAGCCAGGTTTCGAAGTTCAAATTGACAAAGGCATGTCGTCGATGGTGAGGAGGAGGGAAAAGCCCCGCCAAGCGAAGTCAGTAATAAACCAATTTAAGTTGCGACCCCTGTGAAATGGGATAGTTAAAAGACCGAGGTGCGTTTCAGGTTGCCCTCATTAGCCAAAGGCAAAACGTTGGGCCCAGACCAGGGCGGGCTAAGCAACTCGAACTCGGCAGAAACGTAGACGGAGACAGCTAATCAGCTTATACTAGGAATCGGAATCGGAATTGGACTTTACTACTTACTGGGTTGGCCGGAAAGGAAATGCAATCGGCTTCTTCTTCTCCTTAAAAGTCAAAGTAAGCTAACTAATTTCGTAGTTAACAATAACAAGAAGTCTGTCTGTATCATTAATGAGCTACTTGAGTTTGCAGAGCTTTTAAAAGTACAAAATTTAAGCCCTAAAACTCTTTTAGTTTTGTTTCTTTCTGATGGGAACTTTTCGACCAATCCTGCAGAGATTCTTGAAGACAAGAACCATCTCTAACCACCCAAACCTATCTAAATCACTCACCTGTGGCGTCCTGCCCTCGCCCGCCTCGGCGGGATTAACGGCATAATTGCACTGGCATCCCTCCTCGCAGCAAAGACGTACCAGTTCATGCTCGCCGCAGGTGCAGGGCTCTTCGTCCTCCTCGTCGTAGGCGCAATCCTCTCGAATCAGGATAATATAGTCAGCCTCGAAGAACTCGTTACGTGTCTCGTCAAAGACAACGCGATTCTTGCGGGCCGGTGGCGGTCTATTTGGCTTTTTGAGCAGGCCGCGTAACTGACCATTGACCTCGCGCATCTTGTGGCCGTTGATCAGGTGGGTTGGATGAGTTGGCTGGCCTTGGGGATTCGGTGCTGCTGTTGCTGTATCTGCTCTAACTGCAGAATTGATGACGCTGGCTGATGTGGATGTGATCTCCTCCTGGCTAGCTAGGCACTCATGGCACTGGCAGGCTCTATCAGTATCGTTATCGTTTTCGATGTCGACGTCCTCGTCCTCGACCTCGTCCTCCTCCTCTTCGTCGTCGTCGTCGTCTTCGATTATGAATTGGCCGTACTCCTGTTGCTCGCTGACAAACTCGGCCAAGAGCTCGTCGTAGCACTGGAAAGTACTAAATCTGTCCTGTTGAAGATTTAGATTTGGCTTCGACTGGCTATCTGGGTGGCTGTGGCGCCACTGCAATTGGCGGGCGACCTTCAGATATTCACTGAAACGCTGGACATCAAACTCACTGAGCGATGGCCCAAAATCGCCGGCCACCGCCGCCTTACAACTGGGCTGTGTTGGCACAAAGGCAGAGCGCCTTGTCAAGTCTTTGAAATCCTCGTTGTAGTCACAATCCGTTTCGATTTCAATCACCACTTGGCCGCCGCCGTCGCTCTCTAAAGGCCCGATCCTGCGCACTGGCAACTCGCGACGCGTATTCAGCAAATGTTGCTCCTGGCAATTTTCAGCTGTTTGTCTGGTCGCTGGGGCAGTTGTTTCGCTTTCATTTGGCAATTGCTCGACTCGAATGCCATCCACATTTAATTGAATTGCAATTGAGTCCGCTGTAACTGCTGCAATCGCCTTATTGTCTTTGCCTTGGTCGGACTGGGTTGGGCTGGGGGTTTGGAGTTCAGTTTGGGGTTGAGTTTGGGGTTGGTTTGGCCAGCCTTCTGGGGGTAGTTTCTTTGTTATGCTTATTGTTTGTTGCTGGCCCTGTACCTCCTGCTCCGCCTGCTTGTGCTCCTTCTCTTGCTCCTGCTGGTGTTGTTGTGGTCTCAAGGATGCCTTTACACAATCAATGTTACAACTACTGGCCACCCGTCCCTGAAAATTGTATTGCAGGCGCTTCAAGCGTTGGCTGGCCACAAAATCCTCGCCCAAATCTTGCTCAAAATCGATGAGATCCTGTTCGATGCAGCTTGTTGCTACTGCAGTTGCTACTTCTGGTACGGCTGCTGCTGGTACTGGTGCTGTATTGCCCACCAAGGATTCGCAATCGATGAGCTTCTCCACGGATGTTGCATTTAAATCTTTGGGCTTTGACTGGTTGCCGTTGTCATTGCATGTTGCTGATGTATCTGCGATGCTTTTCACGTAATCCACGTAACCGCCAGCAACAACAACAGGCCAACTTTGTGGTGGGCGGACAGCAGCAATGCCAGCGACATTATCAACACCACATCCAGTCAAGGATGAGTTGAGGTACGGGTATGGGTATGGGTATGGGTATTGAGAATATGGCAATGACAATGGCGCCTGCCCCGCCTCCTCCTCCTCCGCTTGCTGCTCCTGCTGCTGCTGCTGCTGCTCCTTTTTCGAGCTTAAGGTTGTTGCTGTTGCTGATGTTTCTAATGTTGTTACTGCTGTTTCTATTGCCGTAGCACTTTGCACATTTTCACTGGTGTAAAAAAAATTATCTAGCCCGCGAGCAGACAACGCGCTTTGCCTGGCTTTTTGCACAAATTTTTCTGTACGTCGCGCGTCGTCGTTGTCGTTGTCGTGGTTGCTGGTGTCGTTGCCAGCTTTGGCTTCGATTTGTGTGTTTTCCGTGGATTTCCCGCTGCTATCTAACTGATTTCTTGTTCTACAAGAATTTTGGCAATTGATTTCCACTGAATTTTCACTGGAATCTATCAATTTGCACAGTTTTTGGCCAGAATCCGTTGACTGATTGCTGCTAGTTGACTGTTGTAGCTGCTGCCTCTGCTGCTCAGCTGCGACGACTGCTGCTGCTGCCACAAGGTTGGCTTTGAAAAGCTCACTGCCAATTGTAGGTATTGAGCAGGCGCTGCTCCCCTTGCTGTTATTGTTGTTGTTCTTGTTGGCGTTGCTCCCGTTATTGTTGTTGTTGCTGTTGCTGCTGCTGCTGCTTGTCACATTGGGTGGTTGCAGGTATGCGCCTGCGCTCACGCTCTGCCTCTCACGCTCGAGTTGCGCGTACTCACATTTCGTGGCCACTTCCGTTGCTGTGTTGTCGCCAGAGTTGCTAATGTTGCTGCTAGTACTGCTGTTGTTGCTGTTGCTGTTGCTGTTGCTGCTGCTATTGTTCCCGATGTTGCTCCTATTGTTGGTGCTGTTATTGCTGGTTCTGCCCTTGTTGTTGCCAGTGTATTCAGCACGCGCACGCGCCTCCACTCCGTCTATCGCTGAGTGGCATTGCTGACGCACCTCGCAATGCACGGCAGCAACATTGTCGCGTGAGTCGCGTGCCTCGCATGCCAAGTGGCCAGAAAGCCCACAGTTTTGGCCTAGACCACCACCAGTCGTATTGGCCACTGCCGCTGCCACGGCTCCTGGCTGATTATCCTCATTGTAGCTGCTATTGCTTTTCCCACTCGAACGCATTTTGCTGCCGCATATCGGCTCATTTGCCAATGCAAGCGTCAACATGTCCACAATCAGCATGATCGCAGGGAATGAGCCATGATCGGAAAGGAGGCTACTGCCACTGCTAATGCTAATGCTAATGTCCGTTTATGTGGCTGGGAGTCGTTCCTATCGCCAGTTCCCACCAAAGCCCCACACTAACACCAGTTGAGTTTTCCGCCTTCGAATTGCGTTCGCTTTGCATAAATTACATGAAAATTTCACACAGCCCGGGAAATTTGTATTATTGTCCGTTGGCACTTGTCGTTGGCGATGTCGAACAGGTGCGCAGGGTCACTCGAGCGCATCCTGTGTGTGAGTGTGTGTCCCAGGACCAGATAGTGGCTCGTTATGTTTTCTTTTTTTTTTGGGGGGTTGATGGTTACGCGCCACTGCGGCCAAACAAAACGGCCCAACAATACAGCACCGTCCACCACAACAACAACAAAAACACTCTCTTTCAGCGCACAACAACAAAAACGGAACACGGAACATAAAAAAAAAAAAAAATGATCAAGTTATTTACTTAATTTTCTTCCCGGTTTTTGGGCTTCTTGGTAAAATGGGTTGGTTTTACGGTTATTTTGGGTAGTTTACTTGTTAACCGACCGGCGCACGTCCGAACGCGAATCGTGACGGAAGTCGACTGAGCAAACGCAGACCGACTCAACGGAAAAGCAACCTCGAAGGCCCTGTCTTCGTCGCGATCTCGGCCTTTTTCTCTGCCATCGTCGCACAGTGGTTTGATTCTTCAAAGCAATTGGTAAATTTGAAAGTTGCTGGACTTTAGATGGAAGTGGGGAGCGTAATAACAATACTTTTCCTTAAACTTCTACTCACCTATAAAAATCTTTCGAAATCAGAATCATTAACCTTGAGTATTTATCAATAAGACCTTTGTAGCTTAATTTTAGATTCTCTTACAAGAGCCATTAAATACCTGAGATTTCAGTGAAGCCCCACTAAACTGATTTCCTAAACGATTTTTAAAGGCAACTTCCTCGTGTTTCATGTTTTCATTTGTTTGAATATTTACTTGTATGTCGGTTTTTTCCATCTATATTACTTTACTTTAAAATCATAATTTTTTCAGATATGAGTCACATTTTTTGAAATTTGATCCCACTGTCTCTTCCGACTTCGGTGTCTCGGGGGCGCAAGCGCAAAAAAAAACCGAGCAAAACGACGAAGAAAGGTAACGGAAGAGGCAGAAACAGAAGCAAAGGTGGTGGTTGGTGCATGTAAAACGAGCGGCGCAATCATTGGTCAGGCGATGTCAGTCTAGCTATTTCTTCGATCATGTGGAAAATATATATTTTAATATAAATTATATCCAAAAATAGATGGAATTAACATATTAAGATCTTTTTTAAAGAGAGTGTAAAAGAGGAAAACTCAAATTGAAGTTCGATATCCAACTCAATTTTTAGCTATGTTTTATGCAAATTTAGCTTTCTTTTTAGTTGGCAGCACTGTTGGGTCAGGGGGTGATAGTGCGAGTGGCAAAGGGGAGACTCAGCTTTTTAATGACGGTTCGGAGACAGATCGCATGTTTGTTGGCCAGGCCCAGCAGTAGAAAAGGTAATAGAAGGGGTGACCATTACGGATTACGCACTGGGACCGCGTTTTTTATGACCATCAGTCGGACAACACTTTTCAACGGCTATTTGCGATTGCTCGGATCCAAAGTGAGCAGACGTGCTCATGTCATAAACTTCGGAAGCCGAGATTGAGATGATCGTGATCGTAATGAAAGTGATTAGACAGGGGTAATGATATGAACACACTTAAATGTGTCACCGTGAGATAGACTCGATTTCTTCGTGTTAACAGAACTCTGTCACGATAATATGATAATATCTGGGTTAATAAGCTTTACCGGGTACTCAATCCGATAAATTTTAACAGAACTAGAACGAAAATGATTCAGTAAACAAGATTAGAAAATAAGATTATAATATAATAATGTTAATAACAAATAATACATTCACCAAAGATAGCTTAAGTTAGTTTTAAAGATCAAGATCAGGATAATCCTGTTTCTTTCAAGTAAAAAACTCAAAAGTCAGGAGTACAATTATGAATTCATCTTGTAATATCCCATTATAGTGTTTTTTTATTCTTAACTACAAGTTAATAACTACCCAAATTTTAATGCTAAGAATTACGTACAATCTTATTGCTCATTTGAAAGTTTTATCGTAGCATTTGCAATGGCTCTCAGAATCTTAATTAAGTTTCAGACTCGGAAGGGATTTCACGTGGGGTGTTAGCAAGACAATCGACCATCAAGTGATACGATTTGGATCTTTTCATGGGATCGCGTTGCAAGTACCCAGAAGTACATGTACTTGCTGTAAATGCAGACGTGAGTATATAGGAAAGAGTTCCACGTACTTACTAACCCCATATAAAACCGACTCATTACCCCGGCTCCAATGATGATGATGATGATGATGATGATGACGACAACGACGATGATGATGACAGCCAAGAGCAAGTGCCCGGGGGCACCGAGTGTTATATGGTATGGAGTATGGGGCAGATCGTGTGTTTTTATTCCGGGCAAAACTTATTACTAAGTAGGAGCAGATCGCGAGCAAACTGAATGAATGGAAAATTGTGGGAACAATGGAACGTTTGCCGAGCGTGAGAAATTGCCACCGCCAACGCGTCGGAGGCTTCTTCTTCTTCTTCTCCAGTGGTTGCCGGTGATGCTAGTGGTGGTGGTGGTGGTGGTGGTACCTTAAGCCCAAAGATCTCCCAGTCTGGAGCTGGAAACTCCTAGGCTGTTTAGCACACAATGCCGCCATTAAAGGTCGACGCTGTCTCCGAGTCTCAAAGACTCCCAGGCCCAGAAACCCCATCTATATATTATATATATATGTATGTATATATATATAGTCATATATAGTACTCCCCAACTATCAACATTCAGTGGAAGTTGCGCAGATATGACGCCAAATTGCCGTCTTTAAGTTGACTAATTTTCATTTTGGGCCGCTGCATTTTCCACTTGCCATCTGACATTTTCATAAGGCCCTCAAAAATATGCGCATAATTCGAATGCGATATTAAGCGTATGTGCGAATAGTTTTCCCCTCGAACCCAAGAGCTTTTCATAATTCAAGGCGAGCGATTTGACGATGAGTCGCGGTTCAATGTCTCCGGTTCCGACGTCTCCATGTGCGTGACTCGGCATTATAAGTGGGGGTCAACTGGCGGGCACACCATGACTGACTGACTGGGCAATTATGGTTGCAATGCTCAAGATTTTCTTACCATTTTAATTCTGTTGCTTAGGAAATTCCGCATAAAGAAGATTTCAATCAGAAAAACAGCGAGTGAGGATCTTAATTAACGATTTTCTCAGATTTCATGTTAGGAAAATTGCAATAAAAAGCATTAAAAAGGATTGAAAACTTGATTAGATAATCATTCCATTTGTGGAGATCTAAAACTTAATACATAAATCTATTATCCATTCCAAAACGTTCTATCATAATAATATTTAATACATAAAAACCGGAGATACATTAACCATTTCCGAAACATGGCTAACAAAATTCGCTGAACTCGCTCACTTTTGGCGCACTTCTGAAGCGACTAAGTGAAAATTAAAGCCCAAGCGAAACGAGATCATTAAGTGAGTTCCCCTTAAATGAAGGCCATAAAAATGTTGCCGGCAAACGGACAAATTTAGATGTAAGAATTGTCATTAGAAGGAAATCCCTTACAATGTCCAAAACCGACTAGCTACTAGCCCAACCCACATTAGATGTCTAAGTTGTGCACTGGAAAAATTGACATGAATGGTAGATAGAAGTTATGTATAGACAATATATGTATATAATATTATTGATATATAATATAACGTTTCAAACTTTATCAATATATCAAAGAGGTGTATCCAAAATTTATATAATTTTCCAATTTAACCAATTTGAAAAGCCTTTTGATTAAAACGGCAAAGATTTACAAAAATTTGGTTGCTTTGGTTCGATTTTTTAGTGCTTTAAACAATTTTTTGGAGTATTATTAGTATTATTTTCTAGTGTACCTTTACCTTACCTGTCCATCGTCTTCTTCTTTCTCCGCCCCGCATCAAATTCGCCTAACTGACTTTTAATTGTTAGAGACGGCGGGCAGGAGGAGGTTGAGGTGTCTGTTTTCCTATCTTTTCCCGGGCTCACATGTCTCCTGGTGTCGGTGACAAAACAAAAAAAAACCAAAACAAACCTCGGACCCATGCAGAGTTGCCACTTGTATATGGCATGTAACTCTATTTACGACTGACAAGCATCGCCCTTTGTTGTAAGCCGGAAAAGTCGCGGTGTTTACCTGATGACCATATCTCTGCCATGATCGCTGCCTAAGATTTCCTGGTAGTTGCAAAACCCAACCCATCTGGCAAAGAGGAGACGCCACGAGCTCATCTTGCGACAGTGATTAACGAGACAAATGACAGGCGCATTTGCAGGATTTCCTAATGTATGACTTTTTGAAATATTTTAATTATTGTCATAAGTGCATAAAATAAAGGTATCTACAAATAAATTTGTATATATATTAAAAGCAATGGGTAAACACCAGATGCGGCTTTACTGACGACTTGTCATTGGCTTCCTTGTCAAGGAGAGCCAATTTGACCGGATCAGCCTCGGAGAACGAATAACAATTTTGAAAATATTCTATATATCGACCGATGGAATTTACAAGGTTCATCTATTGATTATAGATTTGATCGTGGATGGCTTCACTAAGGGCCTGCAGTGCGATTGAGTCCATTTCTCGGATAAGGCAGAATGCGGCGGAGAGGATATTACTTTGACGATTGCTTCGCTGATCTAAATATTCAACATTCCCGGAATAATACGTCTCCTGAGGCGTTACACAAGTAATCATTTCGGGAATAAAACTTCCGTTACCGGTGGGGATGGAATAGACATCATGGCTTCTGGCATTAACGGCGTCCAGGTGGTTATGGGCCATCCTTAAGGCAGCAGCGGCTCCCGAAACGGCAGAGGATCTATAGGCTCCTCCGCTTGGACACTGCTGAAACGGCTGGCTTTGAAGTCCACGAAGGACAGGTGCAGCATTTCGACAGGGCGAAGTCGATCGACTCCTGCTTAGGCCAGAAACATCAAGCTCCGTGAAATCTGCGCCAGCGTTCCTGACCACTCGCTGCCGCTGCACATCCCGCTGCCGCTGCACATCCCGCTGCCGCTCCACATCCCGCTGCCGCTGCACATCCCGCTGCCGCTGCACATCCCGCTGCCTACAACGCAGATCGCGTTCTCGGTTCCGTACGATCTCATCTTCCGCCTGATCCCTTTCCATGCGTTCTAGACGGGACCTGCCCCTACCACCGAACTCCTCAATGGGAATGGAGGCAGAATCAGCAGCATTGGCATTGGTCATACTCGGGAAATACTCGTTTCGCAGGGCGGCTTCCAGCTCCTGATCGGATACATCTACATTGTCCAGCTTCTTAAGTTTCGGCAACTTGCGCAGCACACAGGCCCGATAATTGTCACCGGCAGCTTCTGAGCATGGGTTATCCGCTATCCAGAGCGAGGTCAATGACCGGGCTTTGGACAGGAAACACAACTCCTCAAAGCTCTCGATCTCGTTCTTGCGTAAATAGAGCTCCTTCAGATTGTAACAATTCTGCAAACTGCTCAGAGTTTTGATCTTGTTAACGCTGAGGGCCAAGACTTCCAAGAGCGGCATCCTCAAACAGATGGTAATGTCCTCTAGCTCGCCACCCCAGGCATTGAGCTTCACGACTTTGCGATAATCGGAACACTTCGACTTGGCCTCAACCATTTGCTCTGTTAGCCGGTTAACCATCTCGGTATTAGCGGTATAAATTAGAAGGGCCACAACAGTATATCACTTCTCAATGTAAAAACCGTGCAAATATTCGGCGATAACTCACGAAAATTTGTCAAAAAATTTAAAATAAAAAAAAAAAATCCAAAAAATAAAGCTTGAAATTTAGTAATGATTTTGATGTGCTCATTCAGAGAGTTAGGAATGAACTGAGGTCGAAGTCGTTTCCTTCCAAACACATCTAATGCAAATCCCAAGGCCTACTTTTCCAAAAAATTGTCCTTATTTTTTCGAAACATAGTTATTTTTTATAAATCTTTGAAAAGTAGGCTGTGGCATGCTAGGCCTACTTTTCAAAAAGTTTTTCCTTATTTTTCGAAACATAGTTCTTTTTATAAATCTTTGAGAAGTCGGCTTTTTAGAAATCTTTTGAAAATCAGGCGTACGTCTTAAAATTCAGAATCCCAACGAACTTTTGACATTCAAATTTATAATTCTGTACATTACGGACATAACAAATCATACCATATTTTTATTCTAATTAATAGTAAGATTTTTCTTACACATTTTTCTATCTACCTAAATATAATTTTTGTTTATAAACTTTTTATAGATTTTATAAATTGTGTTACCAGTAATGGAGAAAAACGGGTTAAGCTCCTTGGGAATAATATTTATGCAGTGCTCGGCTGCAATACGAGGTTGGGTGAAACAGAGCCTTAACATTGATATGCGTTGCATTGAGGAGCTATCCTCTGGAGCCATCTACTGCCAGTTGCTGGACATGATTTACGAAAATGTGGTGCCGCTCAAGGATGTCGTTTTCGCTACAAACCGTATAACTATTTTTAGAAAAAACTTTATAGTGCTGCAGAAATGTCTGGAACAGCTGGAGATTCCGATCGAAGTGCCCATCGAAGACCTTGTTTGGTGCGACTTTGAGGCAAACCTGGCTTTTGCCGTAGAGTTCTTCAAAATCTTCAGGACTCTCAGCAGCTCTTGTGAGAAACGAATGCTGACCTACAAAGCACTGACCGCCCGTAACTATCAGAAGTTCTCGATGGACCCCCCAACGCTGGTCTCTCGTGGAACTGAGATCCCAAATCTCGAGGAGCTGGAAAAAAATTTCACAAGCTAACGGAGACGGTGAACGGATTAAATAAGATCTCGGAGAAACCTAATAGAACCTTGGGAGATGCCATCTATAGATGCCGGACCAATTTCCGGCCTGATTTCACTTGAGCAACTTCAGAGAAATCCTTCCAATTACAGACCGATAACATATAAATGAGTTTAAATGGGAGGATCTGTATTATAATTGTGTGATAACTGCTGATTTAGTTACTTCCTTGTGCCAACCTTTAGTAGGGGCGAAATTTACACACAATTAATTTTTCAACTCATTTCAATGAAAAGCTAATTGTTGTACATTTCAATATACAAATTCGGAAAGCTTAAAATAATTTTGAAAACTAATTTCTTCTGTCCAAGTTTTCCGCCGCTCTATAACTTATCTCGCTCGATAACTTATCGAGTATGACCACAGCCTGGCCACACTGGAAAGCTATTTAACGTCTGGGCTGTGCATTTAGCTAGTAAAAGGTTCTATGTGGAATTAGTAATGAGTCTGGTATGCACTTTATTAAAAGTTACTTATCAAACTGCAAAAAAAAAATATGAATTCCGAAAACATTAAACACAACGAAGGCATATTATAATTACTCACAATCTTAAATAAAAATGTTAAGAAAAAAATATAGCTTTTTTAAAATTAGATCTAGCTATCTAGATCAGTGTACAGCACTGCCTTGGCGTTTGTTGTGAAATTTACCTGACTTATATTGCCGTTTAACAGTAGCCATGGACGAATTCTCGCGACAGCAAATGGATGACTGCTTTCTGCGCAGTCCAAATGACATCCGCACCACGTGAGTAAATCCTGAGGCGCCAAATAATGGTAATTTCACTAACTTTCAAAATTCATGTTTAAAGCAACGTGCAAGCGGTGCCAAAATCGCAGGCGGATAACAAGTCCCGAAAGACGGAACTACACGTCCTCCGGCTGAATGACGAGTCCCGCCAAATCACCATGGACACACTGCGCCAGATTCACGGTCCTGACTTCCAGCTGGACGACATAAGCAAGTACAAGGATCGCGGACGCGGTGGCCACGGCGTGAAGCACTCCTATTGGCAGGATCGGGGCACTCTGATGGTGCAGAGTGTCCAGGGAGTTAGCTCGTCGCGCGGGAACGATAGCGATGGCGATCGGTTGCGTCGCTATGCTTTGGCCAAACTCGAGAACTACGGCTTCCATCCCGTCCATTGCTTGGAGGCCTATGATCACTGCTCCGGCGACACAGAGGCTGCTCTGCTGCTGCTCTACCGCCGCTATATGAGGATTGCCGAGCAGGAGGAGCTGACCCTTGAACCTCCCAGCGAGCAGGAACTGCTGGATATGCGAACGGATGAGAAGGAGGCCCTGGAGTCCATCTATGACAAGGCGTACGAGGAGCGCGAGGCGAATCGTGTTTGGAACCTTAAGTTTCGCATCGACCACCTACTGGCCCACAGTCCCTCGGAGGTACGGAAGGCCAGGGAGGCAGCCCTAGCTGCCGCTGCTGCTGCTGCCCAGAAGTTGGTGGACAAAAAGAAGAAGGGGCCACTACGATGTCGAAACTTTGACCGCGACGGCACCTGCAAGTACGGACCCAAGTGCAGGTTTCCTCATCTTGCTCCGGAGCCAACTGAAACAGATACTATCAAGAAGGGTGAGTATACTGGAGGGGAATGATAAACTAAGAAAATATCATTCCTTAATCTTCTAGATAGCGTTGACGAAAACGACAACGAGCTCTGGTTTCACGTGGAGGTGCGCTTTCCGCCCGGAAGCCGCTATCCCTATGAGGCGCCCTTCATATACTTAAAAACCACCTGTCACGATATCCCCCACGAGCTGCGCCTCCGGTACGCTCGCCATCTGTACAAAGAAGCCAGAGAGATTTGCCGTGATGGCATTCCCTGTGTATACAGCATTTGCGACCTGCTGCAGTCCAATGAACAGCTAGCTGGTCGCCTGGATACGTCTGCGTTTCCTTCGCCCAAGCGTTCAATCTTCGACAACGAGCCAGAGGGCGGTGGAGCGGATAAGGATGGTGACCATCAGCAACTACCAAAGCCCTCGCACTACACCCGCGGGCAAACGTCACGAAATGAAGGGGGCAACCAGCGAAATGCGGAGGCACAGGCCCGGGAGAATCGTCGCCTACTGCAGCAGTTCGTAGAGCGACGGAAGGAGGAGCGCTACCAAAAGGTTATTGACGGCCGCAAACAGCTGCCCGCATTTGCCGAAATCGAACGTATTCTGGCCCTGATTGAAAGCTCACCCGTAGTAGTGATATCTGGTGAAACGGGTTGCGGCAAGAGTACACAAGTGCCGCAGTTCATCCTAGACAACTGGTTCTTCCGCGCCCTCCAACTGCCTCCAAAGGAGAACCTGCCGCATGTGGAAATCATCTGCACTCAACCACGACGTCTCTCGGCCATCGGAGTAGCAGAACGAGTGGCTGCCGAGCGTTTGGATCGCATTGGTCAGTTGGTGGGCTACCAGATCCGTCTGGAAAACAAGGTGTCGCAAAGCACACGTCTCAGTTTCTGTACCACGGGCATCCTTTTGCGCCGATTGGCTTCCGATCCGCTGCTGGAAAGCGTTACTCATGTCATTGTAGACGAAGTTCATGAGCGTTCTGAGGAATCCGATTTTCTACTGCTCATCTTGAAAAATTTACTGCGAGAACGCAAGGATCTCAAAGTTATCCTCATGTCCGCCACCTTAAATGCCACTCTTTTCTCGGATTACTTTGGTGGAGCACCCGTGCTGGATATTCCTGGACGAACTTTCCCTGTTCAACAACTTTTCTTGGAGGATATTCTGGAGATGAGCGATTTTGTCATGGAGTACGATACCAAGTACTGCCGCAAACTAAAGAAAAATGAGCAGGATATACTGGAGCGTGAGCTGGAATACGCCGATGTACAAGCTTCGGGACAGGCGCCAGGAAAGAAGATCAAAGATGAAAAACTAACTCTGGCCGAGACCTATCAGAGATATGCGGGTAAGTAGAAATATGGACCTGCAGCATACCAGATGCTAATCACTTTTGTACGATATTCTTTTCAGAATATAGCAAACCAACTTGCAAGAGTATCTACCTGATGGAGCCCATGACTATTAACCCCGAACTGATAGAATCCGTACTTAAGTACATTGTTGAAGGCTCCCACGATTGGCCTCGTGAGGGAACCATCCTCATCTTTCTGCCCGGCTTCGGGGAAATACAAACCGTCCACGATTCACTGCTTGACCACGCACTATTCTCGCCACGTGCTGGCAAGTTCATCTTGGTGCCCCTGCACTCTGCTCTGTCTGGCGAGGATCAAGCGCTAGTCTTTAAGAAAGCGCCACCCGGCAAACGAAAGATAGTGCTAAGCACGAACATTGCCGAGACCTCGGTGACTATCGACGACTGTGTGTTCGTGGTGGACTGCGGCCTTATGAAGGAGAAGTGCTTCGACTCGAATCGTAACATGGAGTCGCTAGATCTAGTCTGGGTCTCTCGTGCCAATGCCAAGCAGCGAAAGGGTCGTGCTGGCCGTGTGATGCCTGGAGTTTGTATCCACCTGTACACTAGTCATCGCTACCACCAGCACATCCTGGCCCAGCCAGTTCCGGAGATTCAACGTGTGCCACTCGAGCAGATTGTGTTGCGGATCAAGACGTTACAAACGTTTGCTTCGCGCAATACACTGTCGGTCCTTTTGGAAACCCTAGAGGCGCCCACAGAGGACAGTGTGCTGGGAGCCCTGACACGGTTAAGGGACGTGGGAGCTCTTGACTCAGAAGATCAGTTGACGCCGCTAGGCCATCATCTCGCTGCCCTGCCCGTAGACGTCCGCATTGGCAAACTGATGCTTTACGGGGCGATCTTCCAATGTCTGGACAGTGTGCTGACCATCGCCGCCTGCCTGAGCAATAAGTCGCCATTCGTAAGTCCTTTGAACAAACGCACGGAGGCGGACAAGTGCAAACGCATGTTCGCTCTGGGCAACAGCGATCACCTAACAGTGCTGAATGCTTACAGGGTAAGTAATCAACTCATAGTTACTTTAATACTTACTATAGTGTCTGTCTTTCGATTCCCCAAAGAAATGGCTGGATGTGGCACGTAGGGGAAACTATGCAGCCAGCAGGAACTATGCCAGTGAACATTTCCTGTCGCTTAATACTCTTGAGACAATAGCCGACCTCAAATACCAATACCTGGAGCTACTCGTCTCCATTGGCTTTGTGCCCATCAATGTGCCGCGAAGACGCAAGAATGCCTGTGACAATATTCTGACACTGACAGGTATGAAGTGGAAATACGCATCATAGGATAAACATAATGACGAATTTAATTTTCCGTAGGTGTGGAGCAGAACCATAATGGTGATAACAACAGACTGCTGACCTCGCTTCTCTGTGCCGCCCTCTACCCAAACATCGTAAAGATCATGACGCCGGAACGCGTTTATGTCCAAACGGCTGGCGGTGCTGTGCCGCGCGAGCCGAGCCACCAAGACTTGCGTTTCAAGACTCGCGGCGATGGATACGTGAAGATCCATCCATCATCGGTCAACTCACATGTGGCCGTCTTTCAGGCGCCCTTCCTCGTCTACCAGGAGAAAGTACGCACGAGCGCCATTTATATCCGCGACTGCTCAATGCTGCCACTCATCGCCATGGTCCTGTTTGCCGGCAGCGACTTTAAGGTCGAGCTACATGACGGTGACTTCCTCTTCCTTCTCGAAAGTGGCTGGATCATACTGAAGGCCCATGACCTCGAGACCGCTGAGATGGTACAGTGTCTGCGGGCGGAGTTGATCAAGCTGCTGGAAGAGAAGATTCGTGATCCGTGCCTTAATCTTCTGCACCACAAGAACGGCTGCCGTATGATCGGCAATATCGTTCACCTGATCAGTAAAAACAGCTGAGACGCTCCTCATTTATAAACTTTTCAAATCGTTTTGTACATTTTGTGTAATAGCTGTTTTAGCCAATACTTAAATGCCTGTAATATACGCCAAACGAGACCAATAACAAATCACCGAAACGATGGCTTTAAATCGCGCTCCATAGGGTTCATATGATGAAAAATAGAAAAAAATGGATTTTGTAATAAGATTTTTGTTTTTAAATAACTTTCTTTAACTGCCTCATTTTCAAGTCATTATTAAGCCTTGTTTTCAGTCTAGTTAGAAAAACTCACTCTTTGTAATAGATCAATATTATTTTTATGTATTCCCTACCATCCGCTAAAACTGTTTTATCAATATTAATAAACGATCATTATTTATAACATGATTTCATATATCATCGATCAAATTGGGTCACTTGAAGGATTGATTGATTGATCAAACTCATAAAATATATATTAAAAATATTAATAAATCATTTTATGATTTATCATACTCAATGTTTTAAATCTGTTTTTGAAAGACAAAATCATAGAAAGGTATTTTGTACAAAATATTGACCACAGAGTTTTGAAGATGTGGACACCCTGGACACCCATCTATTAAAACTCAATTATGGGCTGTTGTCCGTTATAATTGATAATCTAAAAGTAGGCAAAATGAAAATCGTTCCGAAAGGGTTTTATATCCCGTCATTTAAGCCACCAGGATGGTTAATGGTGGACTACTGGGCAAAGTCGCCAGCTCACCTATACGACCCCAAGCACATTGAGAATCTTTGATTGTTTCTGGCAAGAGGGCCATCGTAAGGACCTAGATTTTTTTGGCGAGCAAGGACGAGGCCGTAAAAGACGTTGTAGAAATCTAAGGCAAAACCCAGGTTGGAGCTGAGGTCTACCCAAACGAGTTGATCTATTGGTATCTTTAGTGGGATCTGAAGCTTGTCAAGACATAGCTGCAGTATAACGAAGTTATTTCGGAAGTTCAGAACTTCAGCGATGGCAAAAATTACTTCCTTGACGTCGTCGAAAATCATGTTAAGCATCTGGCAGTAGACGGCTCCTGTGCAAAGCTCCATAACATCCCTAAGATCAGCGTCGATTGCGTCGTTTATCCAGGGAATTAAAGTATCGCAAAATTGAACACAACGTTGTTGATAAACTTTATGAGCCATTCTTCCTTCATTAATTTATGAAATTGTTCTATTAACAAAAATATAATTATTAAAAGAGAACAAAAAGAACGAGAACAAAATTGCTAATCCAACTGATTTTCAGTAAATCCCAAAGGTTAAACGTATTATAGTTTTAAATTCCTAGGCCTACTAATGACTCATAGTCTTGGGTCAGAGATTCCTTAGATCAACTCAATTACTTCGAGGAGTAGTGTTCCCCATATCAGTCATCAATCTTATAAGGTGATTGATTTAACCATTCGGAAGGGCGCCCAAAATCATCAACGGACTGTCAACTACGAATCGATCATGTCTGTTGGGTTGTCCCCGATCTAACCAGCGGCATTTGGAGGCCCGGTGCTGGCCCATGTGTCCCATCAATTACAATTCGTTTGAATTTATTTAAATACACTCGGATTTGTGGCGGCCACTTTGCGATGACAGGTGAAACACCGGGCGGTTCCGTCGATACATCAAAGATGGTTAGCATTTGTACTTGCAGCGTAATTAATTAATTATGCTTATCAACATTGGCTAATGCACCACTATGTATGAATCAGTTGCCAATTTAAATAGGGTTACGCCTTTTCCAACTCAACCCAATATTTTTGGGGCCTTGAGCGGTTTCTCTCTTTCGATTTGGCCCACTCGCCTGGGATCTCTGTGTAACGCAAACGTTAAGCTTATCTTACCAATTAAAGGCTCCAGCCCAGCGATCGAGTACAAATGGTAACTTTTAGCACCTCGTTGAGTCGTATTTGCCCGCTCTGATTTGAGGAGCAAACGCCAGCTGTTTGGGGGGTTTCCTCCCATCGCCGGGAAAAGGGGGGGGAGTTGGTCAAATACGATCAATGACGTGGGAAATACGAGCAATACGGCCAACATTAAATACATATGTATTTTCGCGGAATTTTAATGGATAACACTGGAAAAAAAGAATTCATAATTTGTTTTAAGAATATGATATTAATATGGCAATTTTGAACTTATATTTTGAAAAGAGAAAGCAATACATGGGTTACATTGATCAAAAATAATATAACTTTATGATAGATATATATATATATATTTATAAAAGTATGTAGATTTCTAATTGTTGTAAATCTTTAAAATCTTTAAAAATTAACCTTTTTCACAAGGTGTATGTAAACTTTACATATCACCGCATTAAATAAAATCCTAGGAGTCATGGTCAGCAATGCTCTACTTTTTGTATTGAAATCTTTAGATCTCCGATGATCGTGAGTTGTGTTTTTTTTTTTGTTGCTACTTCAGTGCACAGTGGGCAAAAAACTTATTCACAGTTAATAAACAATATACAAATATATTGAATTTTTAATTTATATATGACATATCTATTAAAAGATCTTAAAACTATTAATAATACCACTATTTTTAATAGCAAATCCAAATATCAAATACTTAATAGATTCGTATACTTATAACTTACATTTTTTCCACTGTATGGCTTTCAATCAGCGTCTGAGAAGATTCACTTACTCCTATCCAGTGCAAAGCACTTGTTATCAACACTATCATTGTCCCCGGCGATCCGATGCCCCGGGCTCTGCTATCTCCATCTCTCCGTGCTCTCTTGAGATTTCTCAGTCGCCAAATCCAAGCTGATCGGAGGAGAATACAAAATATAGAGCGTGAGCAAAAATAAGTTTATATATATACCCACATATATAAACATATAAAAAAAAGGCGATAACTCAACTCTGATCGTCAAGTATCAGCATTCTGAGTTGCACTTACACGGCTCTCACCTCTTGAGTTCCCTTAGATTCTGATTAAAATCGATTTCCTCGTCCATTTGCAGGTATTCCATAAGCACAGTGGGCCCGAGGTCCTTTCTGGACACCATGATGGTGTTTCAACCAAGATCATACTTATATGATATATTAACATTAAATATGTAGTATTTATTATATATTTAGTTTTTAAATAAATATTGTATTATGATTTCTGGCTAATAAAACTAGATAAGGAACTAATAAAAAGAGAAATTTTCTTAGCTATAATACAATATTTTGAATTTACTAACTAAAAGTCTTAGTTAAGTTAACTTTTCAACTGATCATGAACTCATCATGAAACTGATCACATATGTATGTATAAGAAAGTAGCTGTAAATGATCAATACCGAGTAAGTTAACTAAAAATCATTGCACATCGACATGGGGTTCTACCTATTGACTTTGGCATTGACAGTGAATACTTGTCACGATGGCAGGATTAGGTGGTGTAAGCTACCAAGATCAAGGTGGGATGATGGGGGGTAACGTGCTACCAGGTGGAGCGGTCTGTTGGGGTGGCTCGTCTGCCGTTTGACGATTAAAGTTTGCGCTCGGCTAGTGCCCGTCGTAAAGCACTAAAATCCGTAGACAAATTATTTACGTTGTGATTGTGGTTGCTTTGGTTGTTTTTTTTTAGGTGTTTTTTTTTTTTTTGGGCTTGACGGCCTGTCAGTGGGCGTGGCAGTGGCGGTGGCGCCGTGGGTTAGGTTTTATGCGCCCACTTTGGGTTGGGAATGTGGTCCATGTTCTAAAAAGTTCGGTGGCCAAGCTGACGATCAAACAAAAAAGAGCCCACAGTGGGTCGAGATAAAGTGATGCTCACTCGGAATATAATAAGACATGAAAGGGATACAGTGGTCAAAGGGAAAGGGATCAGTGATACGTATAGTAATATGGCAGTCTAATAAATTAGACTTTTCTTTTAATTTTTTTTCCCCATTAAGACGTTTTATTATACACTTTTAGATCTAAGGATTTTTCCTATGCTCCTATGCTTCTTTCTAAGCCATATCGAAATATAAATTTATTTGGCCATAGAGATTACTGTAATAAGAAATATCAAGTGAGTTCAAATTTTTCACGGTAGGCAAATGTTATTAGTTTGAATTGTATAAAATCGATTATTTGACGTAAATGAAATGGGCGCGACATATTTCGAAATTTTATAGTTCATAGGAAATATTTATGAAATCTTATCAATATCGCATTTTATTATGGTTTCTTGCATGTTTTGGGAATACACTATAATAGTCAGTGATTCATACGCTATTTCGCCACCATTATTTTAGGGAAGATTGATATTTGCGTACAATATGATCCTGTTAAAGAAAGATATCGAGTATTTCCCATTTGTTCCACTGTGCTTTGGCCCGTATTCCGTTGGTTACTACACAGTATCTCTTTTTTTGCGACGATCGGTTTCAGAAGGGTTGGGGGTGGGAGGTTCGGGAGCGTTTAGTGGGCTGAAAAGTGTAGTTGTCGTTTGTCGATCGGTGTTTCGACTTGATTTAGTTTAGTTCAGTTTAGTTAGTGCAGGGCTGGGGGTGGGGCTCCCCCACCTGCACGCTCAACGACAAAAGAAAAACACTCACACATTTCTTGAGTGATTTCGACCTGTCTTGTTTTTTTGGAGCCCGCGAAGAGCGCAAGAGCTCAAAGTGAGTGAGCACTGGATTAGAGATCACACGTACTGTGTTCAATGTACACAAATAAACACATCGATCGGGCAGTTAAAGGAGGTGGGACAATTACTTAATACCGCGTTCGTTAACCGTGCGGTTCTGAGCTTTTCCGCTCTGCCTTTTGAGTGCCTTACTTGGGGGAATTCGTTTTGCCTTCTTGTTTTGCTAAAATTCGTTGCCATTGGCGAGAAGTGTCGTAACTGTAACGGTAACGGTAACGCTCCTTCTCTCCCTCGCATACTACTTATATGAAAAACACGGGAAACGGAAAGAGAAGGAGATTCAATCTCAGCTGTAAACTGGATGCTGGAAATTGCCGAAAACAACGGAAAGCGAAAAAGAAACAGAAACCGAAATAGAAATAGCGGTTAGGGGCAGCGACGTCGGCCGCGACGCCGACAGAGACTGGAAACAGACGTGAGCTTGAAGCAGCGTTCCATTTAAATCAGAACGGTTACGGGAATCGAGAAGCGACGGAGCGACGTCACCGCCGCCGATCGTCACCGTTAACAAAAAGTGTCAACCGAGTGCTGGCAGCGCTTCAATTCAGCGTGCGCCGCTTAACGGTAACGGTCCTGCGACGCGATCGCTCAGCCTTCTACAAATTCGGGATTTTTTTTGTCTAACCAAAAAACGCAAAAACACGAAACGCAACGAAAACTAACGGTTCTACTGAGTGTTTTTTTTTTACAACAATTTTTAATCGTGGGTATCCTGGAAGTGCAACAAACAATAACAAATGAGGATCGGAACAGTGGAACAAATCAAAGGATTTCGGTGGTGTTTTAAAGACGAAGAAAATTTATAATTCCAAAAGAGTGCACTTGTAAACAAGCGACATTATCGACATCCCCTTCGATCTTCTGAGTCGTGTTATTGTCATTATTTTTGTTGTTCTTTTCGTGGTCACCTTGTTTCTCCGTTATCTGAGTGGGCCACGAAGAAAGTAAGACAGCCGGACATTCAATTGCATGCCCGGAATCGAAACGATTACGTAGTGCACAGGTTAGAGTTCTTCTGGGCCCAATCTGAAAGATCTGGATTCGCATGTGCGCTCCACTTCAGACGCGCTGTCTATATGGTTATATACACTATACACTAGGAGAAAAGTTTACTTCTTAAGGTGATCATAACAACATAGATATCGAAAATCGTAATAACCTATAAAAATCAGAAACCATTGTAAGATTTGCAAAATTAGTCTGCTAAAGAACATAGCTATGTACATATAACTCTTCATAATTTTCAAAAGTAAACTAGTAAAATGTTTAAAATTTTGGAAAATATTATAATTTAAATCAAAGTTTTTATAAATTTATTCAGCACTGTAAATTTAATTTTTAAAATGATCTACATCAAGGGTTAGCGTTAATCAACAGAAAGAAACACAAGATTACAATGTATAGTGGGGTATTTTTTAAAGTGCTTATGTATAATCCGGTAAATCAATCTGTGCCGCACCTCTGAACGGTATCTGTAGTATGAATGCATTTAATTAACGAAATTGTTTCACTGTGCAAAAGTGTTTGCTTAACTGTTGTTACCATATGCAAAACGTTCGCTTATACACGCAGCGAATGTACCGTTAGCCAGAGTCACAAATAACGGCGAACACATTTATCTGTTATCGATCAGTCGATTGGCAGTGGTCTTAAGAAGTCTTATGTCGCCACCATCATCGATCATGGTGCATTTGGTTATAAGCAAATATGGCCCAACCGATGATCCCCTCAGTTTGTCAATCAGTTCAGTTAGTTGGTAACTTAACGGGTGGTGGATATTGGCCCAATCATCCATACATGTGACAGCCAGACTTACAGTCCAACTTCTATAATGGGAGAATATTAAAAACCATTACAATTATAAAGATATACAAAAAGATTAAAAACCAGAAAAGGTTGAAATATCAATGTATTTAGATTTCATTTTAAGCAATTTTAACGATAAATAATCATGGCTTATGAAAAAGATTGATAATACATGACATTTTTTATAGATAATCCCAATATAACAGTTAAAAGACTAGAAAAATGCAGACAAAAAACGATTAAACGGTGCTAATTCGCAAGATTAGACTTAAGATTGTATACTTTGTAAAGAACGAGTTAGGGACGCTTGACTGTCGATATTAATTGTCGTGTATGCCCCTGGGCTCTGACGCAGTCTTATCACAAGAAGGAAAACCAGAAGCAGCAACTAAGACTGAAGACGATGACGACTAGACTGACAGAGGAAACGAGACATTGATAGATCGCAATTCAATTAATCATCTTGCTGCCGCCCCTCCTTGTAAAACAATGTCATCATTAGCACCCAATGGGCTCATCAACCAACCATTGGCCCGCCCGCCTGGTATTTCCACCGAGATTTTTCACATTCCGTGCACAATGCCTGCGATTCTTGTTCCTTATTTTCCCCCGAGATTTTCGCCAAGTGGCACTCGGTTTTTAGCTTTCCGTAGAATGAAAATTTTAAAAGCACGGCTTTCGACGCTTGACAACTTTTGCGATTATTTACTAAACGTGTTCATTTTGCAGTTGCTGCTATTTATTATTGATTATACGACTATTTAGCGTCGGTATATGTAAATATTTAGTTATTTATTAATTTTGTTCTACATAATAAACATACATATCTACGGCGAAGGCGAGTTTTCCCCCACCAATTCTGCACGTAACACGGTGCTCTGAGGTCAGCTCTCTGGTTAATGCACGTGAGGATCAAATGATCATCGGATCGTGCCAGTGATCATATAGCGATCTAGTGATCCTTTCATGATATCGCCAAAAAAAAAAGAAACCTCATCGATCACCATGAACTGGAGAGTCTGTGGGTTATCAATTAGTAAACGTCTTTATTGCCATATTAAATGGTCTGTTGTCTACTCCACTTGACGTCAAACATTGACTTAATTCATTTACATGATCATCGAATGTTTATCAGCTGTTATTGTCATTTGTGATTTGGGTTCGACTTGGGTTCGGTGGGTCCATTTTATGGGTTTACGATGGGTGTGGGTGGCATGGGTGAATTTCCACAACAGCTCTCTGATAAAAGTATCAACACAAGACTCTTGAAGGTCTTATGATTACTATCTTATAAGTTTCCCTCGGATTAATATTAATCCTAAGAATAAACCCTTCAAGATCCTTCTTCTCAGCCGTTGTCACCAGCTTTATGACCCCTTAACCAGTAATTTCCGCAAATTTTTCGGCAGAAATTTCCACTCGAAAAGAATTCCAAAGGGGGCAAGCCCAAAAAAAAAAAGCGTTAAAAAGATCGTTTGGCAACACACAGAGAGAGCGTCATCGAAATGTTTGTTCGAAATAAATAAATACATAAAAAAGGAAACACAATAAATGAAAAGACTTCCATTGAACGGCGTCATAGCCAACCACCAGTCAGTGCTCGAGGAACGCGCCCAATAGACGATTTTATTTTTTATTGTTAACAAATTATTGTAGTTGTTAGTGGCCCGTTGTGGGGGCTATAGCCGTCATGCCCCACAAAAAAAAAAAAAAAAAACAACAAGACAAGACTACTCCATAGATAATTTAATAGAAATTATACAGTAAGAACGATAATAATAATTAAAACTTTTGCAGAACAAAGCTTCGAAGAATCGTTATCAGCGATCACTTGACTTGAACAACGGGAATAAACAATTCGAATTGTCCCCTAATGTAATCAAGCGTGTAATGAGAAGACTTTAACCATGAGATAGTTAATCAGTGTTGGAGAATATAGAAGCCAAAAAAAAAAGATAGATAACTTAGGCAACTGCAAAGAGTTTGGAACGTAGATTAGTCACGAGATTCACGTGAATCTTGGCGGGGGATTCCACAATAGATACTACGCCAAAAGTCCACACGAACTACCCCAACATGAACTCATTAGGGCGAACACGCAACCATCTTTATCTTTATGATATTGTAAGAACCACAAATCTTCACCAACGATGACTTAAGCGCCCCCAGTCGTTTATCTTTATGATATTGTAAGAACTTTCACCATCAATTGCCAATTAGCAACCAATCATTTAGCCTGACTAAGTCTCTATGCCCTGGGCATATCTTTATGATATTGTAAGAACTTCAGACCATAAATAGAATTTACGAGCTGATATATCGAGTACTTTCATAATGGAGTATATAGTACTTTAAGTCCATATATTTTGGATGACTAAAACTCCAAACTATTTATCTTTATGGTATTCCATGTCCCGAGAACTCTAATCATTAGCTAATGACTAAAGATCTCGCCTAGCGTTTGACACCTGATCTGTGTTTTGTTTTTGGTACTCGGTGTTGTCAACATTTTTAGTGTTTCTTTTTTAGCATTCGCGATCGCTAATTGGCACCCAAGTGCGGTACATTGCAAGTTGTTGGGTTGACACCCACAGCAGCCCCCGTAACCCTGGCCCCCTTTTGATCCCCAGACATTTGCACACACTAATGTTTTATAGATAAGAGAGGGTACCAAAGGCAGCAGCTTGGACTGCTGGGAGGGCAACGTCTGCGACGGTCGCTAATCGTTAGCGGACTACTTTGCACCGCGAGCAAATCGTGGAAAATTAGCGGTAATGCCCTGGTCCGCCCGGCGATATGATTAGAAATGTCAATAGGTGTAAGCCGCCGGAGCGATGACGTCGCCTCCGGCGATGATGGCAACTCCCAGCGATGACGATCACCGTTTCCGAAGGAGACAACTTTTGATAGGAGTGCGCGTGCTTTTTGTGCTTAAGGAATTCGGTATGGAAATGGATACACTGCACCGAATGAGAGGGTACTGTACCATGTATCTTGTGGTGTTCAAGGAGAGATCATACATCAGCGTATGGCCTCTTAGAGGGTTTAACTTTGAATTTGAAGTTGAAAGTAACAAACTTTCCATTGAATATCTTTAAGAACTACCATAAAACGCATAAGACCAGTAGCTTTAGAAGGAGGGCATGGTTGTTTATAGTCCAGTATCTGCTCTCCCCTATCGTACACATATAGACAACCACTAGAGCGACTGGCCAGCACTTGAGCAATCGTAATCAAGCTTCGATTAGCAGCGATACAACCATAAATAACGACAGACAACAAGAGCGACGCGATCCCACCGAAACCCCAAAACACTGATCTACTGATTCCGATTCCAATACGGCCTAACCTCCTGGGTCGCGTATTAGCCGGCAAATCTGGAAATTATATATAGCTATAGCCTTGGCTGTCCTTTCAGGTAGTGCGACAACCCGACGAGCATGTCGCCGAATCGATGGATTCTGCTGCTCATCTTCTACATATCCTATCTGATGTTCGGGGCGGCCATCTATTATCATATTGAACACGGCGAGGAGAAGATATCGCGAGCCGAAGAGCGCAAGGAGCAAGTTGATATCAACGGTGGGTGAGCTTAAAAAAAAACAAAAATAAATTCCAAACCACATCCAACAAATCCAATCGAAATTCCCAATTAACCAATAGTGATAAGTAGCCGCGTGATCCGGATCGATCCACAACTATCCATGCAAGCATGTGATCCGGCCACGAACTAAACAGTCGCCCACGACTTCGATAGAAAGTCTAGAGCCATGTCGGATCGGTTGTGGTGTTGACACCCACTTGTTGAGGTTTCTCGACTCGTGGTCTGTGGTTCCGGGGTTTGGATTTTATTTAAAGTCTAACTTAGGCTAAAGCGAAGTCATCTTTAAGTTCCTTAAGAAGAATAAATCTCTAACCTAACACATTTTAGACCTAAAAATAATCACAATATTATTAAAGAAGAATCTTTAATACATTGATCATAGTACCAAAACAGAGTTTTTAGTCATCAACGAAGTAGTTTGACCAACCAATCTAAAGTTTATATATAGCACGCAAGGTTAATGATTCCCTTTTGGAAGTATATGTAAAGCGTTATCCAACTAATATCTGGTTTTATGTTATTTTTTGGCAAAACGTGCGTAAATGTAGGAGGAAAGTGCGAGGTTTACGACTCAACAAGTCTGGCTTAAAGACAACGCGACCTCTATATTCGGACATATGTAGATATATCACGGGTGTGAATGCGATGATATCGACGCTAAATCAAGCCGCTGTCTCGGATGTATTTATTTTAATGCCTCTTCAATTGCAATAAATCTGGATTTAAATAGCACATAAAATGTGTTAATTATGCAAATAAATAACCCATAAACCCTCTAATTAGTAACCATCGACCCAAGACGTGTGTGTGTGGATATTAACGGATTGAATCACAGACTTACTTACCCGATACACGATCACCGTTCGACCTAAAGTCTTAACTGTAAAGCTTAGGTCACTCGGTATGATAGGCCCTTTAGAGCCTTTAACTAATTCTTTAAAAATCCTCTATCGAACAAGGCATTTGTCATGCCAATAACTGTATGCATATGTAAGTAAGGCAAAGCCACTGGACAAAGTCACCTTAATCACTCCCAACTTGGGCCAAAGCTATAAAAAAGAAAAACAGCACTTCAGTTGGCCAGAAGTTGGACAATCGGCTATGACCACAGCCCAATGCCGATGACTTTCAAGTGCCCACAAACACGGTGAGATTAAGTTTGAGCTATTGACACCTGATAAGGTGACCAGGCCAAATGACAATGCCAGGGGGGATCTCCTAAAAGAATTCCCAGGGAAGTGATTGATCAGCAATTTGGAATGTTGGGATTATTAGTTTAGGGTTTGGTCTTGGTTAATAAGAGGCTATCAGGATGATACGAAGCTTTCAAAACTTTGATATCAATTCAGATCTCAGATCGAAGGAATTTAGTTTCCAAATGATCCTCGAAACGCCATGCATCACTGACCTCGACCTCTGATGTGGCACTCCGATTGCAGTGCCTGCTGATTTGCAGCCTCGACGCTGTCAGCTTAAATTAAATTAATTTATCAATTTGTTTGCCACAAACTTTTCCGGGCCGCAGTCAATCACCGAGGTAATCAGTGTAAACGCCCTGGAATCCCAGCTTGAGAGGCAAGTCGAGAGGACTTGCAAGAATTTGAGATAATGATCGACTTCTATGAACAAATTGCCGGCAATCAAGATCCACCAGTGGACCAACAAAGGCGATTAAATTGTAGCCGCTAATTCCCGTCCGTCACTTGTAGTTCCACTATATGGCGGATATATATATGTGTGTATATGTGTAGTGTGCTCCTCCACACTCTGTTGTGGCTGTTAATCTCTGAATTGCCCCCAATTGCGTCCCGTTGTGATCAGAGATCAGAGATGGGAGATGAGAGATGAGATGACACCACTGCAAGTCCCTTTGTTGATGGGCATTCGCCTACAAAGTCCGGACGCATTTATTGAATTATGCAATTCGTTAAAAGATTACCGGGGGCCTCAAATTGTTGGCATTTGCACAAGGCTCAGGGTTTATTGAATGATTGCCCCGTCAGATGCCGAATAGAGTTCTCATTTGCGAGTCTGATGAACTTGGCCATAAAGGTTAAACAGCCGATCATGGAGATTTCCACTGAGTATTTGCTTTTGGCTTTGATAACACCAAAGCTGTAGGATCTCTAGTTGTTGAAGAGCATCCGATCTGGCTAGAACAGTTTCATTTCCAGCCATCAATCAAGTCTGAGATTGATGGATTAATCAATTAGTATAATAGCCATTCAACGGAATAGCCATTCAAAAGTATAGTCATTCAAAGATCGACAATAAATGATAGATTACAGCCCAAACTGATAGTCCCTAGCTATTTTTATATAGTGCAATCATATTTTGATTCGGTTATATCACAGCTGATACAAGCTTACAAATCAGAAATACTTGAAAAGTTTAATCAAACTAGGACGTGTAATTGCTACTTAAAAATGTTTCATTTATCCTTGTAGTTAGTTTAAATGTTACTTGGCAATCAATCTTAAATTATAAAATCAATTGCGTAAACTTAAATTTATTCTGAGAAGTCAAATCTGATGGAAAAAGCTCTACATTACTGACCCACAACAAAATCTGCTTAGACTCTCTTTCCGGCCACGATATCAATTAATTTGCTTGATAAATATCTTGCATTGAGACCGACGGGGGTCGTTCATCCAGCGCATTTCAATTAAGCGAAGCAACATCGTCCGGGTCAGGTCATGATCGTGGTGATCGCTTAACTAGATCGGTGCACAAAGAGAAATTTTTTGTTCCGGATTTAACTTAACTTTTAACCTGTTAAAAAGTAAGGATTGCTAATAAGGTTTAACACTAAGATAGAAAGAGTTACTTAATAAAGCATAAAGCATACTTTTAAGCGCATAATAGAAGGATTCTAAAATCTCTAAAGTAAAGTCTTCCAAAGAAGATTGCTTTAGTTTACTGTCCAGTAGACATCAGTGTAATCTGATCACCATACAATCCGAAAGCCAATTATTTTAGTGTAAAAAATATCACGCTGGGGGAAATGTAGGGTTAGTCAGTGACGATCAGTGATCTCGGAAAACGTAACGGTTTAGTTTTTATGACCATTGTTATCCAACAGAAAGCGGAAGGTTAGTAGTCGGCCGAGCATTTGCTTCCGGATCGGATTCGGTTAGACACGTGAATCACAATATAGAGCCAATTAGAATTTAATTTGATTTCACGCTCGATCAGGCATGAAAGTTCACTTTTCTGATCGCCCTCCGTTTTTTTTCTTTTCTTTTATATTTCTGCAGCCTTTCTGCTGGAAGAGCTATCCGACAAGAACAGTAGCACACAGAACGAGATTCTTGAAAGGATCTCGGATTATTGTGGCAAGCCAGTGACCCTGCCGCCGGCACACGATGATACGCCCTACACGTGGACCTTCTACCATGCCTTCTTCTTTGCCTTCACCGTCTGCTCAACAGTGGGATATGGCAACATATCGCCAACCACCTTTGCCGGACGGATGATCATGATTGCGTACTCGGTGATTGGAATCCCTGTCAATGGAATCCTCTTTGCCGGTTTGGGTGAATACTTTGGACGTACGGTAAGAGGCAATCCTCATGAAAAGCTATAAGAAATCATATTAAATATTCCTACTATTCCAGTTTGAAGCTATATACAGGCGTTACAAGAAGTACAAGATGTCCACGGACATGCATTATGTTCCACCACAACTGGGACTAATAACCACGGTGGTGATCGCCCTGATACCAGGAATAGCTCTCTTTCTCCTCCTCCCCTCGTGGGTGTTCACCTACTTTGAGGACTGGCCCTATTCCATTTCACTGTATTACAGCTATGTGACCACGACCACTATCGGTTTTGGTGACTATGTGCCTACCTTTGGAGCCAACCAGGTGAGTCATAAGGATAATATATTGGAAAGTTACTTAAACTTAAACTGTTTCTTTTTCCAATAGCCTAAGGAGTTTGGCGGCTGGTTCGTGGTCTACCAGATCTTTGTGATCGTTTGGTTTATTTTCTCCTTGGGCTACCTGGTCATGATAATGACATTCATCACTCGGTAAGTAGTGGGTTGCATCCAAATCCATCGCATGTCCTCGTTTTGATCTTCGTTTTGTGTTTCTTGCATGATCTAATCCATTTTGTCTTTCTCTGATCTCTGGTTTCATACAAAAATCAAACAAATACCATTTAACATTGGTCATTCGGCATGAACAGGGGACTCCAGAGCAAGAAACTGGCGTACTTGGAGCAGCAGTTGTCCTCCAATTTGAAGGCCACTCAAAATCGTATCTGGACTGGTGTCACCAAGGATGTGGGCTACCTTAGGCGTATGCTCAACGAGCTCTATATCCTCAAAGTGAAGGTAAACGACTCTCATCATCATCAACACGAACTCACGATTGGGCTAGCACTCAGATATTTACTATGTTAAGTACAGATGGGATAGCACTAATGTATAATCTATTAACTACAATTTTACATTGGATACCTATTTAAGAAATGATAAAACCTGGGGAATATTCAAGCTAGTGCCTTGATATACATAATTACTAATCTAAGGTTATATAAAACTATCAAAAGAAGTTTAACAATCAAATAACATGGGCCACAAACTTTAGATGATTACTCAACTAAACTTAAATCAGGGCTTCTCAAATTCGACTTACGTCAGTGCTTTTACTAACACAAAATAAGAAAGCGTTCACATATTCAGTGACGCTCTTGTGTTGGTTTGCAGCTGTGCACTGAGAGAAAGAAGAACACTTTTTTTCCCTAACCAACTGCGAAATAAACTAGAAAGTGCAAACAGAAGTTATAAGGAATGATTTCCAGTGCAAGTGTTCGAGGATGAGCGAGGAAGAAACAAGAACAAATTGCAGTATATTACAGTTGGCGACAGAAAGAGAAGAAAAGAGGAAAACGAAAAATTGTTTGTGTAATAGCAAGGACTTCGAGGATGATCAAGGAAGAAACAAGAACAAATTGTATTGCAATTGGCGACGGAATGATGCGGAAAGAGGATAACGAAAAATTGTTAGTGTAATATCGCCGCCAGCGCTCATAGTTAATGGGGAAGCAGCGAGCATTTACAAAAGCAAATGAGCACTCAGCGCATAGGCGTTGAGCAGCCCTGGTTTAAATCAAGTTCCTTGACACTTATTTACATTCCTGGCATAATCTAATAACTTATAAAATAACTTATGTAAAGGGGAGTCGCATGTAATCTAATACTTATACGATCTAACCGGGAATATACATACATATATAACTGAACTGAAATTGTCCTTGATTTGATAATGCACTCTTGTCCAGACATACACCATTACAGGGCCAACTAATGATTGATCTAGCAGAGAATTTCCTTGGGAACACCTTTAATGTTTCGTGTCCGACTAAGCGGTATACACTTACCTACGTTCCTCTTAGCCAATATGCCTTAGTGTTATGCCAAACTGATATAGCCGCTATTCTCCGTTTTAGTTTTGTCGAAAGGGAAATAGAAAGAAGCCGAAAAATAAGGCTAAGACTGAGCAGAAAGAGAAGAGCCGTCGATGTAAGTAGCTAACGGAGATTCCCTGTGGACCCATTTCTAATATATGTATTCAGATAGTGCTAGTCCAGATCAGCCGGACGGACAGAGGAACAACTGCTTACAGAAAGAGAGTCAAACACTAATTCAAACTATTCTCTTTACATGTCCAACCAACACCAATCACCACTCTACACTCCAAATCACTCCAAACATCACACTTGGACTGGAAACTTAAACATTTACTTGGGACTTTGAACATGACATCGATCTGCGTCGGATTTTGAATTTTTTATATCGAATTAACCCTCTCAGCCCGTGTATACCGACATAGATATCGCCTATACACTGCCACGATCCAATTCGTGCCCGGATTTGAGCATGTACCGCGTGGAACCGGCACCCATTCCCAGCCGAAAGAGAGCCTTCTCCGTCTGTGCCGACCTGGTTGCTGCACAAAAGGAAGCTGGCATGGTGCACGCCAATTCCGATACCGAGCTAAGCAAACTGGATCGCGAGAAGACCTTCGAGACGGCGGAGGCGTACCGCCAGACCACCGATCTGCTGGCCAAGGTAGTCAGTGCTTTGGCTACGGTAAAACCACCGCCGGCAGAGCAAGAGGATGCTGCCCTCTACGGGGGCTATCATGGCTTCTCCGACTCACAAATTCTGGCTAGCGAATGGTCCTTCTCGACAGTTAATGAGTTCACCACTCCGCGACGACCTCGAGCCCGGGCATGCTCTGATTTCAACTTGGAAGCTCCTCGCTGGCAGAGTGAGAGACCACTTCGTGCCAGCCACAATGAATGGACTTGGAGCGGCGACAATCAACAGATCCAGGAGGCTTTCAACCAACGCTACAAGGGCCAGCAGCGACCCAATGGAGCAGCCAACTCTACCATGGTTCATCTGGAGCCAGATGCCCTGGAGGAGCAGCTCAAGAAACCATCGCCAGGTGCGGGTCGCGTCAAGAAGTTCTCCATGCCGGATGGCCTGCGTCGTCTGTTTCCGTTCCAGAAGAAGCGACCTTCGCAGGATCTGGAACGAAAGTTGTCCGTGGTGTCCGTGCCCGAGGGTGTCATATCGCAGCAGGCCAGATCTCAGCTGGACTACTACAGCAATACAATCACAGCAACTTCAAGTCAATTGCATATACGCAACGGTCGTGGTCCTCCACCGCCCTTCGAATCCAACGGCAGTTTGGCCAGCGCCGGCGGCGGCCTGACCAATTTGGGCTTCCAGCTGGAGGATGGGGCAACTCCACCATCGGCTTTGGGCGGCGGAGCCTATCAACGCAGGGCGGTGGCCGGAAAACGGCGACGCGAAAGTCTCTACACCCAGAATCCAGAGCCATCCGCTCGCCGGGGTAGCATGTATCCACCGACCGCTCAAGCCCTGGCCCAGATGCAGATGCGTCGCGGCAGCCTGGCCACCAATGGCTCTGGATCCGCGGCCATGGCAGCAGTGGCCGCTCGTCGCGGTAGCCTTTTCCCGGCTACAGCATCGGAATCCTCGATGGTCTCGGCACCGCGTCGCAGCAGCATATTCTCGGTTACCTCCGACAAGGATATGAATGTGCTGGAGCAGACCACCATCGCAGATTTGATCCGCGCTTTGGAGGTGGTCCACACCCATGCCGTGCTGGATGAACAGCAACAGGCGGCAGCGGCTGGAGGAGCAGCCGGTGGAGGAGGAGCATTAAAGGGTAGCCGAAAGCAGCGCAAGATGGGCAATGCTGGACTGGATCCACCACAGCTACCGCCTATCCTGTCACTTTTTGCTGGCGATCAAACAAGGACACTGCAGGCGGCAGCAGCCAATCGTCTGTATGCCCGTCGGTCCACCATTGTAGGTATATCGCCGACAGGTGGATCTTCCGGACCGACAGCAAGATCCCTCCTGGAGCCACCACCCAGCTACACCGAAAGAGCCGGAAGTCAGAGCCAGCTGACAGCTGCAAACCCCGTTACCGGACCACCGATTGCCCCAACTGGTCAGAGCAAGTTCCGTCGTCGTTTCAGCGTTAGACCAACAGCTCTACAGATTCCACCTGGTCAGGCGCCGCCGCCAGGTGCCAGTTTAATTGAGCATTCCTCGCAGACTGCTCTGCAAAGACGCCTCTCGCTGCGCCCTTCGCCACTGGCTCGCGAATTGTCACCAACCTCACCGCCAGGTGGAAGTGCCTCTGGTGCAGGAGCCACCGATGAGTCCGGAGGAACGTCCGCCCAACGGCTGCTACCACTGCCCGCCGGAACGAGACCCAGCACTAGCAGCACCCACTCACCGCTCTCGAGGATCGTACAGATCTCGCAGGCACAGCGCAAGAGCAGCATGCCGGCTGCGGGATCAAGTGCCGGTGGAACGAGTGGAGCCAGCAGTGAGAAGTAGTTAGTTTCATACTCCGTTAGATGTATTGCCAACTCGTTTATGTCCATGTCCAACGGGATTGCTTCACCATCTTTTTTTTTTATCCCACTTAGTTGATAAGGCTGCCAAAAGTCCTTAGTTGTTATGCTAATGTTATCCGTAACCTATTTACATACGTATATCCAGTTATCCTAGTGTTATGTATTTCTAAAATTATCTCTCTATTGTTATTCTGTATTTATACCAATCTATATCCTAATCTATCTAAATATTCCTCCATGTATATTGCTAAGAAGGGGCTTATATGAACAAAACCATTCGCGTGTTTTCAAGCATTCAATTGGGACAGAAAAAGAGTCTCCATTCGAATGTAGTTTCATTTAGCTCTTAGAGTGACTTCATTCCATAATCATTCCACATGCTGTTATACAATAAAGATAATCTGCAAAAATACAAACTGTCTATACCTAGTAGCATAACTCTTTGAAAAATCCAAATTAAACAACATATGTTTGCATATATTTGTCACTTTCAAGTAACTTGTTAAAAAAAACCAGTTGAAAACGCGCGCGCTCTAATCGCAAATTATCGATAGTTGCGACGAGCAGGCAATCGATATCGCTGTCATTTGCAGTTTGCAGCCCAAGGTCACACTGCTCCTGTATTGTTGTTGTGGTGCGCTTATAAATTGCTGGATATTTCCATTTAAGTGCTCATTTTTTGTTGTTCCTGCAAACGTATTTGTCGTTTTCCAGTAATTCCCGTACGATTCCCGTAACAAAGTTCACGACTTCGACAACAACGCAATTGTAATTTGGCAATGTTTTTGCTGACAGCATTATTGTGACCTACCAACGAGCAATAACAAATAACAACGGTAAAAATGCAGCGACTGCTGACTTCGCTGCTGCTGCTTCTTCCGGGGATTCTGGCCGTTTCACAAGTGTCCACCGAGGAGGTCAACATTGTCCACTATCAGCCCGAGCAAGTGCATCTGGCCTTTGGAGGTGAGTGCTTCTTCGATTCTCGCATTATGTAAATTATTCACCTGCACAGTAGTTGCATTCAAATCTTTTGCACAGGGGAAATTAGAAATCTTATCATTTTCGATCGTCATAAACAGTTAAAATGTTTGAGTACGCGAACTCGGGATCAAATCCCACAGCTGTTTTTCACAACTCATTAACTTTTTATGTTGATATTTAAATATTCAGCTTAAAAGTTACAACAAAATATAAATTAGATCTAATTTTTTCAATTCTGGTATGTGCTTTGAAGTGACTAATTATTTAAATTAATTAATATATATACAATAATTATTCTTTGTGTGTATTATAAGTACATATGTATATAGTATATTACTAATACTACTTTCAAATTACGCCGATCGTAGAGTGCGCAATTCCCGGTTGCTTTATCGAGTGATATCAGTACTTGCCCCTCAATCCCGTCCACAATCACTCTCTGCATTAACAAATCTTTGTGTCGGGGCATCAGAGGGGTTTGATAATTGCAAATGCATTTACAATCATATATAGGGGTGCCACATATGCTTCTTTCAACTAAATACCAAGTCGATTAGATTTAACTTTTGATCTAAAAGAAGTTCTTGAAGTTCTTCAACATAAACCAATTAATTGTTAAACTAAATTGATTTGGGTTTCTATGTTGGGATATTAAAAATACACACCACTATATTTGGGTATTACTAAGTCCCATAGTACAAGCGAAAATTCTATAAAGAACGGCTTATCAGCTTGGGGTTCATAGAAGTCTGTGCAAAAATTCAATTTCGCTCAAAAGCTAGTTTATATAATATATTATAATATAATTAATTCAAGAAAGTATCATTTAAGAACTTCTACATCAAGATGTTCGGACATGTCCCAAGTGTTGGTCACTAAAATAAATAAATAAGTAATTTAAGCTTTGCCAATATGAAATTTGATGGCGTTAAACTTTTTCGCTTGTGGAATTGAAAACGTGAGCCGCCTTGTCAGCATTTTTGTAATCAGGTGACTCCCCCAAAAAATCGAATTTGTGCGGCCTATCTGGTATATTCAATAAGCCACGATAACGCAGAAACTGCAAATTTGTAAACCCTGAAATGCATTCGACTTTGGCTCCCCGTGGGGCCCCATTTACCGATAAGGGCGTGATCGTCATCCGACCATTATTTGTGCTTTGTGTTCTAGTTTCTACTGGGGGAGCCGATAAGAAAACAATAACAAAAGATTATTTAAAGAAAACATTTGGTCTTGAATGATTTCACGACCCTGCTTCTTATCACAGATTCAAAGCCCATTTAACAGAATAGTTATAAAGAAAAATAACAAATAAGATATTTCAGAATTTGCAAATCGTAGAAGATTTTATCTAAAAAATGCAACTTAAAACTGTAAACGGTAGAAGGGATGATTTTTTGTTTTTCTTTTATGTTCTCCGCACCAATTTTGGTCAATCGAAATTGCTCAAGCTTGTTTTTCTTTTCCGCTCCCCCGTTTCCCGATATCCGTGGCCTTGTTCTGGACCAGAACGCACCGATAGCGAGATAGTCGTCACTTGGTCCACGCGCAGCCTACCGCCGGATCCGGAAGTGACTGCGGTCAGCGTGGTGGAGTACGGTCAGCTGGTGGCCGGACAGGCCAAGCTCACCCAACAGGCCCTTGGCACAGCCACTAAATTCGTGGACGGCGGCCACAAGCACGCCACACAGTTTATACACAGGGTATGCTTAAGAATTTGACCGATTTAAGTAGGTTGATATATGGGAAAGTGGAGGAAATGCAATCTTTGAAGGACTTTTATTGGCATTGTTGTACAGTAATTATTAGATAACATTTTAGTTAGAATTTAACCTTTTTAGCAACACTTATTATTTGATTAGTAACTTATTTGATTAGTAATTAATATAAAAGGTAATTTCCTTCAACTTTTTATACCTTTTATAGGAAAAATAGGTACCTCTTAGTTACATACAAAAGCTAAGTGCTATAAAACAATCAAAACCAAGACGTCTACAGGTTAATGGGTGCCTGAATAATAATTGTTGATAATAAATTAGATTATAATTAGGATGGCATATTAAACTGTTAGATTACTTTAATCGCTGTGCCCTAGAATTCCAAGAGTTTATTTTGCGAATATAGAAAATTAACTAAAGCTTTTTATTAATCAAAAAAGATTGCATGATATCTTTATTTTCACTATACAATCAACCTACCCAGAGAAATCTGGTTTAGATAGAAACATGAGGAACTCACCGTTTAACCCGCTTAGGTGACTCTTAGGGACCTGGAGCCAAATACCACCTATGCCTACCATTGTGGCAGTGCCTTCGGTTGGTCAGCAATCTACCAGTTCCGCACGGTGCCCTCCGCTTCCGTTGACTGGTCACCATCACTGGCCATTTATGGGGATATGGGCAATGAGAATGCCCAATCCCTGGCTAGATTGCAGCAGGAGACGCAGCGCGGCATGTACGATGCCATCATCCATGTGGGTGACTTCGCTTACGACATGAACACCAAAAATGCTCGTGTGGGGGATGAGTTTATGAGGCAAATCGAGACTGTGGCCGCCTATCTGCCATACATGGTAGTGCCTGGCAATCACGAGGAAAAGTTGTGAGTAAAGCCGGTGGAGGAGAGTGGTTCTTTGGAGCAGGATCTAATTGTTAGTGTTGCAGCAATTTCTCGAACTATCGCGCCCGTTTCACCATGCCGGGAGGCACAGAGAATCTGTTCTACAGCTTCGACCTTGGACCAGTTCACTTCGTGGGCATAAGCACAGAAGTCTATTACTTTCTTAACTACGGCCTGAAGCCGTTGGTTTTCCAGTTCGACTGGCTACGTGAGGATTTGGCCAAGGCTAATTTGCCAGAGAATCGGGCCAAGCGTCCTTGGATTATCATCTATGGCCACCGGCCCATGTACTGCAGCAACGAAAACGACAACGACTGCACCCACTCGGAGACCCTCACCCGGGTGGGTTGGCCATTTGTTCATATGTTCGGTTTGGAGCCTCTGCTCTATGAGTTCGGCGTGGACGTGGCCATTTGGGCGCATGAGCACTCCTACGAGCGACTGTGGCCCATTTACAATTATGAAGTACGCAATGGAACGCTAAAGGACTCTCCCTACGAGGACCCCCGTGCTCCTGTGCATATCGTTACGGGATCCGCTGGCTGCAAGGAGGGCAGGGAACCTTTCAAGGGCAAGATACCCGAATGGAGCGCTTTTCACAGTCAGGATTATGGATACACACGGCTTAAAGCGCACAATCGCACTCACCTGCACTTCGAACAGGTGTCGGACGACAAGGACGGCGCCATAATCGATGACTTCTGGTTGGTGAAATCGAAGCATGGGAGCTATGAAAACTGAACCAGACGTTCAAAATCTGACCCGTACCATATTCAAGCTAAAGGAGTCTCCAGGCATCACACGCATCAATAGAAACTAGCAGTATTAGCAGCGCACATTCGTCACAACCTGACTACAAACTTAAACCAATAAGCGTGTCACATTCCTTATCCGCAAATCTCAGCCTTAGCTCAGAACAAACTACACTTTTTTTTTTTACTTACTTAGGACAATTTTACAAAACCAGCATTTACACAATTTGCTCGGCGCTTTTGAAAGTGCATTTAACATGAGCTGATACGAAGTATGTACTTTAAAGTTATTCTTAGATTTTTATCTCCCCAGTGTGTAACTTTGTGTTTCACAACTGGTACTTGCCTTGGAAATGAAACTGTTTTTAATAATAGTTTTCAATATTTATGACTTTGCTTTTATCTAACTTCTTCTGGTTGCATTTCGCACTTCTAACATTTCCCTTCTAAATAAACTGGGTTTATTCTATGCCACTCGGTTGAATATCTTCTTATGGTGATATCGATTTCTATCTAAAAGTACCTTAATTGCGAGTACCAAAAGTATATATCTGACGATAAACTAATTGTTGTTTGTATACCAAGTATTTCCTTAATAAATGTCGTAAACTTTTAATTATATTTATTGGGTGGGTTGAATAGGCTTTGAAAGTCTTAAGATCTTCTCATTTTTCAAAGAGTTAACAAGTAATTGCTAACTCAGAAGGTATATAATTTGATAATCTTATGATTTCTAAACCGCTTTTGTTGGCCAATCACGGTTGTAAATACGTGGCATCTTCAAGGTGTGTTAAATTCCAAGTTAATCTGTGTGCTCCTGCAGAATCTGTGCTCGACATTGTCGTCACCTGGAACACGCGCGACAACACCAATGAATCAATCTGCGAGTACGGCATCGATGGACTACATCAGCGGGCTAAGGCGTCGCGGATGCCCACGAAATTCGTTGATGGCGGAGCCAAGAAGGCCACCCAGTATATTCATCGAGTGAGTAGCTAAACGCATCAAGAGACCTGATTGAAACCATCTCATAGTTCCCCCAACGATAAAACTAATGCACTTGCAAATATATAACAATCTGTGAAAAATATAATTAACTTCTTTACTATTCTGAGTTCTTATCATGAAGATAGAATTGGCGAGCACCTTAGAATAATGTGAAGTCCGAGAATGTTTCCTTAAAAATTTACTTTAACAATATTAAATTGAAACAGCCATCGAGATGGGCTCTACTGGGAATACATTCCCCAAAAAATCATCATCAAAAACTCAACTTATCCGATCGCAGGTTAAGCTGTCCAACCTGAAGCCCAACACCACTTATCTCTACCACTGCGGCAGTGAGCTGGGCTGGTCTGCCACCTATTGGTTCCGTACACGTTTCGATCACAGCAACTGGTCGCCCTCATTGGCTATCTACGGGGACATGGGCGTGGTAAATGCTGCATCTCTACCAGCGCTGCAACGTGAAACGCAGAAGGGTCAGTACGATGCCATTATCCACGTGGGAGATTTCGCTTACGACATGGACTCGGAAAATGGGGAAGTGGGTGATGAGTTTATGCGCCAGGTGGAGACCATTGCTGCATACGTGCCCTATATGGTGTGCGTGGGCAATCATGAGGAGAAGTAGTAAGTGGTCCAACCAAAGGACGACTGACTAGTCTAATACAAGGATTTTCCCCCCTTTGAACCCACAGCAACTTTTCGCATTACATCAATCGCTTCAGCATGCCGGGTGGATCGGATAATATGTTCTACAGTTTCAACCTGGGACCAGTGCACTTCATCGGTTTCAGTACGGAGGTCTACTATTTCACGCAGTTTGGGATCAAGCAGATGGTGATGCAGTATGACTGGCTGGAACGGGATCTGATTGAGGCCAACAAACCGGAAAACCGAAAGCAGCGACCTTGGATCATAACGTACGGCCATCGACCCATGTACTGTAGTAATGACAACGGGGATGACTGTGCCAATCATGAGACCATTGTGCGAAAGGGATTACCCATGCTGGACTTCTTTGGATTGGAGCCGCTGTTCTATCAGTACGGCGTGGATGTGGAATTGTGGGCACACGAGCACTGCTACGAACGCATGTGGCCCATGTACAACTATACCGTGTTAAATGGATCTCTGGCGGAGCCATATGTGAATCCCGGTGCCCCGATTCATATAATTTCGGGGGCAGCTGGCAACCATGAGGGTAGGGAGCCCTTCTTCAAGCACATGCCGCCATGGAGCGCCTTTCACAGTCAGGACTTTGGTTATCTTCGGCTGAAGGCCCACAACGGCACCCATTTGTATTTCGAGCAAGTGTCCGATGACAAGAAGGGCGAGGTCATCGATTGCTTCTGGGTGATTAAGGACAAGCATGGACCATATGCTCCCATCTCCACATCTGATCTTGATTAAAAACCTTTGTGATATCTACACACCACAGCAAATCCTTAAGTATTTTCAAAACGGGCACTTTTTAACTTAGCACAACCTACGAGTTTATATATCTTATTAAAGAAATATCACTAAACATTTATCCTTATCCCTAAATGTAATCTCATTTAGCGGATATCAAATAAAGCACAGATTAGTGGCAATGATTATGAAAGTGTTGCATTTTTTATGGACTTAAACTTAAGTTATCGAAGTTATTAAGAAGTAAGGGATCTTCTTTCTATGTTTTACTATAAGAATAAATCTCACAGAATAATCCAACTGATAAATATCATTCTAGACAACCTTCGTGATATTGTGGTAACCTGGTCCACCCGCGGCTCACCCAATGCCTCAGTCGTAAACTTAGCCCGGAACTATCTAAATGACAAACTGACCACGGTGAATGGCACCTGGCAGAAATTCGTTGATGGCGGCAAGAAAGCTCGCACCCAGTATATCCACAATGTAGAGCTAAAGAACTTGGAGCCGGATACCCGATACGAATACTCTTGCGGCAGTCCTTTGGGTTGGTCATCGGTGTTCAGCTTTAAAACACCGCCGGCTGGTGAAAATTGGTCGCCCTCATTGGCCATATTTGGCGATATGGGCAACGAGAATGCCCAGTCGATGGGTAGACTTCAACAGGACACGGAGCGTGGCATGTACGATGCCATCATCCATGTGGGCGACTTTGCCTACGATATGGATACTTCGAACGCAGCCGTAGGCGATGCTTTTATGCGCCAAATCGAGTCGGTGGCTGCTTATGTACCCTACATGGTCTGTCCTGGCAATCACGAGGAGAAGTAGTAAGTAATGGTAGATTATGAAGATGTCTCTTTTCCTAACTAATCTTTGGTTTTCCATAGCAACTTCTCCAATTATCGCGCCCGCTTCAACATGCCTGGCGATACGGACAGCCTTTGGTATAGTTTCAACCTAGGACCCGTCCATTTTGTCTCCTTCTCCACGGAAGTCTACTACTTCCTTAGCTACGGCTTCAAGCTGCTGACCAAGCAGTTCGAATGGCTGGAGCAAGATCTGGCCGAGGCAAATCTGCCCGAAAACCGTGCCAAGCGGCCATGGATCATCACCTACGGCCATCGACCGATGTACTGCAGCGACGACAAGGAGTACGATTGCAACAGCGATCTGGAAACGTATATCCGCCAGGGTTTGCCCATGCTCAAATGGTTTGGCTTGGAGGATCTCTTCTTCAAGCATGGCGTCGATGTAGAGTTCTTTGCTCATGAACACTTTTACACACGCCTTTGGCCAATCTACAACTTTAAGGTGTATAATGGCAGTGCCGAAGCACCGTACACGAATCCTAAGGCACCCATACAGATCATCACCGGTTCCGCCGGCTGCAAGGAAGAGCGCGAACCCTTCTCGCAAGCTCTGCCTGCCTGGAATGCCTACCACAGCAACGTAAGTTAAGAGATTCTTGGATACTATTAGGTTAGGTCCCTCGCTTAGAATCCTCCCTCTATTTATAACCTTTGCAGGATTACGGCTACACCCGTTTGAAGGCCCACAACGGCACCCATCTGCACTTTGAGCAGGTGTCCGATGACCAGGACGGCGCTATCGTAGACTCCTTCTGGGTAATCAAAGACAAGCATGGCTCGTATCCGCCACCCCAATGAGATTAAATCCGTCCTACTTAAATATGACTTAAAATGTTATTTTTTTTAGCATCTTTTAATAAAAATAAAGTTAGAAAAAAATATCGAAGAAAAAAAATAAATTCCACTAGCTTAGATCTTGAACGTTGGGTTAGGCTGGCCACCTCCGGCTTCATCTAGTAGACGGTGCCCGAGATGCCAGAGCCATAGTTATAGCCCGTACCGATGGGCGGTACACCGCCCAAGGCGCCCAGCCCACCGCCGACGACACTGTTGCCATAGTTGCTCGTGTAATAGCTGGAGGGGTATCCTCCGGCACCGAACCGGGTGTTGTAGTACGGATAACCAGTGCCGGCTCCTGCTCCCAGCCTACTGTTGTAGTAGGACAGTGCATAGGGATTCGAGTTGTAGGAACCTGCATAGCCTCCCAGTCCCGATCCATAGCCACCCAGGGCAGAGCCATAGCCGCCCAGGCCAGATCCATAGCCACCAAGAGCGGATCCATATCCTCCATATCCGGCCACAGCAGCGCCATCTAAGGAGTAAGACAGTGGATGTTATTAATGGTTCCTGCCTAGAAAGCATCCCCTATCTTGCCACGCTCACCCTCACCTAATCCACCCAGAGATCTCGAGCTGTACGGGTTATAGTAGCTGTCCACACCAACGCCAACGCCACTGCCGTAGGCTCCGCCGTATCCAGCTCCCAAGCCAGAGCCATAACCTCCATAGCCACCGTATCCTGCGCCGTAGCCTCCGTATCCGCCATAACCTGCTCCGTATCCACCATATCCACCAACATAGCGCTTCTCCTGCTTCTTGTCCTGCAGCGGTGCATAGCTGCTGGCGGCGCTCACCTGATCCTCCACAGCCACAGCCTCCGGAGCCGATGCTGATGCCACCTGCTCCAGGTCAGACTCGGCCGCATCCTGGGCCCAGGCACTCAGCACAAGGCTGGTCGCTATCAGGATAAACTTTAAGGAAATTTACATTATGTTTAAGGTTATAGAAGTAAAGTTTTCTGTTAAGAAATATTGAAATCATTTTTTAACCTTACTTAAGTATTTAAACTTTTTTTTTAGAATTAAATAAATCAAAATATCTTTTAGCTCGACTTTTTGAAGAAAATTTTCAAAAATAAATTGGTAAAAAATCAAATATTAAATAAGTTTCCGGTTAATAGGCTTTTCGGTTTGTTTTTCCTTTGCAACACTTAAAAAATTTAAAAAAAAAACCAACAAAAAAAAAAGAGTTTTTTAAAGCACTAATTTAACTCAAAATTTTGAAGAACTTTTTTTGGATTATTATTGTTTTAAAACTTTCGATCACTTTTTTAAACTTTTATCTTCGTTTTTTTTTAAGTTTAAGTCAAAGGAAATTATAATCCAAGAGAGATCCTTTGGCGAGTCCTTACAAAGCACTTCATGTTGTGGCTGCCTGTTTGTGGTGTTCGCTGCTTTCTGCTGGCTAACTGCTCCTCTAAGACTCTGTTGCGCACGCGCCGCTCGACTCTTGTCTAATGATTCCACTGCTGGGCCAGCACTTGCTTTTATACCCAGCCTAGGCCAGTGCCAAACCCAGCGAAGTTGGCTTAGACTATACTGTTGCATCTCATAGATTTGTTTTGTTTTGTCGCATTATGACGCATGCCACGAGCCACTGGTCAAATTATACGGCAAAATGGTTGTGGCTTAAACAGTGCTGAGATTATTAATGAAAAGATACTACTGGGGATATTATTTCTTAAAATACTAGTTAGCTAGCTATTTTAAATTTACCAGATTAAAGTATTAATAAAGAATTTTTGTAATTTATGACTAGAATCTCCAATTTGGAGTTAGGCTGAGTTTAGCTAATCATCTTATTAGTTATTGTATTATTTTCTAGCATATACAAGAAAGTTTTTAATAAATTTATTAATAGAATTTAAGAGATATATGATAGACATACATATCATCAGGCTATAAAATATATAGATATTTACACAATAGAAACAAAAGTAAAATTTTCTAATCGAAAAAGGAAGGAAATATTGAAGTCAGAAATGGGAACAATTTTATGCAAAATTATTAAGCTCGGAAAGTCTTCATATAAAAATTTTAAATACTATCGAACTTTCTGGCTTTTGTTATATATATTTTAACATAAAGATAAACATAGATTAAACAAAAGAAATTAATTTTAGTAAGTAATTTTTACACTTATTAACAGAAAAGCTTTCTACGACTTGACAATGCACAAAAAATTCGTCTTTTTCTTTATTTTTATATAACTTTAAAGTTTTTTTAAGTACAATAAAAAACCAATTAAATTGATCTACATATATTTGAAACTAGAAGGGCGTGTGGCTGACCACATATCATTATAAATATTCCCACGATCTGCGGATCAATTATATCACACAGCACAGGAGAAGCAATAACAATGATGACAAATGCTAATTGAATCATTAACTTGACCCTGGAACAGGTAATTGCCCAACATAAAATACGAAAAAAAAAAAAAAAAAAATAGCAACTGCCACAAAAATAACACCGATCATCCAAGTCCAGATTGAACGATTTAGTTAGATAAATATTGAGGCTAGTACGTGACTCATTTCGAGAGTCTCGGCGAGTGAGTTAAATCTCAGGTTGGGTTTTCACTTTCCAAGCCTTTTGCCTTATTTTGGTTAAATGAAATTTCGGACAAAACATTAAAGAGAAACCCAAGCGGATCTAAATGTTTGATTTTGTCCAACAATGATGCCAATTGTCAAGTGCTAAGGGTGTTCACTTAGAGAGTTTTGGCCAAGATCTTAGCACTCCAGCTAAGCCCCAGTATCCCCATTCCAGCGGTGACACATTTCCAAAAAACTAACGGCCTGGAGTTGTAGCTGTCGATGGGTTGAATGACTCCTGTCTTAAACTGGTCAAAAGGTTAAGATGTTCTTAGAATCAGGGGTATTATCAACACTATATTTATCAGAATTTTTATATATATTTAAGTTTAATCATTAAAATCTTAACAAATAAGAAGGGTCAGCATTGATAAAAGGAAATGCGAAAATGGTTTTTAACTTATTATTGTTAAATTCTGGAAAAATGGGAAACTAGGTCTGTATTAATGGGCATATCATATTATGATAGCTTGAAAATATATATTATTAATCCTACAGAATCCAACAATAAAGTAGTAGCTAACTTAAGTTCTACATCAACCTAATTTTTATCTCTGTAAAAGTAACAAATGCAGATACGAGTGTGCCAATAATACTATGGCGATACTCATCCATAGATATATACAAAAGATATGTCAAAATAGTTGTACAAACATATATATACGGTTGTCATACCGCCCCCCCACATATGAGTGGGGCCACATTGTTCGACCCGCCGCCAGGCATGTGAAAAGTGTTAACTGACTGGAAGCTCTGAGGCAACCAACGAATGCTATGACTTGACTTGGCCATGGGTGCACTTCGGCGATGGCCTGGGAGTTTTTTTTTTTCTTCTCTTCTTTACTTACCCCACTGAGACAATGATTCTTTAATGCCGAGGCCTAAAAGCCTATTACACGGGCAGCCAGTGAATCTCTTGGCATAAGTGGTAGCCTCCAAAGCAAAAGCACAATTTCTTGCCTTACGGGGCGTATGGGTAATCAAGAAAGAGCTAGCACTAAACACTGCACAGGTTCTGATAATCTATGGGCCTTTACAGCTTTGATACAGTGATAAAAAAAGGCATTAGGTAATCTTATGAAATCATTGACAAAAGAAAAGGAGTTCTTTAATAAATTTATTAAAATATTAAACATTTTTGTTCCTTTGCCTGTTAAATCAAAATATTTTCTATCATATTGTCTATGAAAGCTTATTATATTATAACAAAGACTGCTATATATAAGTCTCTTAAGTGTAAAATAAACTTAAAACTTATCCACTTTTAATTTACTTACAAAATTAACCTTTTTTCTGGCTGTGCTTCTCAAGGGAAGAACCAAAAACCAAGATTAGACAGCCAACATTTTCCTGGGGCGTTGCCATTATTCGTTGTTCTAATTTGCAAAAGCAAATCACGCTCAACGGCAAACAGCAATCTTGCATCATTCATGATGCCAGTCGCCAGTCACACGCCCACCAATTATATTTACAAACAGATTTAATTATAATTGAACAACGGGTCGGTTAGCTCTAAAACTGAAAACTAAAACGATCCAAATGAAACGAAAACCGCAAGCCAGATACACCGAACAAATGAAGCTGAAAATTATGATTGTAATGATGATTGGTGATGATGATGGGAACCTTTTTGGGGAGTGGGTCGAAGTGGGTGGCAAAACTCTGCCACAGAGCCACAAATCTCAGACCTGGAGACAATGGACTCGCGACAACAAAAAACCCAACAAACCAAAACAAAACAAAACAAAACGAAACGAAACCATGGCCTTTTCCGTTGAACTTGCACTTTGCATAATTGCATATTACCATCAGCCAAGACCAAGAATACTTCACACGATTATCCATGTGCATTGTGCGAACCCCCAAAGCCAAATCCCAATCCCTCACTAAACTAGTGACCACCCTCATGGCTCTCCAACTTAGAGTTTCGACCTTGGCATTAGTACTTAGAATCTAAGAAACTGTGGAGATATGGTCATCTGAAAGTTCAAATATTTTTAATGCAAAAAAATCTTAAATTTCAGGCAACATTTCTAACATTTTTATGTAAGGCTTAGAAAAAAGGAAGTTTAAAAGAAATTTAAATAAAGATTTATGATCATGATCTTTATTATTTTTCTTGCAATATTAAATTCAAAATTACTTGAAAGTTTGAGGGACTTTTTCTTTCTAATTTTTATACAATTATTTCTAGCAAAATGTTATTTATTTATATAAATCTGACTTAAAGTATAAAACTATGAGCAAAAATTCAAATTAAAATGTATTACAAATTCTTTAAGAATTTTAGTTTTTCAATATTTTAAGGAAAGCTTGACTTTCCAGAATAAAAAGAACTTCAAAGTTCTAATAATTTTTAGCCAATTTTGTTTCTTTCAAAAAGACAGCTTCTTTACAGCATCACTGATCAAGGTGGAACCTTTTTATTAGAATTTTAGTCAAACTATATTGTGTTTTGTTTTGACCCATTGTTATCTTTTTGACAATATATTCCAAGTTTTTAAGCTGAAATGGTTTCAAAGTTATAAAAAAAAAAAGAAGTTGGGTAAATACTTTCCTTAACTATTGCCTACTTTGCAGAGCAATCAAACAAGATACTTTATATATATATTTATTTATTTATTTATTTTATTATTATTTATTTATGTAAAACCATCGTTGAAGAGCTCCCCTTAATTGGAATTAGGATCGGCTAATATAATGAATCAGCTTGAATTGATTAGATGAGTCTCGGGCATAACTAGATTCGATGTCTCCAATGATGAGTTCCAGTTCTCATTCACATCGATTGAAAGCTAAACAATGAATAATTGGAAGATGCATGACATATCCATAAATTTCCACCCAAGGTGTGTGTGGGGCAAGGCATCAATCGTTGCCAGAGACAATGAAATGGGCACTTAGAGGTAGTTGGTCGCAAATATGTTCAGTCTCCAACCCACCAAATAGAAAGACATTTACGATTTGAATGCTGTAAAAAATATACATATACAAATATATACAGGACTGGGTCGCTATATATATCATGTATTCGTGTATATATATATCAGTTTATTTAGTCTTCTTCAAAAGAGTTTTTTGGCGAGCTGCCCGCGGAGCTTCCCTCGTCAAATGGCACCTCGCCTAATCTATCTATTTTACTTTTTCTTTTCTCATTCTTTTCGTTTCATTTGATTATTTTTTTTTTGTTTTGTTTTTTTGTACGTTCTTTTTTTTTTGTCAATTTTTTCTTTCGATTTGTACAAAGAATAGTGCTGAAAGAAAATTAGGTATAGTTTTTATATATGATTACACTTAGGGGTAATATATCTGGGGCTCTGCTCTGCTCTAATGCATGTGCAGGATAAGACAGAGACAGAGACAGAGAGCGATTGCGGCAGCAAGAGAGATAGAGATAGGTGTAAGAGAAAGAGAGAGTTAGGTGGTAGAGTGAGACAGACAGGGGTATAAGGATGGGCGACACTTTCTTTGGGCTAATAAATTAAATAATAGTTAATATGTATTGATGATATTTAGAGGGTATGGGATAAGATCAGATTGACCGAGTAACAACAGAAAACATGATAGCGAATTTATAAGTTACAAACTATAACAAAATCAAACATTTTGGTCTAGGTCTAACAAAACAAAAAACTTTAGGCGTTATGTGTAGAAACAGAGATATCGTTCAAAATGCTTAAAATTATAATAAATATTTACGGATAGGATCGTGCACACATAGAGAGTAACTTTCTAGGTATACATAACTAACATCGAATTGTGTGTCTTAGCATTTCTGCTAGTCGTGTTTCTTAACTATACACATAGGTAAAAAAAAGATGTATTGGCGAATAATCGAAATGAAAATGAAGCTGGGAAAATGCGAGGTATGTTATAGGTGTGTGTTGTATTCTGTATGGTTGTGTGTTCGTGTGTATGTGTTGGCCCAGCATTTGAACTAGTGCCGAAAAATAAAGTCTTATAGTTATATATAAATATATATATATATATATATGGCGTTGGTCACAACAGTCAACACACTCCATTCCGACCCCCGACAAAATCTTTACAGTACTTTATATCACACATTAATGACACCCATTAAAAACTGACTGGGAATGGAGTTGATTGGCCTGATTGTTAACCGATTTATCTAGCGCTTAGTATCTAGTATTTGATTTTTTTTTAGTTGTGGTCTTTGAGGTGTACAAAATAAGAAATTAAAATGTTCGGGTTTGGTTGGTAAACAAATTATGTTAAGGAAAATGGATCATAATGGATAGTTTGTTATATAGTAATATAGTTTATGCATAATAATAAGAATAATATAAAAATAATCACAGACTCGGATTTGCTGATTGGAATCATTTTTTTTTTGTTTTTGTTTTCTCTGTTTTGTTATCAGTTTTTGCTATTTGTGTGTATGTGTGTGTGTGTATAAATATATTCCACTACGAGTGTTCAGTTGATTGATCGGTTACGATCGGTTTCGACTATATTCTTAAAAAGCTAAAATCACTTGGAATAACTTTAGATGTTTATACAGTTATGCTGTCGCACGGTTGTATGTGTGCACGTAGTATAATTGTTTTTTATTAGTCCATATATTATCATATTGTGTAGCATTACGATTACTAGAATTATACGTATACCTAGGCATATACGATTTTTTTTTTTTTTTATGCGCTTCCATTTATATCTTATAATTTTCTAGCGTTGCAACCCTCAACAAAATACAGATTTTTAGGCATTTACCGAATCGGATCATTGCCTCATAGATTACACAATTATAAATATATCTCTATGGGTTTATCTTTTTGCTTTTGTTTTTGTTTTTGTTTTCACATGCATAGCTCAATTATGGACTTACTTGGACCAAATTGGGATTCGATTTGATTATAATAGAGCGGTTTCATTATATTTTCATTATCATATTATATAGTTTTGCCATATCCCTTTGACGGGCCTTGGCCTTTTCTTTATCTAGTTAGCTAGCTTAGTTACAATTCAAATGACTCATATTAACATATCAATGAGCTTATCAATACAATAAGAGTTTCTAAATATTCTCCGCTGAGAATAATTGCAAAGTACAACGTTTGCTTAATATTTTTGTTGTCCAAATACAAAAGTTCTTGCAGATCGTTTCAAGGTATTAAGTATGTTTGTTTGTTTTTTAGTGGGAGTGATAGTGGTAGTGGGAGTGGAAGTGACAATAATTTAACAATCTCTTTAGTCTAGGCATTCTGCATTATTTGATTATAACGAATAATCTTGATGGAGTTATGGCTGTTGTTCTAGATCGGATAATGTTCTCAGCTTTCAGAGTGTGGTACCTTTACAGAAATGTGGCTAAGTGAATGGAGTATGTGTGTGTGTGTGTGTGTGTGTGCGGTATTTACAGTTACTTAATGGCTAGGATTTCAATCACTGAACTGGCCCTCTTATTGTTGTTGTTGTTGTTGTTGTTGTGTATGTAGGGTATGTGCTATTCTATATGCTATGGCTATTGTATGGTTTGATCTTTCTGCATTCCCAGTTTTATCGATACCATTCTATGTGTCTGCATTTTCTCAGGCCATTATGGTATTGCTTTCTGTGTACATATTACGTAATATGCTACAATTTTTTTTTATCCAGTTTATTAGTTAATCTAATTCACAAGCAAACATAGTCTTGTATTATGATTTAAAGTAGTTATATAGAACACAATAGCACAGACAATAAATTTCATTTACATTCAACGGGACACAATGTTAAAAAAAAAAAAAATAGAACTATAAACAAACATCTAGGAGACAGGGTTATAATTTAAATACAAGGTAAATTCCTTAAGAGCATTTGCGCTTGTTAATTGTTGGTTTTTCTTTTTTATGGATTTTGTCCTCTTTACTTTCAATAAAATCATTTAGATACGTCCTCGTTAAAAGCAAGACGCTCTTCTCATTCACTTAATGCTAAAGCTGAAGCATTTATAAATTATATGTATATATAAAGTAGTGTAAATATATATATATATATATATATATATTTCAATTGATTATATATATAGCCTATAACTGCATTTTTGGGTTCTAGTTGTGTGGCTATAATTGTGGTAATTGGTTTTGTAGTCCAGGTCAAGCTTTAAGCATCCCACTTAATTCTAATTTTAAATACAAATTGCGGTTAAGAAAACGAAGCACGTTTTAGTCATTGATAAGATTTTTACACTTAAACCTAAATGAATATATGTTGGTTTTTGTTAATGCTTATGTATACCGTCCGTATGGAGTACGGTGTAGACACTCATACTCATACTCACCAAATACATGACATGTACATATATATATATGTATATATATATGTGTGTGTGTATATATATAAACCGCTATTTATGTAGACTTCGAGTATACAAGTCTACAGATCAACAAGTTGCAACTTTATAACTTAAAGCTAAAGTTCCTCTTACTCAACTACACCTCCGCAACGTCGTACATCTCTTATCCACTACAGAGATAACCGATATAAAAAAGTTTATTCTTAAACTAGATTTTCTTATCAATCGTGCTTGAGTACGATGCGGGCGGGCGCCTTGGAGCGCTGCTTGTGGCTGCTCCCACCGCTGTTTCCTCCCGAGGAGGCCTGCCGTTTATCCAGTCGATCGAACACCGCTACTCCGGATCCCGAGCTGCTTCCTCCTCCACCGCCACCTCCTGCGCCACCTTTCCGTTGCAATGCGTTGTCCTCTCGTTGCCTTCTATCCCTCTGTCTGCCGCCATGCGATGACTGCTGTTGATCTCCACCGCTGCTGCCATTGCTAGTGGGTTTCAACACCACCCGCCGTTGGTTGGAACTAAAGCTGGGAGCTGACGTGGAGCTGCCGCCGCGCATCACCTTGTGATTCCGCTTGACCACCAACAACTCTGGAGTGGCCGATCTCTTGCTGCTCACCTTTTGTGGTGGCGGCGACGGCGTGGCCAACAAACGATCCTCCTCGTCCAGCAGCAGGTCATCGTCATCATAGTCTAACTCCACTTCATCGTCGCTGAGCGTACCCAGGCGGAGCATATCGCGCGACTTCGGTGGCGTGCCGCCAGCCACAGCTCCTCCTCCTCCTGCCGTTCTCGCCGGAACTGATGCATTCACCGACTGCTGTTGCTGATGATGATGCTGCTGTTTTGAGGGAGGAGCCAGGTGGTCGGTTATACTGCGTTTAGCCTCCGGCGCTATCTTTGCCGCCGTCAATTGCTTGCGCGCCGGCTGCTGTTGGCCCTGGCTTGGCTGAGCATTGGACTGCGACTGGGACTGCGATGATTGCTGCCTGTTGCGAGCGTTGCTGGGATCCTGATCGTCGCGACGTTTTAACGAGATCACCTTACGTTCGCCGCCAGCCGACTGGGCAGGACGATGTTTTGACGCTGTAGCTGTCGACACTGCAGATCCGTGTCCGGTGGCCACTTCCTGATCATCACGGGCTGGTGAATTGTGCTGCTCGGCGCGTTTTTCCTAAAAAGTTTAGTTTGTTTTTGGATTTCTCTTGGTTTCGAATCGCTACAGTACGCTATCTTATATACTAACTATACTAGCTTCGGTAACCGAAGGATCAAATGCCCTTGCATCAACTCTAGATTTTAGTATTACGGTTTATCAAATTTTATAAGAATATTTCCCAAGTTGTTCCCTTACATGATCATGGCCTTCAAAAGACAAAAGTAAGTGTTATCGCGGAAATGCTTTTAAGTTTTCGTTATACAAATATTACCTAGTAATCCTCGAAAATAGAATTATATCTAATGAAAACAAGAACTTTTAGATTCAACTACCGAACTATTCCATACTTCATATTTATGTTGATATTTCACTGAATTTCTTAAGGCAATTTACTCGTTTAAGGGCATAAAACTAGAGTACAAAATTGAATATTTTTAACCCCGGCCAATATATTAAAACAGAGGACTTACCTCGTGTTGTTTCTCCTCAGCCGCGCGCCGACGTTTCAGCTCTTTGTCCCGCATAATCTTTTCGCGTAATTGCTTTTGCTTCTCAATCTCCAGGCGGTAGTTGCGGGTCTCTTCGTCTTCGTCACTGGGCTGTCAATTTGAATAAGTAACTTATGTTAATAAATTCAGTCGAATGAAAGACTTTGACCGATTTCACTTACCATACTGCGGCTGCCTGCTTCTGAGGGCCGGCCACGTGGCTCGCCAGAAAATGGATTTCGGGCAGAGCCTGTCCCGGCTGAACCACTTCTTCGTCGCTTTGGTGGCGCCGCACCGCTGGCTGTTGCTCCGCCCGCTCCTTGGGCACTGCCGGCGCCCGCTCCACCACGATTCTCATCTCGATCCCGACTGGATGCTCGTCGGAATCCTCGATTTCCTGCCGCCCGGTTGCCGCCATATCGCTCACGATCTCGCTCCCTTTCCCTATCCCGCTCACGCTCGCGCTCCCGATCTCGATCGCGTTCTCTTTCCATTCGCTTCACAGGTGAGTAGCTGCGTCCCCGAGACCGACTGCGACTGCGAGTTCTCCTCCTTTCGCCTGCCTGTCCAGAGGAAACTGCTCCTGAGTTGGAGCCTGCTGACGGAGGCGAACGTTCCATCCGTCGCTTCTCAAAGTACTGCCGGTTTTTATTGATGAATTCTTCCTGCTGACGCAGCAACTCGGCCTCGCTGTTAATAGCGGGCATAAAATGAGTTTCCTTAATAAACTTGTTTGTAGCTGCCTCTACTCCGCCTTTGAAATTCGGATTGATGAGCACCTTACTGACTCGTGGAACCGATGACGAACCCTGCTGCTGCGGCGGTCCATTCGGTTGTTGCTGCTGCTGGCCGGGATTACCAGGCTGCTGCGAAGGATGTGCCGATTGCTGCGGCACCGGCTGTTGCTGTTGCTGCTGTGACTGTTGCTGTTGGGGCGTTGGAACCCTCATCCCCATGCCGTTGGCGTAATTTGGCGGTGCGCCTGGCATCATGTGCAGTGGCAGGGTCTGCAGTGGAGGTCGCTGCATACGTGTATTGTCACCCTGCGGCCGCCAGCCGTTGTGCGGACGCATAAATTGCGGCGGATGCTGTGGTGGATGGCCCTGGTCGTAGCCATACGAGGGCGGGGCGTTGCGATACAGCGGTGGACGCATGCCAGACTGCTGCTGGTGTGGCGACTGGTGTTGTTGATGCGGCCCAGGTCCAGGTCCCGGACCAAGAAGAGCTCCGTTTCGATACCCGCCGGGATTTTGGGCGAACGCTAACGGCGGTGGCTGCAGCAGACCAACACGCACCTGCTCGTGCGGATGGGGCAGCAGGTGGGGCGGCACACCTCCGTTCGGGTTGTGACTGTGGTGCATCATGTGCGAATGCGTGGGAGTGTGGAGGGGAGAGGCAGGAGCGCTGTGTGGCTGTTGTGTGTTGGTCGGTGCTTGTTGTGGTGACTGGTTGGGTGGCTGAGTTGACGGGTACTGGCCTGGAATTGGAATGAATGTCGGATTGTTCAGTGTTTGCTGTTGTTGCTGATGGGCTTGATGGTTTGAATGGGCTTGTGATATTGACAGGGTTAGCGGGGACACGGGAACGGTTAGTGGAAGGAGGCAGGCGGCGGTGGAAGCAGCACCCACTGGCGTGCTCATCAGAGCTAGGTGCTGCGGTGGTGGAGCATTACCCGGCATGCCATATCGCTGTGGCGGTGGCTGCATTCCGGCCATGGTCATGCGCTGCTGCTGAACGCCAAACATTGGCGATGGATTGCGTAGCAGATGGTGACGAGTTCCAATTCCGCGCGGCGGCTTGCCCATCTGGCTCTGCTGCTGGCCATGCATAAAACGTCCACCTCCGCCGACGCGAGGTTTGTCTGCAAATAAGATACATAATTAATTTCTTAAGAAAGATATTACTCCCGCTAAACCCACCTCCATGGCCGTGGTGTCGCCGCTGCTGGTGCTGGTAGGGCGACATGTGTGCGTGTTCTTGTTGTTGCCTCATATTATTATCGGCCCGTTCACTGGCCGTCTTGTAGTTGGTGCGCTCCTCGCGCTCTTCCTCGTCTTCACGTGGATCGGGTAGCTCTGAGATTATGGAGGCTGAGCTGGCACTAGGCAGGCTCTCCTGGGAGGACGCCAATAGCGAACACAAACCCAATCCTTGTTCACCCTCACTCTGACTGGCCGCATTCTCAGCTGCCTCCTCGCCATTGCCATTGTTCTGTGGAGCTTCCCTTTCGACGCTATGAGCGATTGGTACCTCCTCTTTAGATTGCTGGACTGGTGGATCCAAGTTTGTGGTGACATGAGGGGCTGCCACGCGCTCATCCAATGGCTCTGCTGTGGCAACTGCGGTTTCAATGGGTTTCTCCACCGTACCGCTGGGCAAATTGACTGCAGGACCTGCAGGAGCAGGAGCAAGAGCAGGGGCAGGAGCTGCAGGGGCAGGAGTGTTGGTCGTGGGCTCTGGGAAAGACTTCGGAGGTGCCACATCTGTTGGAGGCAAAGAGGGAACAACAACAGCCGTTGCAACAGCACCTGCCTGCAACTGCTCTTTGTGCTTGCGCTCGTGCTGGCTAATCTGCTCCTGGGCCCATTTCTCGGCCTCGGCGCGCATTTGCTGCTTCACCTCGCTTTCAAGCTCTGCAAAAAAAAAAGATATTAGCCGGGGAACAATCAAATACGGATTAGCACCACTCACCTTCGTCCGAGAGTAGCAACTCATCCTCGTCGGCGCCAAGCAGAGCCTGGTCATCGATGTCGTCGCCCAGCTCGTAGTTGAGCAGGTCATCGCTGCGGGAAAAAGGAAAAATAGGTGAAAACCAAGGTGAGACTTTTCTCCTTCGAGGGTCCATTGAAAAAAGCACCCACACAGGCGCATACTCGCAACCACACAAACGCACACACAACACACAGCCGGGGGCATTCACTCACATGTACATGCACAATTACACCCAAACACATACACACTAGTGCAGGCAGCCCGAAAATGTTATACATATGCAGGCCATCCCCGCCGCTGTTTCTACACGAGGGTTTTCAGCCCCCATCCATTAAAAATCAAAACTGCTAATGCAACTGATCACACGAAAGAAGGTCCTTGGAGCCAAGCATTGAGCTAAGCCACCCACTTTTTCGCACCCACTTACTTAATGTCCGACATTTTTTGCCAGGGCAGCTGTTGACACTCGGCGGCGCGCGCGTGTGTGTGTCCGTGTGTGTTATTTAGAGAAGTAGAACAACGATTGTCTACTGGCCGCACGGTTTTTTTTACAACATTTTTGCTCTGGGGACTTTAGAGTCGCACTTTTGGATCTGTAACGCGCGCTTTTCCAGTCGATAAATAGACACCCAAAAGGTATGCGAAAACTTTGGGTCTTTTTCACACGCAGTTTTGTGTCAATTTTGAGGGATGCAATCAGTATTAGAGCTGACACAAAACACGATATTTATTTGTTACTATCGGTGCTGCCAGACAGTTGGAGCACATCGATGATTTTTTCTGAAGCCCTTGTTGTGTTTGTACGGATCTCAAATATTTGTAAATACAACAAAAATGTAGCAAATTATTAATGTAAATATTTGTTGATTTGATTTTAATTGTAGCATTTTGAAAAATTGAAGATCAACTAATATTTAAATAGTTTAGTTCTGCGTATTTTCTGATGGGTCTATAAAGTTTTCATTTTCTCAGATTAAAATAATTTTTTGTATTTTAACCGAAATACTTCTTCTCCAATAAGAATGATTCAGGAATACCCCTTACATTTGAATTCAAATATTGGACAATATGGCAGCATAGGCAAAGTCTATCAACACAGTTGACAGTGTTGAATACGATCGGATTAATGTACAGTTTGAATATTGTCGTTTATTCTACTATTCACTTGGCGTCTATTTTTCTAATTCGAATTATTGTATCTATTATACCGATCTGATCTCGCCACATGAACACAATCTAGACAATGATTTTAACCGAGCACAAGACAAAGATCCTGGAGATGACGGGCGATCATGTGGACGAGCTGTATGCGATGTGGATGCGCATGTTCGAGCCAAAAACCTGCGAGGATTGTCTCATTCGTCTAAATGAGCATGCACATAACTTCTACATGGATCTCATTCAGGAGTCTCGCGAGAAGGAGGAGTGTTTTATCCGCGATATTTCTAGTTTACATGCGGAAGCAACTAATCTGTCGCGGCTGCTACACAAGTCGGTGGACATAGGCGAACGGCCCGAGGATATGCCCCTGGTCGTGTGGCAGCTGAAGATGGACAATAGCATTGTTCACCTGCGCGAGGAGCTTGCTAGCCGGAGGTCAGAGATTAGTGAGCTCCTTCTCCAGCAGGGGCGTCTTTGCCAACAGCTTGGCGAACTTCCAATGCCATTACTAATGGATCCCCTACCCCTGCCGGAGCAGATGGACACCTTCCGGGATCACCTGCAAAAGTTACGCGATAAGCGAGAACGATACCTGAATGAAATGGACGAAATGCGCCAGGACATCAATAAAAACATGAAACTACTCGAACTGTTTGCCCAAACCGACAATGTAAAGCGACTGCTTAGTCCGGAAAGCCGTTTGCTCAGTCCTAAATCTTATGAAATGCTGCGCCTAATGCAGGTTGAGTATGCCGAGCAGGTGAGGGAGCTTTGCCAGAAGATCGACACGATGCGCGAAAGGATTGAGCTCATATGGCAGCGACTTAAGGTAACTGACGAGTTTGCTATGCGTCGGGTTCGGGAAGCCACTTCATATAACCAGCGCACGTTCGACATCCTGCGAGAGGAGTTGGAGCGCTGCGAGGAAATGCGTATCCAGAACCTTCCGTCTTTCATCGAGCAGCTACGCATCGATATCAAAGTGTGGTGGGATCTCACACTTAAAAGCCCACAGGAGCGCAGGCGCTTCACCAGCTATTACTGTGGGGATCAGACCGAAGATGTTTTAGAGGCACACGAAATTCATTTGGAGCATCTTAAGGCCTTCTATAATAAGAATAGAAAAATCTTTGAACTATATGCCAATCGTGCTGAGCTATGGGCGCGCATGGAGGCATTGGAGGCAAAGGCCAACGATCCGAATAGGTTCAACAATCGCGGTGGACAACTCCTCAAGGAGGAGAAGGAGCGCAAGGCTATAACAGCCCGGCTGCCTAAGATCGATAACCAAATCACAGAGGTTGTCAAGGCCTACATGAGTCAGACGGATTCGCCCTTCCTGGTGAACGGAGAGGATATACTGGAGATCATGTCGGCGGACTGGGAGCGCCGCCGCCTGTCTAAGAAACAACCCTCCGCCCAAAAAAAGGATACTAATAATACGAACATCAAAATGAAACCGCCCCCTGCGCCTCTTACGCCAAGTACCCAGAAAGGTAACAGGGGTATAAACGGTTCATCGTTAAAGAAGACTCCGTCCAAATCGAACCCGGCCATCACCGCAAAGAGCACTGGAAATCTACAGAAAAGGCGACATCCCAACCACAGCGGGAACAGTCCACAGCCGGCCGCTGCGGCCAAGAGGAACCTAATTACGTCGCTGGAGTGCAACAATCCAAGGGCCGGGTTAGGAGCAAACATTCAAAAAATACTAAAGTCGCCGCAGAAGAAAGTGCGGGTACTAGAATACTCGGTGCGGCGTGGGAAGGCATCCGGCCGGTCAAGCACCGGTCACAGGAATCCGCAAAGAAAGCGTCCTATCCCACAGGTCTATGTGCAACCACCATCCGGCGAAGAAAATGAGAATGAGAGCACCGACGATGATGGCGGGGACTTGGAGGTGTTATAGAGTCAATGAAATGAGCCTCCTTTAGGATTTTAGTTTATTTGGAATTCGGAATTGGAAACTGATCTGTGTTTTATCTCTACCTGAAGTATTCGGCTCCCTTACTATAGAAACGTTAGTCGAAAATGTTAGAATATGCAATCCTTTAAGAATTTATACCTATCTAATACATATCAATGGTTTAGGCTTTTTAACGATCAATTTATTTGATATGTTCATACAAAAGATTCAAAATTGTAAACCTTTTTTAAATTGTCCTGTTTTAGTAATGACTGCATCTAGTTAATTGATCAATATGTCAATGTTTAAATTCTAGTAAAATAAATATGTATATATAGGTATTTTACACTACTTCATTTTGTTTTATTTAATTTAATAATTTTAATATTATGTCATAAAGTAAGCAATAAAAAAAAATCGGGATAACGTCTGTATTTCAAAATATAAAAATGATATAGCTATGTGTTTTGGGATTACTGAAAAAAGTTGAAAAGGATAATTTTAATAGTCATATATTCCTAAAATAATATTAAATAATACGGATTGAGAGTATTCATTTACCAATTTTGTATCTGCAATAAAAAACAAAGTAAAATGAATTAAGTTACAAAGTAGATTATTCAAATTTTTAACTGATTAGAATTTCCCCTCTATAACACATATGCTTCAGCCCTTGTCTTGGAAACATTTTGCAACACTGGTTCCGAACAAGGTGGCAACATTTTTGGCCGCCATTTCAGTTTGAATTTACCGAAAATTCAGTCTGGCGTCATCGTTTCATTCAGTACTTAATTTCGTGCAGCGATGCACTCTAAATAAACCCACATTCCGAATCCCCGTCCAGTGGAGTTCATCTTGAAAACAAAAGTCAAGTTATTTCGGTTGTTTCCCAGATAGACATGCTAAACAAATAAAAGATTTCCATTGCTCTAACAGGAAGTTATCAACGAAAAAATAAACAAGCATATTCTGAAAACGAAATTTTTAATAAAACCGAGATAATGAATACTCCGAGTGCCACTGCGGTGAAGGCCCAGATCCTGGAGATGACGGGCGAGCACGTGGACCAGTTACACGCGATGTGGTCGCACTTGTTTGAGCCGAAGACCTGCGGCGAGTTTCTGCACAGGCTGAAAGACCATGCGCACAGCTTTTTCACGGATCTGCTAAACGAATCCCGGGAGAAACAGCAAGCAATCCTGGGTGATATAGCAGCCTTACGTGCAGAGGCTACCGACCTAACGCGGCTGCTTCACGAGTCGGTAGACATAGGTGAACGTCCAGATGATATGCCTTTGGTCATCTGGCAATTGAAGCTAGACAAGAGCATTGAACATTTGCGTGAGGAGCTGGCCGGGCGCCGGGCTGAGATTTGCGAGCTTCTACTACAGCAGGAGCAGCTCTGCGAGGAGCTGGGCGAGCTGCCACATCCACTGCTGGCTGATCCCCTGCCTCTACCCGAGGAGATGGACGCCTTTAGGGATCGCCTCGAGCAGCTACGCGACCAGCGAGTGGTGCGCCTCAAGGAGATGGACCAGCTGCGTCAGAGTATCAAGCATGATATGAAGTTGCTTGAATGTCTGCCCCAGACGGACTCCGAGGAGCGTCTGCTCAATCAGGTTGATCACTGTCTCACACCGGAAGCCTTTGAACGCCTGCGCTACATGCAAAAATGCTTCGCCGACCAGGTGAAGGAGTTGCGAGAGCGTATCGACGAAATGCGCGAGAAGATTCATGTTCTGTGGGACCGAATCCAAGAGACTGACGAATATGCAATGCGTCGCGTGCGTGAATCCACATCCTATACTCAGCGCACCTACGATATCCTGCGTGAAGAGCTGGATCGCTGCCAGGCCCTACAACGACAGAACCTGAAGACCTTCATCAAACAGCTACGCCTCGAGATCAAGGAGTGGTGGGATCTTACGCTGAAGAGCCCGCAGGAGCGCTTGCGTTTCTCAAACTACAACAATGACTTTTACAATGAGGACCTCCTGGAGTTACACGAACTAGAACTGGACGACCTTAAGACCTTCTACAACAAAAACAAGGATATATTTGATCTGTATGAGAGCCGGGCAGAACTTTGGGCTCGCATGGAAGCACTGGAGGCCAAGGCAAACGAGCCGAATCGCTTTAACAACCGTGGTGGCCAATTGCTCAAGGAGGAAAAAGAGCGGAAGGCCATCACGTCCAAGTTGCCCAAGATTGAGCAGCAGATTACAGAACTAGTACAGGCATACGAGGCCCAGGAGAACACTGCCTTCCTGGTGCACGGCCAGAACATCTTAGACCTTATGGCCGCAGACTGGGAGCGGCATCGCCAGGCTAAACAGCAAAACTCGGCACGCAAAAAGGCACCGGCATCGGCCAGCAAGTTTATGCCACCACCCGCTCCGGGATCGACAGCTCCGCGGACGCCACGAACTCTGCGCAATATGTCGACCTTCTCCACATCCACTATGTCGCTGCGCAAGACGCCCTCACAACAGTATCTCCGTCCACTGAACGTCACGAAGAGTACGGGCAATCTGCACAAGCGGCTTAATCCTTCCAGCCTGCAGACAGGGCCCAGGACACCAAACGCTAAGCGCAGCTTAATGAACACCCTGAACTCGATGAAAGCGTCGCCAGCCCAGCGATTGCTCACCGTCAATCATCAGCAGAACCAACTAAAGGCCACTAAGTCACCGTTGAAACGGGTTCGCGTTCTGGATAACACACTGCGACGTAGCGGTGGAATGGGCAGGCGCAGCATTGGGACGCGGTCCAGCAAGAAGCCGCGTACGAAGTCCACTGATCAGGACATACCAAACGACACAGACTACACAACGGACGAAAATGCCGAGAATGGTGTGAGCTATGACGAATTTCAGCCGACCAGTCGCTCCTCAATGCTGCCGCGTCAGCGACACCAAATGGCCGTTACCAGAAAGCGTCATCCGGAGGTGAATGCCAATCTGCCGGTTCCACGAGAAAGCCTAATGGTGGTGCAGCCGCGAAAACAGTTCTAAATGCACTTGAAATTAACTTAACACGTACCTACTATAATATTCATTAACAGTTGGCGTTTCTTTATGTATTTCATTTTATTTTCTGTTTTACGTTTCTCAAATAAAAATTAAGTGTGCTTTGCTTGACCACGAGATAATGTTTTATGAAGTTTTGACAAAAATTGTAGCTTGTAAAAAATAAGAATCATATACAGAAATATGATTAAGTTTATAATTTTTCTATTTTAAATTTTGTAATGTAAGTGATGTGAGAATACTTTTTTTCTTTTAAAAGTTATTCACAGAATATGTGTATTAAATGAAAATCTTAATCATTATGAAAAATAAGTCGATGTAACTATGCTATGTTTTACTATGCTTTCACGATTTATTTGCTCATCTATTAAACATTTTAGGGGGATGGGAGCGCTTTGCTTTAATATACATACATGCGCACTGATGTAAGCTATATAAAAATGATCCAACCGCCTGCATTGCGCTTTTAGATGTAAGCAGTTCTTATTCGACTATTAAATACAATATTAACACATTAAAATGGCCGGCATGGGTGGTGCCCGCGCTTGTGATGAACCCTTTCAATTGGCCAGCCCGGTGGCATCGACTCCTCTCCATTACGCCGACTATATACAGAGGGAAGCTTAAGACTACACTGGAATAGTTGTGTGTATGTGTGTTCGGGATAAGAAGGACCAGTGTCCACAGGAGCAGGATTAGGAGCACACTGTGCTGAATGGATATTGGCCAAGGCAATGGCTATTTGCCCGTATCACTACCACTCTGGCTGTGCTGACTACTTCCTCCGTGATTGTACATGAGATGCGCTGAAATCAAAAGAGATGGATATACATTTTAGACAAGGAAAGAGATATTCTCATGTTCTTGAGATTTATATTTAATGTTGTAAAGTGCTTACCCATAACGACCGGCGGAAAGTTGAAGGCGCCAAAAGGAGCTGTCGCATTAACCGTCGTGGGTGCAAAGGTGGTCCCATCAAGTGTGCCGCCAGGAGCGGCGGCAGTCGACCCCGGAGCTAGTCCCGCTGCTGCGGTATTGTATGTACCCGGTGAGTGGATGACGGTGGTCGAGGATGAGCTCTCAGCACCGACAGCTCCAGTTGCGGCCAGCTGCGGATCCACTTCATGTGGATAACGTGCCGGCGGCATTACTACAGTGGTCAGGTGGGACTGGCCTCCGTCGTCCAATAGGCCTGTCCGCTGAAGGCGCCCGGTTTTTGTCTCGATGTGCTTGTTGTGTGCACTCAAACAGTGGTTACGCATATTATACAACTGCAGGAAGTAGGCATCGCAATGCGGACACTTGTACCGCTCGCCGGTATGCCGCCGGATATGCGCCTTGAGGTCGTTACTCTGAGTAAAGCTCTTGGGACACTGGTCGCATTTATACGGCCGCTCGCCGGTATGGGTTCGCATGTGGATGGTTAGATTGTAGGCCCGGTGGAAGCTCTTGCCGCAGGTATTGCACAGATTCGGCTTGGTGCCCGTGTGGTAACTAGAATTGTATTACGGTACCATAAGGTCTTGTAATGTACCGCAGAAAACATTGTTAACTATACTTTTTTTTAGATCACTTACCGTTCGTGCACCTTGAGATCGGTGGCACGGGGAAAAGCCTTGACACAGAAGCGGCACTTGTAGGGCTTTTCGCCGTTGTGACGCCGCATGTGTACGCGGAGGTAGTCGTTACGGGCAAAGCTGTCGCCGCAGATGCAGCACAGGAAGTTTCGCTGCCCCGTATGGGTCTTTTCGTGCTCCCTAAGCTGCGCTCGCTCGCGGAATGTCTCCTCACAGGTCTTGCACGCATACAGGAAGTCGGTGTGCAGCAGGGTGTGCTTGCGCAGGTAGGTCTTGCTGGAGAATCGTTTGGAGCAGTACTCACATGTGTGCTCCGCCAGTTGCAGTTTAAGCTCGCTGCCCGGCTCAAGGCCCTCGCCATTGTGCTTGCTGACCTTGTGACGCTCCAATGCGTCCAGTCGGGAGAATGCCGCCTCGCAGAGCGCACACTTATGTTCTTTATTGCTGTGCAGGCTTTGCACATGCGCTTTAAGGTGGTCGCTGCGCGCGAACGCCTTGGGGCAGTGCGGGCAATTGTGTGGCTTCTTCTCCAAATGCGAAAGCTTATGGCGCAGCAGGTGGCAATGACGCGAGAAAGTGCGCTGGCAAACTTCGCAACGGTTCTCTGGATTTGGTTCGCCCTGCTTGTTACGGCGCCGCCGCCTCCCCGACTTTGACTTCTTCGGAGGTTTCTCACCGTCCAACGGCTCCTGCTTTAGCCGGAATTCACCATCGTCATCTTCTCCTCCGTCTTCTTCGTCATCCTCATCCTCATCAAGGTCACTATCTTCGTCCGCGAACTCATCGAATCTGTCCTCATCACTGAGTGGCAATTCTCCACTTACATGGAGCTTCATGAAATCTTCGACTCCCATTGGTGCCTCATCCTCGCTGCCCACAAGGGCACTTTCCTCTTTAATGCTGAACTGAGAGTCGCCGATGGCAATAGGTTCATCTGGAAAATGCAAATTGTTTTACCTGATGTTTCTTAACTGTCATGAATTAGGGGGGAATCTATACTCACTCTTCACGGTCTGATCAATGGTGCCATCGATCTCAGATTCCAACTTGTCCCGTTGTCGACGTCTTTTCTCGCGTCGCATGGCCAGTTCGACTTCTTCCGCCTCCAAACAAGGCTCCGGCTTGATGTGCAGCCACAGCGTTTGGTTCGCCGCATTGGCTTCTTCTTCCTCCTCCTCGTTGCTGGAAATGGGATTCGTATTGCAATGGAAGGTTTCTGTAACTCCGTCATGATCGTCGTCCTCTTCGTTTAGTAAAACCTCGGCGGAGACTAACTCATCCCCGTCGTCGCTGTGCATGGTGTCCTCGTCTGCCGGCGGCCAGGTGCGCAGCAGGTCATCGTCCACGTCCCGGTGCTGATTGCGCATATGGCGCAACAAATGATCCCGTCTGCTAAAGGTTCGCTGACAATGCGCGCATTGAAGCCGTGCTGTTTGCTCGTGGCTCCGCGCCAAATGACTGCGAAGCTGCCGGAGATGCGGGAAATGCTGTGGGCAGAACTTACACTTAAATTCCTCGGGCTGCAGGCCATCCGCGCCTGTCACTGTGCCATCCTTGGTCGTCCTGTGCACCTGGTTGCGGTGCAGGCGGAGCTCCAAGCTATTAAGGAACTGGTCGTGGCACATCTCGCATGGCAACAGGGCCACTTGATCCGTCTGGCTGGCTGTCTCGGTTCCACGCGCCTTCAATTGAGGCACGCGCCCCAAAAGGGCCACCAATGAACAATATGACCGCTCCGCTTGCCGCTTAAAGCGATAGGCGTGGCGGGCGCCCTCTACGCAAGAGCCGCACATATGCGAAGGCATCCCGTCGTGCCGCTGGCATTGGTACAGAGTGCACTCATCCAGGATACGGGCTAGATTGGCGCCCTCTTCGACGGGTGCATCGTTGAAGATAAAGTGCACATCCCCGTCCAGCGCTGTGTCCTTCAGGCAAACGCGGCAGACGCGCTCTGCATCCACGGTGTCCAGTGTGTTCAGTGGGTTCAGTGCGTTCAGAGGCACCAACTTGCTACCCGCCGGCTCGCATTCCGACTCCTGACCGGAACCCTGCTCCAGTAGCGGATGCGGGTGCGGCTGGTGCGTTGCCATGGCTCTTTCGCGTCCTAAAGTCCTTGCTATTGCATGTGGGCATCAACAATTAGGACAACTGCTGCTGCTGCTGCATTTCCTTAATTTTTTTTACCAATATAACGCGTTTGTTGTGACCTCAAGTGCGGTCATACTGGGTGCGGCATTCGTTAGGTTACCGAGTGCAGGCACACGAAAAATCCACGAAACAATCGATAAATAGTACATAGCCGATAGCAGACAATTAAGGTAAATCTATATTTTTTAATTAAAAATAAGTAATAAACATTTAAATCTGCTTTAAAAGGTCATATGCATATTCTACACAAAGTACAATAAAAAGAAAATAAAAAATACACTTAGTTGAATTCTTGTTGAATAAAGTAAATTGATTTAAAAAACGCAAATTATTGTAACGGTTACTTATAACAAATTAAATATCTCGAAATTTTTTATTAAGAAAATTCACTCAACAGGAGTAATAACATTTTTGTCTACCCGCCACAGCTTTCGCCCTTGCTCAAGTAATAAAATACAATTGTATCAAAAATATCATTAATTACAAGATTCATTAGTACTCTAGGGAATGTCATGATAAGGCTTAAATTTCTTTTCCAGCTCCCGCATCCACAATTAGCGTCAACTGTCCTTTTGTGGGATTCACCCAAGCAGCAGGAAACTTTTTGTCCTGATTGACAAACACGCTCTGAAATTAAAGATGTTTTTTTTTTTAAATATGCAACTAAATTTTAAAGTTAAATATTACAAATTTGAACTAAGGAAATACACTCCTGGATCACCAGAACAACCTAAAATTTTTTACTTTCCGTACACCAAATTATTGATCTCACACACCTTAACGACACTGGCTTTTCCAGCGCCCGTTACAACGAAGGCAACATCCCGGGCCTTATTTATCAGCGGCAGGGTGAAGGTGATCCGCTCGGGCGGCGGCTTGGGTGAGTTTCGGATGGGGATGACCAGTCTCTCTGACTCCTGGAGTGTAGATGGCTGCTCGGGGAAGAGGGAACAGGTGTGACCATCGGGACCCATGCCCAGCAGCAGGAGGTCGAACTGATCTACTTGTTTCTTAACTTTCGCCTCATAGTCAGCGGCGCAGGCGTCTAGCGACTTGGTTGTTTCGGCCCGGACGAATTGGGATTCCTTGATTTCAGGCAAATGTGTTAGCCATTCGGCTCTATAGGCTCCGTAGGTGGAATCACTATCGTCCAGGGGAACATATCGCTCGTCGCAGAAGAAGAACACCCAGTTGGTAGTTTTCAAATTTGCCGATTTTAGGGCCTTAGTCAGCAACTGGATAAGTGATCCACCTGTAAATAAAATTGGACACTTGACTTTGGGATTGGAATATCGATGATTCCACCTGGCAAGGTGACCTCAAGTTGGGCTTATCAGCTAACCCCCTTGACCGGTCTGACCCCGATCCTCACCTGAAAGTCCCACGTTAAACTTATCCTGTCTGGCCAACGCCTCCTGGGAGCAGCGCTTCAGAAGGTCAGCTAGCACCTGGACTAGTTGGTCCTCGGAAGTAGACCGGATTATCTTCAGTGGACTCTTTACCTGCGACATGTTGATCTGATAATAAAACCGGACTCGACTTCGATTTCAATAAATCACACTTCGTGCTGCCGACTATCGATTAGCAGTTAGGTATTACAAATACACTGCAACCAGAAAATAAAATGCGTAAACATATGACTGCTTAAAGGAAATAATAATTAAAAAAAAAATTTAATTCAAAAATGGTCTGAATGCACTAATAAATTGTTTATTAAAAGAAACATCTAGTCTGACAAAACTAATAATAGTACGTAATCGTTTTTATACCGATAATGTGTATAATTTAGTAATATTTTTTTAATATATGAACAATGTTCGTTAAATATGAATTAAGAAATCTCTTACATATCGAATATTTTTATTTCCAAAATTTATTTCCATTTTCAGTAAAGTCCCGCTAAAATCACTGCGATAAGTAGTAGCTAGACTTTCATCTCCGATCACGACCTACGCGATAGTGGGCCCGCCATTATCGATAGACCATTCACAAAGCGCCGAAGGGAAAACAACACTTAACAATAATCCTTCGAACGCTAGATTTTTACCTGATTCTTGGCTTTCCCGCAACATTGCCGACGCAAAAATACATTTTTCCGGGAACAGCAGGCCATCGCATGTAGGTAATCATCTAACAGTCTGTGCAAACCATCGTCAAGCTATCGAACACAGGTCTCTCGTCACTAGCAACTAAATAAGTTAATTTCATAAAATTGCGTTGTATACGGCCTACTAAAATCAGCAAAAAGGAATATCCATAAAGTATAAAGTGAAGGAAATTTGGTGCAAATCGCCCGAGGATTTGGCGGCACTTTACGCTGTCTGCATTTTATGCGAAAAAAATACATTTATTTCGCCATTAAGACAGTTTTCGCAACAACAACACATCAGCGAAAAACGTGCTGAAGTGAGCATTTTTTTTTTTGTTGTTGTACAAATTTTAAAGAAGACACCAAGATGCCTAAGCGAGGTGGTGGCGGTGGAGGCGGAGGAGGTGGTGGTAGTCAGCGATACAACAACAACGTCGGCAATGGCGGCGGGCGTTATTCCGCTCTTGAGGATTTCGATGGTCAGTAAATATATCTATAAAAATTTACAATGCATCACTATTAACCCTTTATGAACTCCTACAGAAGTGGAGGATCGCCAGCGACGCAAGGATCGCAACAAGCGGCGCGTCAGTTTTAAGCCTTCTCAGTTTCCAAACAACAAAAAGGACATTAAATTGCGTCCCGAGGATCTGCGTCGATGGGACGAGGATGATGACATGAACGATATGACCACGACCCTCAAGGTGCCTACCAATCTTTCCCACCATATCCAAAGCCAAACGCCTAAACATATTTTTATTTGCTTTTCATATTTCCAGCAGGACCGACCCACATCCCGTCGAAGAGGATCGCCCATACCGCGCGGCAAATTCGGCAAACTAATGCCCAACAGCTTTGGCTGGTATCAAGTGACGGTGAGTTTGGACAACTATGCCATATAGATATCACATTTATCATAGCAGCAGTGGTCCCTAGTAAAATCATGTGATTTGATAGTAGTTTGTTAGTTATTTGGACATAAGCTAAAGGTCGCTGTGATTTCTCAAATCGCAAAAGTACCATATAGATGCCAGATTTTTATTGATCATTGTCGTATAAACATTTATAGTTTGTTTTTTTTTTTTCGTCTGTTATGTTTTAGGGCAATCGTGTAAGGTCGCTCAGAATCGCTTTAGTTGCATATTTCTTCTAAAGAGAATCTTATGGTTTATTTGTATTTTATTTGATTTCTCGCCTACATCTACACATTCCAGACTGGTCCATATAGATACCAGATTTACGATAGCCGGCAGCCATAGAACTATTTTGGGTTTCTAAGAAAGTCATGTGATTCGGTGGCGGTTTCTTATTTCGATATCAACAAAAAGTCGCGTTGATGACCCGAGCATCCGGCAAAAGTAGCATAGGTTGCACCTTTCTTGTAAATATGAAATGTTTTGGCTTATTTGTTTATTTGAACACTGCTCCAGACCTCCACTGACATCTTGCCTCTGGGCTCGTTGTGTTTATTAATTAATTTCACTCGTAACAATCGTAAAGCAAACAAGAAAAAGTATGGGAAGGGGGTTAGCTCTACACAGCTAACGACAATCGCTACAACAATTACAATTGCAAGTCAACGAGCGGGTAAATAAATATTTATGGATGGCTAAACTCTGTTGGCCACAGTGCCAGCCACAAGTGTTTGTCCCCATGAGCTGAAAATGCAGTGGAGCCGAGCCTTCGGTAGTAGTTTGGTGGCTCGGTGAGGATGACCCACTCACCGAAAGGGATTCCAAGGGCTTTGGGGCTGCGGTTATGGTTATCCTTCGCCGGGTTACCCCATTTCTAGCCGCACGTGGTGCAACACAACAGGCCGCTATCTCTCGACGGGGTCGTAAATGCCGTAGTATATGCCCAATGCTGGCTCAACAGCAACAGCTTGTGGTTCCGTTTGGGCCTTTATTTCATCGACGGCCGGCAGACGGTAAAGACGTGTTCCGACGCCTAAAGGCATATTTGCTGAATCTCAAGAGGCCCGATTAGGGCAACTTATCAACCCGAGCGATTAGATGTGCGATTAGGGTTGCCGGGAATAACCAGCTCAATACCTTCATCAGAAACTATCATCTGCAATGGCAACTTTGGGCGCCTGGGACTACACCATCCTGGCTGTGGTGCTGGTCATCTCTGTGGCCATTGGCATCTACTACCGTTTCGTAGGCGGCAAGCAGAGCACCACCACCGAATACCTGCTGGCGGATCGTTCTATGGGCGTTGCCCCAGTGGCCTTCAGCCTAATGGCCAGTTTCATGTCGGCCATCACCATACTGGGCGTGTCCATGGAGAACTACCAGTACGGCACCATGTTCGTTCTGATCAACCTGTCATACGTAGTTTCTACCCCGGTGGCCGCTTACCTTATCATTCCGGTTTTCTACCGCCTCAAAACGGCCAGCGTGTACGAGTATCTAGAGTTGCGCTTTGGCTATGCCACCCGATTGGCCGCCTCGCTGAGTTTCTCGCTGCAGATGGTCCTCTACATGGGCATTGTGGTCTATGCCCCGGCCTTGGCGCTGGAAGCTGTCACTGGACTGAACCAGGTATTCTCCATTGTAATCGTTGGAGTCGTCTGTACATTCTACGCGACGCTCGGCGGGATGAAGGCCGTACTCATCACGGATATCTACCAGTCGCTTCTCATGTTCGCCGCCGTCTTTAGTGTGATTATTTGTGCCTGGGTTAAGGCGGGCAGCTTGGAGGAGATATGGCGAGTGGCACAGGAAAATGGACGTATTAATTTTACCAACTTTAGTGTAGATCCCACGGAGCGTCACACCTGGTTCACCCAGATACTGGGTGGAAGTGCCACCTACTTGGCTATTTATGGAGTGAACCAAACCCAGGTCCAGCGTCTGATGGCGGTGAGGAGTTTGAGTGCCGCTCGAGCGGCTCTGTGGTGGTGCCTGCCCATTCTATGCCTGTTAAGTATTAGCACCTGCTTCTCCGGACTATGCATCTACTGGTATTACCGAAATTGCGATCCGTTGTTGGAAGGACGGGTCAACTCGCGTGATCAGGTGATGCCGCTCTTCGTGGTGGATACGATGGGCGAGTATACCGGTCTAGCTGGACTGTTCGTTTCGGGGATCTTTTGCGCCAGTCTCTCCACGATTAGCTCCATAATCAGCTCACTGGCGGCTGTCACCCTGGAAGATTACCTCAAACCCTTGTTTAGCTGCTGCACCAAACGCACGCTATCCGATCGCCAGACCTTGTGGTACTCCAAGTTGTTATCGCTATTCTTTGGAGCCCTATGCATCGGCATGGCCTTTATGGCGGGATCGATTGGAGGACTCCTACAGGCAGCACTCTCAATCTTTGGCATCATTGGCGGACCTCTGCTGGGACTCTTCACGCTTGGCATGTACGTGACCAAGGCCAACGAGAAGGGAGCCATTGGTGGTCTGCTCATCTCGCTGGCTTTCTGCTTTTGGATTGGTTTTGGTCAACCAAAGCCACCATTGATTAGCTTGGATATGTCAACGGCGGGATGTCCGATAAACAGGAGCTATGCCCGTGACGTTTTCCTCATGACTGGTAAAGCGGCGGCGGAGGATGAGCATTTCTTTTACCTGTACAGGATTAGCTACATGTGGTATGCTGCCTTGGGCTTCGTCATTGCTTTTTTCGGTGGCTGGCTCCTGTCCTGGCTGTTTGCTCTTTTTAATTGGGACAACAATAGACGGATCTACCAGGATGCGGACTGTACGCTAATAAAACACGATCTGTTCGTACCGCCGCTGGCCAAACGTTTGCAACGGCGACAGATGCCGCTTCTGGTGGTCACCGGGACTAGCTCGGAGATTGGTGGAATATCGGTGGAGGCAGCTTCGGCGCCGCCGCGGCTAGACGAGATCGAGTGGGAGAAACACAAGGCTGTGGCGTAGCTTAAAGTGCAATTTCCAGTTTTTATTTTTAATACCCTTGCTGGCTACTTCTCTATGCCGACATCCATTTCGCTGAGTCATCTGCTGTTCTTTTTTCTGGGATCACCATATAAATACGCTTAAAAATGATAAGAACTTGGCTGTTTTTTTTTGTTTTTTTTTTGTTTTTATATGGTTAGGTTTATTAGCGATTTTAAACGAGTCTAAATAATCGACACTATCATTAGAAATGTTTTAAAAACTATAATGGTCAAAAAAAAAAAAAAAAAGAAATACATATTTATTTATAACGTCGTTACGAAAGTAGATCAAATTGAACCAATCATATCGGAATATTATATAGTATATAATTGTATGTCTGCAAGGGTATACCCATCATCGCTCTCCGAAGAGCGTACTAGCCTTTTGCCTCTTGTCACATTATATATATTTTATATTAGCTGAACTTTGGCTTTTAATAAACGAGCTTACTTCATTAAGCAGTTTGTTATTTAACGAGCATCGATGGCCTGGTCGGGCTGCTCATCTGGTCCCTTGGAATCATATACGTTGCGAGTCTGAGCCAAATGCCAGAGGGCCAAAAGTCTAACCAGTTCCTTGTACGTAAGGGTATGCAAATCCCGACGATCAGCTGACTGTACTCCAGCGGCCTCCAATTCCTCTACCAATGTTACAATATCATATTGTGCTGGCTCCTCGGAGCTGTCATCACCATTTGGTGGGATTCTTCCAATGAATTCCGATTCAGCTTCGCTTTTTACCATACGATTGGATTTGCTTCCCACGGACTGTAGACCTTTTTGCTCCTGTTCGGCTGTCATGGGCAGGGCACTGGCCAGGCAAACGCCAAGGATCAGGACCAGAAACAAGACCGGAATGTTACCCGGAATGAGATTCATGTTTGCGTCCGACTGCGAGTAGCTTCGCTTTGGCACTGGCCGTCTCGTCTGTCGATCGTGGCCTGGACTTGGGGTGCGCTCCAATTTCTATCTGTTTTCTACCCGACTCGTTCACTCGGTTCCCTATCGCTCATTCGAACGCCCCGTGTGACAGTGTTGCCCGGTCAAAGTTATGGTTATTTCGAAATGTTTAGCTTTTTTTTTTTGGGGGGAGATTTGTTTTAAGGTCTATAATATAGTCAACATAAGTGCAAAAGTGATATTGAAGGAGTTTCAGAGGTTATAACTTTATGTAATGTCTTTATTATAATCCCTAAAAAGTTAAAACACCTTTCAAAATGATTTGTTCTCTCAACATTTAGATGTTAAAAGAAATATTAGTGAAATGATTTATAAGATATTTATATATGATGTGTTATATTAGTGATGTTATCTCATAAAAACATAAGTAATAGCTTTTAACTAGAGAAAAACTTGTAGTTTTACATTTCATATATTTAATTAAAAAAAAAACATCCGATCCTTAACTTGATATGATCTTAACAATCTATAGTTTTCTTAGTAGATAATATCATATTATTGGATTTTGGTATTTAGATGTTATGTATTGCCTTTATTTTGATATCACATTTGCTTGCCATTTTGTATCTACTAAAAGCTAGCAAATTTTTTTTTTAATAAAGAGCCAACACTGTCGTGTGGAAATGGTTTTGATTGAAAAGTCAGTGTAGGGTCGGTTAAATTATTTTATCTGCATATGCAGCCAGCACATATACATCGACCCCTCGTTCGGTCTTGTACATATGTTCTTTAATTGCCTGGTGCCTTCGTTTGATTTCGCTTTTGTACTATATCTCTCGTGTTACGTTATATTGTCCGCCTCCAATTTAATTTATCTGCGCAGTTTGTTGTATGCCCGCCTGCTGCTGTGCTCTGCTCTGCTCTGCTCTACTCTGCTATTCTGTGCTGTCTTCTATTTTCTGCATGTTTGCTGGCCTAATCTTATCTATTGTCATCCTCCTCTCAAACCCTCCCCCTACTCCTGTTACTTCTGCTCCTCACCCAAACCTGGCAAATAACCCAATTGACCGAGCTCTAATAGTCAAGAATTTTCTAATAATTGCATTTGATATGGGTTAATAGATGTTCTCTGCCCGAATCGTGCATCATCCTTTTTTTTGCGAACTTATTTCGTATTTTATATTGGTTTTTTATTGGTCAATTTATTTGGCTTAATTAAGTGGCTTTTTAACCTTTTTTAAGTACTCAAATTTCTTGCGTTTCTTTTTGGTTTTTTATTTGGTCAAATTAAGGTCATATTTAGAACACTTTTAAGGTGCATTTTCTGTAAGGCACCCTAAAGTTACTATCAGTTCAAAAGAACAAAATTGAATCCAAGAAATATATGTATGATTTTATTTTATAATCCAACTTAAAAATCAATATTTTCTAATCTTTAACTTATTAGCTAAAGCAAATCTAGTCTTTCCACTTAAAATTTTTGATTATAGAACTTATAGTAGCAGCCATAAAAATTCAATTAATAATTTATGAGAGGAAATTAATGAGTCAAAAAGCAATAATAGAAAATTCTATCATTTATACCCTTTACTCGTAGAACAGAAGGGTATATTGTATTCGTTGAAACAGGTAGAAGGAAGCGTTTCCGATCCTACAATGTATATATATTCTTGATCAGGATAAATAGCTAAGTAGGTTAAGACATGCCCGTCTATCCGCCTGTTCGTATGACAGCTGAGATCTATAAGAGAAACAAGGTTATGATTAAGCATACAGATTTTTGAGGTCCCTAAGCAGCGCAAGTTTATCTCAGCATCCTGGCATGCCCACTGTGGCTTCCATTTTTAGGTCAATACCTATTGATTTACCAAAAAGGCTTTAAGCCGGAACATTATTTTGCTTTTTATTAAGAAATGTAGGTTATAAGGCCTCATATAGGCAGTGACGTCCCCATCAGGTATTCAACATACTTTTTCTGACTAAAGGTGGCGCTTTGTCGTATTTTACTGGCAAATTAAATATAATAAAATTGGATTTAAAAACATTAACAGGTTTCTTAAAGTCGCTGGATTAGACTATATCGTTTCTTCTTGTTTTTAGCTAAATTTATTCATAAAGAAACTAATTAATTAGCATTTAAAGTTAACTTTTTGAACTAAACAAAATTTGTAAAGCTGCCTTAAGTTTCCCAACTTGAATTTAAAATCATTAAAAAACACAATATTTCTCTCTCTGTATCTGTCACATATATATTGTGCTAAAAGCTTTGCCATTATCTCTGTGTTAATATCAATAAAGAATTCTTCTCCTTGGCGTGAAATCTACATTCATGTTGACACGGCACTTAATTACTTTTTTGCCACAATTATTTTTGCCTGCCTTGAGGCGTTCGAAAAAGCTTAGCAAAGTTTCACTTGTAAGTAGGATTATTATTGTTATATCTCACTATTATGCATTATTATAACGATTTTTCAAATACACGTAATGACGTTCCTAGAGTGACAGCCGAACAAGTTGAGATTGCCAAGTTGTTGCATGTAAGGAACGAGCCAAGTATATTGATAATTGCAAATTGCAATTGCGAGGTCTTATTTGCATTTTCTTTTTCTATTTTTTAATTCACAGCTGGCAAACTATGCTGGCTTATGTTACATATATAGAAGAAAAATATGCATACGTTTGTGTGTCTGTTGAATGGCCAAAACATTCCATAGACTGATTTGTTGTTATTGCTGCTCTATGAGTCCGCTTGTTGACGGCAAACACGTGCCCGTTTGGCTGTTAGTCATTCTGGCCAAGAACAGAATAGCGTTGATAGCGTCGTTCATATATATGTGACTGTGTAAGCCAAAAAGAACTGACTCAGTGTATAGTGGGCTTTAAGGGGGGGTAAAACCAAACCCCCTGTCACCCAAATCCCCCCAAATCACTCACACCATTTGCTTGGTCGCTTGTGTTATATGTGCATCTCCTGATGTCATCGGCCAGTAATGCGTTGGATCGTTCCCCCTTATCGCGTCAATTGAACTGGCGGATTCCCCCCTTGGCTCTGCGCCTCCTTCTCTCGCCGACCCATTTTCCCAATCTGTTATCCCACATTTGTACAGTAGATATCGCTTAAGTGAATCTTTTGACTGAGTTCGGCTAAGAACTTATTTATTTCTAATAGAAAATTTGATGGAAGATACGAAAAGAGCTTCTAATTTTGTGATTTTTTTTGTCAATTAATTTGATAATTTGATAAGAGCGCGAAAAAGATATCGTATTATTTAACTGAAAAGGAAAAATCAGAATGCATATCGCTCATTAACCAATAAAAAGAATAAACCTATAAAAAGTTATCATGAGATATGAAATTTTGTAATCAGAAAGGTTGTTGTTGGAAATATCTGTTATATAGAATCAGTTTATATCTGAGTTTATTTAATGATTAACAAAAACATTCACTAAGTTCACGAAAACAAAAAATAATCAGCAGCCTTTTTTTTTTTAAATTTATCTTCTGATGGGATTTCATTTACTTTTGTTTATATTATTGAAAGGAATAATCTATAAGTTAGAAAAATAATTATAATAATTACTTGCTTCGAACCAGACTGAAAGTGATTGAATAAAAAACAAGTAATAAATGATTTTCCCAGTTTTTTTTTTTTATAACCACATTGAGAAGGCCATTCGATTTGCCTGGGAAACCAACTTTGTTTTACCGGCTTTATAAAGCGGTGGTTTTTTTTTTTTTTTTAGTGATTCAACAATTTATTGGGAAATTGGAATTCTGGCGCATAACAATTATTAATTACTCGTTAACAGCTTAACTTGTTTCATTAACATATTCATATTCACATTGTCCGTATGTACATTTCAGTATTCACACACACTCTCACAGCAAACTCACACACACACACTCACATGGCATTGAAAAGTGTAAAAAAAAAAAAAATGTATGGTCTCTATAAAATTATTAGAAGGAGTTAATACTCCTGTTAATCCTCCTGTTCGTCATTGGTGGTGGTCACCGTCTTCTCCTGCCGCGTGGTGTTGGTGGTAGTGCGTGTTAATGTGAAGACACCGGTGGAGCCCACATCATCCAGCGGCTGGGCAATGATAGTAGATGTAGTGCTCTGGAATCAAATGGGATGTTGGTATATCTATGTATGTAACATAGGCTATATTGATGAGCTGAAAACTTACGCCATTTTTGGTCTCCTCGGGACTCCAGGAGCGCTTATCGTCCAAATCCTTTGAGCAACAGCCTCCCATTCTTTGGTTTTATTTCTCAACGGTTTGGCCTTGGTATATAGTTAATTAATATATGAATGCCTTTTGGGATCTGTTCTGATGTGTCTATATAGATATATATATATATATTTGTGTGTCCAGGGACTAGTAATTTGTTACTGCTTCATCGGCGCACGTCTGTCAGCGAATGCCGCGCCGTTCGCCGGTGTTGCTCGTTGTGGTGTTGTTCACTTGTTAGCCAACCAAACCGAAAGCCCAACCCAACCCAAGCTGCGCCGCTGGCTGCGACTGCGACGCCGGAGTTGTCATAGCTCCATATCAATTCTAGAAATATGTCTCAGCGAGCTCGTATTTAGCATTGTATTGTGTTGAATATACAATAAATATAAGTCTACCTATGTATATCTGTGAGCTGTACAAACAGACCGCTCGAATTCCACCCACCATTCTACTACCACCCAACATCCAGTGGTGCCTTGTGTGACCGCCCCTTCCCCACCCCCTTCTAGCGGTACTCTATTAGTTATTGGGAATGTCCGATCCCCCTCTCAAGAAATACAGTCATCATCTTTATTTTGCGAACCCTCTGACCTTGCCGGCTTAACGGTTCCATTTGCCTATCGATCAGGTGCGTCGTCGTTTCGATTCAGGGCTTCCCATTGTTGTCTGTCGTCGATCCAAAGGCGCTCTACAAAGTGCATTCTTAATGCTTTTTGAATATATTGTAGTGGATTTATAACATTTATTATCATTACTTGTGAATTGGATAAGTTATGTTTACATTCCTGCTGCTTGTGGCTAAGTTACTATAGGCCATTCAGTAACTAGACTTCAGACTTCAGACTTCTTCTTAGTTCTACACAAATTCAAAAATTAAAGTCTTTAAAATAGCAAAAATCTAGTTAATAACTAGTTATATATTTACTTAACTTACTTAATAAACGAAAAAATCCAAATGGCCTATTAAAAGACCTACTTTAAGCCTTTTAGTTTAGGCCTTTCAAGCTTATAAGCTTGTGATTAGGCCAAGACTGGCAAACAAGTTAAGAAGGATAATATCAAAAGATATTGCTGGCTAGTAAGTTCGTTTTCTAGTTATTATTTCTGACTTCGATCAATGGAAATTAGAGAACAGCCGCTAGGACTAGCAACTCCAAACTAGAGGGGGGAACTTTCCTGCTATAAAGAGAGAGAGAGAGGCAAAAAAAAATTATATATAATAATAACTAATGCCCGTAATAAATAAATTTATCGCATTAATGCACAATGAATGAGTGGGCTAGATGTGCCGCGGCTGTTCGCAGACTTATCTTGTTGATACTGTTGATATAAATAGGGTCGAGTGGCGAAATGGTGGGTAGAAGAAGAGTGGGAGGGAGGCGGCGGCGGCATGGCGATCATTCACACGATCATTATTCGCATATGGTGGCGGCCTCCCCATCTTTGTGCCCGACTGTACCCGAAGTGATCCCATAAATTGAATTACCACTGATTCCAGTGATTCTTTGTACACAGAATTCTACAAAAATATATAGTATATATATGATATATATATATATACATACGTCTCTGTTGCAGTCCGATTAGATATCAATGGCTAATAATAATAATAGCCAAGTGACCGATATTGGTATCAGGCCCTCGATCTCTGACCTTCGCATTGTCGGACACAGGAAGTAAAGGGGAGCTCTGAGTTACTCTCTCGTTGTTTGGTATATGAAATCTAACACCCTGTTGCTGTCTGTTTGCCGTACACACTCACCATATCCGGATAAGTGCTCGTAATTAAATCACTGACAGTTTGTGTGATAAGAAGTGCTGCGCCCGAAAATGTAATTAGGTGACGAGGGAGTGAGGAATGAGTTCCCCTACTCACAGTTTCGGAAATGAAAACGAATGGCATGCAAATCGGCGGGCGAGCGTTCCACTAATTCCCATATCGTAATTGGGTGTAATGAGCATGGCCAATTACCCAATGTTCGTAGTTTTACCCTTTGGATTAGATTATGATAGAAGTCCTTTTCGATAACTTTTATCGAATAAAATTGATGGCCTGAATGAAAATTTGTATTTATCGATAACTTTTGCTATATTTTTTGTAGTTTTGCCATGAAAGTGCTTTAGTTACCAAGTGAACAAATTTTGATTTTGAACCGATAATTTTATCGAAAAAGGAAAGGGCGTTTATCGATAACTAATTTTTGATTAATAATCGATAAAATACTTTGAAAATTCTCTATTTATTTTAACATTGTAAGACTAATTCTGGGTCTTTCTATCTATCTTTCTATCTTTATGCTTCTTAGCTTTATTCCGTAATAAGTTCGGAAGAAATCTAGTGAGTTAGCTGAGTGAAAGTTGGGTATTACGGCATGTTTGTACAGACAACTGGTACGTGCTTTCTTAGGGTTAGACATTGTAGAGCTATCTCTATTTTGTACACACCCCGTTGATAGATCAGACAAAAGCCAACACAAAATATGGAGCAGTGCCGGCATTCTGGGTTCTTGTTATGAGTTGGCCGATGAGATAATTTGAGCCGCTGCTATCTGTGGCCCATATGATAATAACTCTATATTCGTATAATTGTCAGTCGTCTAATGATTTTCGTTAATCATTTTTTTCTTTTCATTATTTTACAGTTACAAAATGCCCAGGTATATGATAAGGAAACCCTTTTGCGTCCCCTGTATGCAGCGATGGCGCCGCATGTCTTTGTCCCGAAATATTGGCGAACGGAACGTAATTGCGTGATCTTCTTCATCGACGAGTACGAGGTGGCCGAGCGGATACAGCATCTGGGCAGGCATGCTCAGTTACCCGATGGCTATCGGCTAATGCCACGAGTGCGCAGTGGAATACCGCTGGTGGTCATCGATGATGCCTTTAAGGAGAAGATGAAGGTTACCATGGCCAAGCGATACAATGTACAGACCAAGGCATTGGATCTTTCCCGATTCCATGCCGATCCCGATCTGAAACAGGTATTTTGCCCACTCTTTCGGCAAAACGTGATGAGTGCCGCCATCGATATTATCTGCGACAATATACCCGACCTGGAAGCCATCAACCTGAACGATAACTGCATGACCAGCATGGAGGCCTTCAAAGGCGTGGATAAACGTATACCCAATCTTAAGATTCTCTATTTGGGGGATAACAAGGTAAGTAATATAAGATTGGAAAATTGATTTATATATAATAATGAAACCAATTCTATTTTCAGATACCATCATTGGCCCACCTTGTGGTGTTTCGGAACCTGTCTATCTTGGAGCTGGTCTTAAAGAACAATCCGTGCCGTTCCCGCTATAAGGACTCTCAGCACTTTATCAGGTATACTATGATGTGATTGGTTCTCTTTTGACCTTTCTAGAGAATGCTACCGAATAGTCGACGTGGGATTTGCCGCGTCGGGAGTCACAGAGGAATTAGGATTACCATATTTCCATTATTCTGTTGTCTCGATTTCTTTTTTTATAAATCGTATGCGCTGCAGAGATCTGTGGACCAAAACCAAGGCGAATCTCTTGCTAGAATTTGGTTTAAAAGGCCTTCAGCCAGGTTAAAAAGCGGTTGAGTAGGCAAAAGCACTTAGAGAAAAGGATTTTCTTAATAAGCTGCGCTTAAAGTCAAAGCGAATCACTGGCAGCGGACTAGATGTTGGGCAGAGCAGTTAAAAAATATAAAGAAAATATAAAAAAAAACGTTGAAAAAATGAAAAAATAAAACATAATGCACAGTAGAGCCCAAGCAATTCGCCGTCAAGCAAAGACACTTTGACGTAACTGTAACAAACTTACACCTGCACCATTCGCACTTCCACTTGAGCGGGCGGACATACACCAGTCCCGACAGCCAGAAACAGCAAAAACGTTGGCAAAAACACCAAGTAGTTAAATCATAAACTCGTATAATCTACAATGAGTAACAAATGTACCCACCAACCCACCCATCGCGCTCCCCGCTACAACATATACGGGCACACTCATGTAGCCAGCATACGCCGGCGCACGTACGTACACAGGACAAGTACGCATGTGTGTGTGTGTGCGAAGTCCTTAGCTGCGTGCCCTGTGCGCAATTGTTGTGTTGCGTTGTTGTGTCGCCGATTGTTGATTATGCGGCGGTTGCCAAGAAGAGGAGGCGGAGGAGGATGAGTGGCGCATTGCCCCCCCCAGCAGGGTGCGCAGCGTCCAGCAGGATCAAACAAATGACGATGACTGAAAAAAAATTTCTTAAAACACGTATGCAAACGGACATTACAGACACACATTCGGACATTCTGCTGGCGCCAGCGGCCGCCGCGTTTTGCTGATAAGCCGTTTACACTAGTTATGTACGGCTTTGTTGGGCCGTATGATCCGCCTGCGGATGCGAGGTGTGTGAACGGGACGTGACATGCATAAGACTAACGTGACACAGCATACAGCTTTTGCAGGCGGCCATAGCAGCCAGATTTTGTTTGGGGCAACACTGTGCGAAAAGAAAAAAAAAGATTACAAGTTAAAAAAAAATATATATATATTAAAAAAAAGATAAAAAATACAAAAAAAAAAGAGAAACGTACACAAAAGATGCCCCGGCACAATGCACTGCTCAATTGTACTTTTCCGCTGCACTCAAATAGTAGCATCAATCAAATAATGGCACAACAATGGCCAAACACCTAGTGCCTCTGCCCCTTCAGCTGCTCAAAGCTCTATGAACTTTTGTGAGCCTGTCGAGTAACGGTAATGATATACGCGTATATTATGCAAATCGCACACGTTATAGCGGGGAGAGTCGCCCTCTGGTATTATCTGCAACTCCTGCAGTGCATACGTACCACAAAGGAACCCATTTAATTATTATTTCTCGCTATTTAACTCGCATATATCTATCATCGTCCACCTGCTAATACCTACAAAAAATACGGTCGAATATCCACACACTTCGAACTATTTACAGCGAAGTGCGTCGCAAGTTTCCCAAACTACTGAAGTTGGTAAGTGTAATGCAAGCCCCTCCCTAAAATCTTTTCCCACTTTTCCATCTATTTAGCAACGTGATGGGAATTCTACTGATGGCATTTGGTATACTGGCATATTGGTTTTATCGATCTATACATATTATTTTGCACGACTATCCACCGATTGTTCATTAGGTTTTCTTTCCAATTCCCATCACTGCTAGTAAACTTTCGACTTGAAGAGATATCTCATAATCCATAATAAAATTAAATCCATGTAGGATGGCGAGACCCTGGCGCCGCAGGTTACTTTTGATCTAACCGATCAAGGACAAATCCTCGAAACGAAGGCCTCCTTTTTATGCGACAACGCTGGCGCCGAAGTGGTACGTCAATTCCTTGACCAGTACTTCCGTATATTTGACTCGGAGAACAGGCAATCCCTGCTTGATGCCTACCATGAGAACTCGATGCTTTCCATAACGATGCCATCGGCCAGTCAAGCGGGCAGGTGAGCTTAGTCCCAAATGATAATCGTTCAGTTGCCTGCATCGTATGCTTTTTCTTATTCGGCTTAAAGGTTAAACAGCTTCTGGAAGTTCAACCGGAATCTCCGGAGATTGATCAACGGAGAAGATAACCGCACCCGGCACTTGAAGTACGGACGCCTGGCCTGCGTTTCCACTTTGGACGAATGGCCAAAGACGCTGCACGAGCGTCGCACCTTCACCGTCGACCTGACCATTTACAATGTAAGCTCAAGAGAATATAATTCCTGGACACTACATGAATATTAAATAACTTCCCTTTTAATCGCAGACTTCTATGATGGTGTTCACGGTGACGGGCTTATTCAAGGAGCTCAGTGGCGAGGCCACCACTCCTGCATCCATGCAGACGTATGAACTGCGGCACTTTGCTCGCACCTTCGTGGTGGTGCCCCAAAACACCGGCTATTGCATCCGCAATGAGACCATCTTTATCACGAATGCCTCGCAGGAGCAAGTGCGTGAATTTAAGCGTTCGCAGCACCAGCCCGCACCCGGAGCTATGCCCAGCACAGCGGTTAGTGCCACGGCTGTCAGTCCGCAGGCTGGGGCATCGGGTCTGCAAGGTCGACTCAATCCGGGTGGTGTTACGGCCGGACCGGTGGCCATACTGCCAGGAACTCCACTGACAGGAACTACACCGGCGACCAGCGGCAGTGCCGCAGTGGCACCTGTCGCTGCCGGTGGCATACAGGATGAGAACACCAAAATGCAAATGATCCAGGCCATGAGTGCACAAAGCCAAATGAATGTGCTTTGGAGCCGGAAGTAAGAACTCTAATTACGATCCTTTAATTGAGCTTACTTAGTAATGATTTGATTTGTTTTAAACAGATGCCTGGAGGAAACGAATTGGGACTATAATCGTGCTGCCTTTGTGTTCGAGCAACTTTTCAAAGAAAACAAAATACCGCCCGAGGCATTTGTCAAGTAAATCTCTCAGTTAATCTTGCCCAGAAGGAGTTGCTGTTGAGTTGCTCCCAAAGATACGGGAGCCAAGTGCCACGTACGCGTACACAAAATCAAATTTTTTTTGTTTATTGTTTTGTAATTATTTAAAAGAAAAGTTTTAGATTCACACATCTAATTTAAAAGTAAACAAACTGTGAAACTTGTGAGCACATGCCATTGCCCAGCTCTGCGGGCCATGTTTGTCACAATGTTTGGCAGTCCTTTGATAGATATAATTATGTTTAAGTTCCGATCGCAGACCCGCTGGCAAACATTAAAGCTTAAGTGGCAGGACGTGTCGGCGATCGGTTTCTCCCTAGAATTTTAAATTGTTTTAGATCCCTAAGCACACACACACACACACACAAAACACACACACACGTTTATATACATACAATATAATACAAAACATGTATACAACAATGTTGTTAAAACGGTTGCAAAACCAATTATATTTTTAATATATTAACCTAAAGCTTAAAACAAGCCACCAAGGCAATTTTGCAAACTTGATAAATGGAGAGCATGTCATCCATTGTCCCAGCAAACCCGCGTCCCCTCAGCTCCTTAAGTAGCCTTAGATTTTGTATACAACACCAAACCATCGAAACGAAAACAAACATTTTGTTTGCTTAGACAAAACAAACACAAACACAGGCGTATTTTAATAGACAACTTCGACAAGCAATAAACAATGAACATTGTGTAAATTTTATAAAGTCTCAGATACCAAAATTACCCTTTCTTCCTACTTTCCCTTTGATAACAACAAATAATAACATTTACAATTCACGCTTAGTCGTAAGCCCAATTTTAAGTGCGCGGTATATAGGAATTATATACACATTAATATTTAAGTCTAGAATCGTAAATAAATTTATCAGAATCGAATGGGAAGAGCTGACTTTTGTTTTATTTTTAATTAAGCCTTGTGGTTTAACTTAAATCTTATTTAAATGTTAATAAAACTGTTTTTAAAGAAGTAAAAATTGTTTCAATTTTATATTAAAAATTTAACGCTAGAGGCCGCCAAAAGCACAGCTTATAAAGCTAGTTTCACCGCTTGACGTCGCCAAAGGTAACTTGTAGAATGCCACCAATCGCTAGGTGGCGCACAACGGAATTTGTATATTGGATGTAGAAAGTAAAATAAAGGCACTCCTGAGTTTTAAAAGTACAAAAGAAGTTTTTTAACTTAAAAAATATTAATAAAAATATTTAAGATTTTAATTTTTAAGTTTGAAATATAATTCCATAATTATTTTTTGCTTTCTTTAAGCATTTTTTAGTATATGTTTGGCCACCAAATGCTAAGAAAAAATATCTAGTGAAAAATATTCTTAAAGAGCCATCAAAACTTTTATTAAAAATTAATAAAAATTCTTAAAAAAACAGTACTTATGATGGTTATTCATAAAAGATATTGTGATTTCATAATTTTATGAGAACTTTTATAGATTATTGAATAAAATATAATTAAAAATTTGTATAACTTTCAAGTTTTTTCGGCTGATCGGAACCCCTTTTGATTTTTAATAATTACTAAAAATGTTACTTATTAGTGCCACTTCTTACTTAGCTTTAGCTAAAACTATGTGTAATAATAAGAAACTCATAAAAATAAATTAAAATTCAATTAAATCAACTTTTAGGTTTAGGGTAAACTTGAAGACCAGGCTAACCAGATTCTTTTGTGTTGCCTTAATTCATGGCAACCAGTTGGCGGCGCCCCAAACTGAATGGACTCCTTTTCCGCATTGTCATCCTGCTGTTCCCTCTGTTCCCACTGAGACAGCGCCCAAATGTCGGAAAGTGTCTGGGAGTTTGAGTCCTAGGACCTAGGTCCCAGAACAAGAACGAGGACCAGAAGCTAGGCCCATTGTGCTAGTCCCTGTTTGAGAGCGTGTGACGACGGGGCAAGGACAACACAAAGGCGTTGAATAACAAAAAGCTTTTCTAGTTTCACAGCTTTCCACAGCCGGATTTCGGGCTTAAGGTTTGGTTTTGGCATTGTGTATGTCGGCGGTCGACGGTGTCGGCTTCTCACTTTTTGGGCCATACAGCTGTCCGGCCATTGGGTGGGATTCAACAATTGGTCAGCAACTGGTTGCAAATAGTAGCCAGTGGTCAGCGTGAGAAGTGATGAACGCCCAGCATCCCAGCTGGCCCACTCTTTTGGTCCAAAACAATGGACATGGGACCGCTTTGTTATTCAAAATTAGCCCAAAAGAGAGGCCGTAAATGGACTAGGGAACTTGACCAGGTTGCCAGGAAGCATCTGTCGAGGATCTTGAATGGCACTCAAGCTAGTTCATCTTGTTCTAATTGTAACGGTCATTGGGCTGATCTACAGCTGCCATCGGAAAGCTATGTCCAGGATTTTGGCAGATTTTGGCAATTGCTTTTCTTGGGGTTGGGGGTAAGGGTATAGGGAAGCTCTGAGTTATGTTTCAGTTTGAGGAAAATCCTTTAATTTTCTTAGTAATATAACTTAAATGGTAGATTGTAAAGATGCCATTTGTGGCTTACTAAGCTAAGTATTCTTTTCTGGTTTTAAAGTAATAAAATAAATCACAGAAAATGTTACTAATTTGAAGTTTCTGATTAAGATTTTTAAGAAGTAATCTTTCCCAATTAAGATCCATTAAAAATACTTCAACATGCTTACTTTCAGCTGTTTCTATGCTCTAACCTTATAACCTTCTTATAATTTATCAGATACAAGGATTATCTATTAAGTTCTTCCAATCCTTAAGCTCTTTCAATCCTTCCCTCTAAGAAATCCTTTTCTAGATCCACAAACTATTCCTGCTATTTAAGCAAAGTGCCTAAAAGAAAGAACCAGAATTTAACGCATTTCTTGGGCAACAGAAAAACTTCCCAAAACTGGTAACTTTTTGAACCAACTAAGAGCTGTCCCAGGACATACAGGACATGTGTGTGTCTGTGTAAGTGTGTGTGTGTGTTTGTATACATATTTGCGTTGCCTGACAAGAGTCAATGATCGCATGGCTGCTGAAACTGTTGAAAAATGAGAAGAACGTGAAATCGTAATCAAGCGCAGGGGATCAGGCTGAGTCCGGAGTAGGAGTACGAGAAGGGGGGGAGGAGAGGGGATTGCCTAATCCGGCTGACGCAGGATCAGGACACGCTGGCGCGACAGGACAGGGACACTATTGGGAGGACAGGAGGGTGTGTGTGTGGGCACGAGGATTCGCTCGTTCACTCGGAACATTTTCGGCAATTACCGAAAAATAAAGAAGCGAATTAATGCAGCGTGTGTCTTTGTGCGGCTGTGTGGCAAGGATCAAGGGGTAAGGACATTCTCGGGACACTCGGCAGCGACTTTTTTTTTGGAGGGGGGTGTGTGCTTCAGACGACCCGAAAAACACACAGCCAAAACAGCCAAAAAAAAACGAAATAAAAAAAAAAACAAGAAGAAAGAGTTTGCACCTGTCCCGAAAGGAAGGGCGAGGGAGGGTCGGCGGCGACGGCGGCGGCATGCGGAGCCGCAGGACGACAGCCGGGCCAGCGAAATTAAGGATAAGCAGTGCAGTGCAGCGGGATCGCAAGGATCGCAAGGATCGCGAGGATCGACGGCTCGTGCCACTCAAAATTCCAGCTTAATTTCGCCACCGCCGTCGTTGTTTGTTCATCGTCGGCTTTTGTTGTTGTTGTGTGTCCGCTGATGGTGGTGCAATGCAGTGCAGCCAGCAACCCCGTTTTGGTATATGTGGGTGCCAGTCCCGCCACGCGATCCCTTATCCCTAAACCTTGATCCCCTTATGATCTTCCCCCTGATCATATCCCATCCCGATCTCCCGATCCCGATCCCGATCCCGATCCAATGCGATCCTAACGTTCGCCGTTAAAGCTTCGCGTGCGGCACTCATTGTTATGCATTTTAAATATGAATTTTTATGACCGCCAGACATGCAAGGAGTCCTTCTTATCCCTGCCACTGGCTTTCCTATGGCCCTATAGCTTCGTTGGTGTCCCTGGGTATTGACCATTTTTGGGTGCATTTTGTTCACTGGCTAAATGCCCGTTAATTCGCGGCGTTAATGAGGCCATGCATCGCCAACGAGGATGCCAGCGATTGTCCCCATATCCTGGGTGGCCTGCAGATGGCTCCGGGAGCACTCTTTCGTCTCTCTTTCTCTCTGAGCTATTCAATTTTCGACTGCTTATTATCATTATGGCCTGGCCCTATTTATTTTATAAACGTTAATAACCAGGCTAATAGCCAGGGCAGGCCAGGTTCTCCAATCTGCCGCGGACACCTTCCATCTCCGGTGGATAAGTCGGCCGAAAAGCTGCCAATGATATAGCGGCAGTCCAGCCGATTGATTGCTTAAGATAGTAAGATAAGCATAAGGTTATGATATTTACAAATTAGTTTTGGATGTTTTGTTATTAAAATAAGGTGATTATGTATTGCCTTAATATTAATCGATGTAATGAATAAATATTTTATTATGTATTTTGGTTATAAAAACATCTAAAAAAGGGTCAAGATCTTCTTTTAGTTTTTACAGGTTTTTTGTCTTAAGTTGGTTGTTGTTTTAAAGATCATTTTTACTAAGCATTAACTTAAATTATACTATGAATAAATATTTTATTAAGTGTATATAAAAAGTATTAATGTATATGTTAAAAAGGGTCAAGATCTTCGAGTAGTTTTTACAGGTTTTTTGGTTAAGTTCTTGTTAAGATCATCTTTACTAAGCATAAGCTGAAACGATCCAAGGAATAAATATTTTATTAAGTGTATATAAAGTGTATACATATATAATATAATATATATATGTTATATATTGGCCTGCAGATGGTAAAGTAATGATGTATATATTAAAATGGTCCAAGATCTTCCTGTAGTTTTTACACAATTTTTGGCTTAGTTTGTTGTAATAAATAAAAAGCTTCTTTTGTGTTACTTTAAAGTTTAAACGATCTTGCGGTTAAATATGTTATTAAATATGTATATCCTGTGATTTTTATAGTTAACTTGTTGCTTAAGTTAAAGGGTTAAAGAATAAGTCATAGTTAATATTTCTTTAATTGCAGTTTAAGCTGTCCAGAAAAGTCTGCCTACTTTTCCTCGTTTTTATAAGTATCAAAGAAAGTTTATATTATCTTTAACATGAAATCTTAATTTATCTAAAATATTAAGTACACATTTTTAATTGCAATCATTTAATATCTATAATGGCTCAAAATGTGTTAGTTTCTATATTTTTATACATTTTTCTTTAGCTAAAGAACTGACTTCAGCAGTAGATTTAAGTTTTGTAAACTTAAGTTTACCTTGTAATAATAATAATAATAATAATAATAATATTAATAACATTAGTTACAACATTAATAATACATTTTTCTTAAACAAAAGTTATATTTAGTTATAGTAATAAGAGTTATGCTAACCAAAGTCTCGTAATAAACTTTCTTAAGATAGCAAATGAACTCCACCGCCTAAAAAAAAACAAACAAAAGTAGATAAATTAACATTAACAGATAGGAATTTGTAAATGTAAGATACTGAAGTCATATGAGAAATAACAGTACAAATAAATAAATAAATAATAAGAGTGTTAAGTTAATCTGAGCTTAAAAGATAAGCCAAAGAAAAATCAAACAAAACAGCAAACTTCTGCACTAAAAAAACCTTCTAAAATGAAACATTTTCCACATAATTAATAATAATTAAAAGTGAAAACCCATCCCAATCAGCTGGCTATATCTATGGACCATAAAATCATTATCGCTCATATTTTAAAAACAAAATTTTTGGCAATTTCAAGGGAAATGGAAAAGAACTTCCCAAAAAGTATTAAAAAAAAATAATTATGGCCAAGCATCCGCTTGTAAAATTGTGTTTAGTAGATGTGACTGGCAAC